CATTAGTTTTTGTTTTGTTTTTTTTTGCTGCTGCATCACAATGTTGACTCATGTTAAGCTTGTGGTTCACCAAGACCCCTAGATCATTTTCACATATACTGCTAGTAAGCCAGATGTCCCCCCATCCTATATTTGTGTATCTGGTTCTTCCTGCTTAATTGCAGAACCTATTTGCAGTCTGGATTCAGACCGTTCTTCCTAGGCTGGAAAAATGGTGAAGACTGCTTGTTTACTGGAAGCCAAATCACAGGCCGAAGTGATGCAGAGACTTTTGGAAACTGTGAGATAACAGCTTCTCCCGAGGCATGAGGGGAACCATCAACAGTTGTAGCAATGAAGGATATAACACCATATATGGACGAGAAAACATCATGGGGGAGAACTATCACACTCGGGAAAGAATAAGGATTACAGTTAGAGTTCCTCACTTGAAACTTTATAAATTACCTAATATACCAACACGAATGAAACACAATATTGTAGCTGTTATATAAGGGATTATTATATTGGAATGGAATGGAAATTTTTAAGATTTTGGAATGCAGAAAAAATGTAGAAGAATGAAGTCATCAAATCTTGCACGCAGGGAGACCAGTTTGATTAAATTGTATAATTTGACATTGGAATAATTGGCATTAATCATTGTATTAATTGGATAAAATTGGTGTAGTTATAATGAGGCTGCTATTGGAATGATATTGGAAAATCAATAAATACATATTTTATTTTTAAAGAAAGTATGCATGCAATCAGCTTCATGTCTGCTAGCAGGCACATGGAATAGATTCATAAATAAATAGAAGTTGCCTTTCAGGAATAAAGACTGGAATATCCTTAGAGAAAAGTCAATGAAGGAATTCATTCAGTGGGCAAGCAACACAATAATTGGTTGTATTAAACAAGAAGTGAGGGAATAATAAGCAAAGTATCTTAACACTCTACTGTGAGCATATGTTATGCCCTTGCTTTGAATAATTCATATCGTCTGGAACATTTCATATTCGAGAGACATAATATGAATAGCAAATTTCCAGAGAATGGTAATAGCAATTATTGGAAGCACTAGAGGAAGAAGGAATAAAGTTACTGTTTACAAGTGAAGCAAGTTAACACTCCTAGAGCATCTCTTAATATCTCCCTACGACCTCATGAATCTGATCACACCAGAGTAGTAGCACAGAATTATCTGAGTGTTTTAAAACGTTTATTGGAAGTGAGTGTGCAAAAGCCTTTGCTTTGAAAGGCCTAATATTCCCTTAATGCCTTGCATTCACCCAGAAATACTGCTTTCAAAAATAAAATAAACAGTCATACATTCATAGCTGGCATAATCACCAATGATCATCTAGGAGTTGATAAGATGCTGTCTCATTTGGGAGAAATGTCCTAAGAAATGTGCTCGAAGCTTGCAGAAAATCAGGTTCATGATTTAATCTGGTCCTTATGAATCTAATGGTTATACCCTTTCTAATAAAACCCAGCAAATGTTATACAGTCGTACCTTGGTTATTGAATGGTTTGTTGCCCAACAAATCGGCTCCTGAACACCACAAACCTGGAAGTAAGTGTTCTGGTTTGCGAATGTTTTTTGGAAACTGAATTTCCGACGCAGCTTCCGCTTGACTGCCGGAAGCTCCTGCAGCCAATCAGAAGCCGTGCCTTGGTTTTCGAACGGTTTCGGGAGTTGAATGGACTCCCGGAACGGATTAAGTTTGAGAACCAAGGTACAACTGTAAATTTATTGCCTTGCTCTTGCACCTTAGAATATTGCAGGGGTACCAACTTGCCCCCAAGATTGAGGTGACCTGGCGCACAGTGTGTGTGATATCACACAGATTGCATGTGCAACATCACGTAGTCTGGAAGAGGCCAAACACTCTGAAGGAGCCAACCACTGAAGCTCCACTTGGGTCCATGCTCAGCCTCCTCTTCCCCCTTGACACTGAGGGGGCTGAAGACACCTAGAGTTGACATGCCTTGAATCTTGACTTCTGGACCCTGTGCTTCGTGCTGAGCCTGTCCCACCATAAATCTGAACAAAGACACCCTCCTGACTTACAAGTAAGAGTTGCTGTCGTAGTGTTTTGGGGCAGGACCCTGACATAAATTACTGTGGGGAAACACAGACAACTGTGTTGGCGCAGAGGAAGAAAATCTAGAATGTACTATAGGGCAATGACTTTATTAGGACCAAGCGTAATGGCACAGAACAGAGAACAAGCTTTCTAGAACCCTTTGTCAGGCTGGATGTCCAGCAAAATGGTGGTGAGGGGGGAGAAAGATGGTATGATATTAAAGCCATGAAGTCAGCCGTTGCAGGTAGGATGCCAGATTTAAACCTGGGAACTTCTGCACTCAAAGCAGATGCTCTACCAGGGAGCTATGACCTTTCCATTGCTGACAGGTTTTAGAGACAAAGAAATAACCATTACATATTCCCCATTTTTTTGGAAATGTGAAATCCAGACAGTACTTGGACCCATCTCCAGCTCTAAGTGAAAGGCATACAGGTTCCTTGTGAAGCAGTAAACAGAAGTAAAAAAGAAATCAAGTTCTATTTTATATTAGTAAAGCTGGAGATAAATTGCAGGTAGACGTTGAACATTCACTTATTTATAGGGTTTTGTTGCATTACCCTGAAGAAAGCAGGAAAGGGGCTAATCATTTAAAAGTCAAAACCTAGCATAATATATATATAATTAAACCTTATTAAATTATAAACTGTAACTGAATTTATCAAAGTTATCCTTTGATTAAGGTGGTACAGCAAATGTATCTGTGCAGCTCTGAAATGTCCTTCTGAGGGTTTCCAACAATGCAGCTCAAAAGTGCCATGGGAACCCACCATTGCAAGTTTTTGTTTCTTTGTGTTTTTCTTACCAGCCAAGGAATTTTAATTTTTTGCTTCCCACTAGTGCTTTATTTCCACACGAGATAAATTGATACAGTGCCAATGCTTGGGTGGATGAAGACTGCCATGGGCTCTTACTGCCACCTAGGGGCAATCAGTTACATTCAGCCTATTTCTGCTTATTCGTGTCAAAATGGTTAAATGCTAGCAAAAAGTACAGGCTATGCCAGAGCCTATGGCAAAAGCATTTTGAGATTATGCCATGGTAGCTCACACTTCGTTTGCACAATGGTAATAACATATTTTGCCTTCTAATTTTTAAAAAACAGTTTCTGCTTTTCTGTCCAATGAAGTTTATAGATTTAAATAGGGTTGTTATTCATGTGTTTTTTAATACTGGTGTTCCTTTGGATCCAATAATGTAGCCCCAAAGTACCATCTGCTCACAATAGTGAGGTTGAGGAAATCCTGAGATTTGCAACAGAAATATTTAGGGGGGAAATCCACAAGGAAATCCCCAATGAGGACTGAGCATGCTCAGTGGTTATAGAACCCTGACCATCTTTGGAGAATAAACAAAGGGTATGGGGAATTTGGTTGCAACTCTGAAAAGAAGCACTCTCATGCATATTTTGTTGCAGTTATTTTATTATTTAGTTATTTTTAAAATGTATACAACACCCTTCACTGAAAGGCCACAGAGCAGTTTACAACATAGTAACATAACAGATACTTAACGTAAATACAAAACATAGGCTTGTATCCAAAATTAGTTATGCTCAGAGCAGACCCATTGAAACGAGTGTACATAAAGTAACTTGGGGTTAATACCAGTTCCCACTATTTTATTTAAACGCACGCACACATATAGATAGTGGTGGGTGGGTGTGTTACGCTGAAATGCTATTGCAACCCATATACTTTGGGTCTTAAAAAATACACACACTCCACAGTTCCAGTGCCTTTATTCAACATTTTTATTAGTCCTTGGGTCATTTAAAGCATAACTGTGCAGTTTTGGAGCAGGATGGCTTTTCTCACAATCATTCGCCTTTTGCTATTTTCCCAGCCCTCAAACAGCAATGTTTTGCGACATCTGCTACCAAGATGTACTCTTCCTGTTGTTATTGTTGTTGTTTAGTCGTTTAGTCGTGTCCAACTCTTCGTGACCCCATGGACCAGAGCACGCCAGGCACTCCTGTCTTCCACTGTCTCCCGCAGTTTGGTCAAACTCATGCTGGTAGCTTCGAGAACACCGTCCAACCATCTCGTTCTCTGTCGTCCCCTTCTCCTTGTGCCCTCCATCTTTCCCAACATCAGGGTCTTTTCCAGGGAGCCTTCTCTTCTCATGAGGTGGCCAAAGTATTGGAGCCTCAGCTTCACGATCTGTCCTTCCAGTGAGCACTCAGGGCTGGTTTCCTGAAGAATGGATAGGTTGATCTCTTGCAGTCCATGGGACTCTCAAGAGTCTCCTCCAGCACCATAATTCAAAAACATCAATTCTTCGGCGATCAGCCTTCTTTATGGTCCAGCTCTCACTTCAGTACATCACTACTGGGAAAACCATAGCTTTAACTATACGGACCTTTGTTGGCAAGGTGATGTCTCTGCTTTTCAAGATGCTGTCTAGGTTTGTCATTGCTTTTCTCCCAAGAAGCAGGCGTCTTTTAATTTCGTGGCTGCTGTTACCATCTGCAGTGATCATGGAGCACAAGAAAGTAAAATCTCTCACTGCCTCAATTTCTTCCCCTTCTATTTGCCAGGAGGTGATGGGCCCAGTGGCCATGATCTTCGTTTTTTTGATGTTGAGCTTCAGACCACATTTTGCGCTCTCCTCTTTCACCCTCATAGTAGCACGTTTTTCACCTTTTTTAAAATAATAATAAAAAAGAATGGTAGCACATGAACCTTCTACGTAAGAAGGGGCTGACGAATATCAGCATTCCTAGCGGGAAGCCGGCTCCTGATTCGACCGCAGCAGAAGGGCGAACGAGAAAGAGATTCCTGAATGTGACTGACATCGCTCGCTCCGCTTCCGCGCCGGTTGCAACGACACCTCCGCGACGGCAGGGGCCGCTGTAGGCAGGACGGGGGCAGATGCGCTCTCTTCCCACCGCCGCCGGAAGCCGCGCGCGGCCTGACTAGGCGGTTCCGCTCGCTTCCGCCCGCGGGTTGGAGGTGGCGTGAAAGGGAAAGCGGTTGTTTTCGTCGCAGCTTCAGCCGGAGATTGAGAGAGCGAGAGAGGCCGGCCGTGAGAGGACCATCCGCGGCACGATGCCCACCGTGGAGGAGCTGTACCGTAATTACGGCATCCTAGCCGACGCCAAGGAGACCGCGGCCGAGGTGCGAGCGGGCGGGCGGCTCGGACTGCGCGCGGGGCTCCTGGGCCTAGGCGGCGGCGGGGGAACATCGGCGCCTTTATGCGGCGGAGGCGGCTATGGGGAGGGGGGAGAAAGGAGGACGAGCCAGGCTCCCCACTCTCTGCCTCTGCTCACCTCCCTCCCCCCGTCATGAGTCTGGATTCGGACCCCCCCCCCTTGGGGGGCACCTCCTCCCCCTCCGCTAGAAATCTTCCATTGAGAAGGTGCCCCTTCCTTAGCTAAACAACCTGAGGGTAGGAGCTTGAAATCACGGCTGGCCCGAAGGCTCTTGGCAAAGGCCTGCTTAAAAAAATAAAAAAAAAATCCGGTTCTTTTTCGTAAAAGGATAAAGAAGAGGTGTTTTGTGAGGGGGGGACGGGACGTGCAGTGTAGTAATCCCGTGCTCGCTTCTCCCAGCGCTCGTTTAGTTCAACAGGTTTTTTTCTCCTCAAAAGTAAACCTGTTTAGAATTGCGGCCGCAGCATACCATGTGCTGCCTGCTGCGCTTGCTTATAGAGGCAGGGTTGTAGTCGTGTTTATGTGGGCGTTCATTCAGAAATCCATAGTCGCAAGTGATGCGATATAACATCTCATTTTGTATAACATGTAGCATTACGTTGTCGTGAGTATGCATCCCTACAGCTCAGCCCTATGCATGTTTACTTACCATTCCTCCTGTGTTCAGTAGTGTGTGTTTTAGAATTGTGGCCTTAAGAGACTTGTGTGCCATGCATCCTCTTCTAAAGCCATTGCCCCAAGGGATGCCCTTTCCCCAGTGCTGTACTGTACTCACAAACACAGGGTTCCCCCCCCCCCAGCTCTTCTTCTTGTAAACATCTGTGTTTGCTGTGTTGTACCTTGATGTGTGTAAAAGATGGGGGGGGGTCTTCTTTTTTTGCACTATATTTCCACCCGCGATGATCCATGGCTCTGTCTCCTCCAACACTTGGGGACACCTAGCAGTAGGTTATGAAGAGCATATAAAGTATCCATCTACAATTAAACACTGCACACATAATGGTAAAAGTGTTCAGCTCTTTCCCAGATTAAGCCTGCTCCCCAAAAGCTAGGACAAATAGGATTATATTGCAGTATTTGTAGAAGATGCTTGCAATGCAATCCTATACATGGCTTACTGAATTGAGTGAAACTTACTCCCATGTACATGGGCATTGGTTTGCAACCTTAGACTTTTAGGAAAAGTGGTTTTATAGTTATCTAACAGACACTAAAAATAACTATGGGTGCTGTTTGGCACATGAGTAGTGGTGGTGAGATCTGCAGTGGATAGTGGTGATATACTCTCGGATATGCCTAAGCTATAAATATCTCATTCTTTATATATAAATTTATTCAGAGCCTTAGAACAGTATTCTGATATTGCAGTAGATTATTGCATCTGTTAACTGCATAAAGCAGAGAGTTTCTATCTTCTGTCTTAGCACAAAGATGCTTACCAGGTGATCTTGGATGGTGTCAAGGGAGGTGCCAAGGAGAAGAGATTAGCAGCACAATTTATTCCAAAATTCTTCAAACATTTCCCTGAACTGGCAGATTCAGCTATCAATGCCCAACTGGACCTTTGTGAGGATGAAGATGTTTCTGTAAGTATTTTTTCATCGGCACTTAGCACTTGCATCTTGTTCCTTCTGATTTCATCCGTTCCCCTCTCATCCCCACCCCACTAACAGATTAACCATAAAAAATTTGTGGGGGAACAGAACACTTTTCACTCATAAGGTCTAAACCAGGAGAAACATCTTTGGGTTATTTAACCAGGATTGGCATGCTTGTCAATTGATTAGTAAATTATTTTATGAAACAAAATTATGGGAAGTTGATAGTGTATTTTAAAAAAAAATGTACCATATAATCATCTGGGAGCAAGTGTGGGTACCTTTTTTACCTGTTCATCAGGAGTTGGGGTTCATACAAACTTCATTTAGGCACAGGCATCAGTTTTCAAAAAGTATTTTCATATACAGTAGTTTATTTATGAATTTATAAGCTTCTCTTCAACATGTGCTCCCAACATATATGGTGTAAAATTTAAAATGAATTAACAAAATAATTTAAATACCAATTTCAAAAGAACAATGCAAACTAGCAAAATCAAAACAGGAATGACTCCCAAAGGCAGGATGAAACTACATCATCTTTGCCTGTTTACAAAACAATGACATAAAGTGAGAAAGTTGTACAGAAAAGGTTCATCCTTAAATCTGTTTTAGTTGTTAAAATGTTTAGCAACAGTGCAAGAGGAAATTTGTCATTTTAAACTTGTCTGTGTTGTAGTTTTATTTGGGTGTGTGTTAACCTCAGTAGATATTGATGTGACTTTTACACTGTTCATCTGTTGTACTGTGATGATCTAATGACAGATAAGCATGTCATATTTACATATCTACCATAAAGTAAGTCCCATTTTCAGAGGAGCTTCCTCCCAGGTACATTGATATAGGATTTCAGGCTAAATCCCTTAGCGGAGCCTCATGGTAGCCTTAGGCCTCTTGCAATTAAGTAACGGTGAACATAAAAACTGACAGCACAATCAGACAATAGATTGTGTCTGACTTTCCCAACCTTTTTTTTTAAGCTTTATCATCTGTGTAAGAGAATTTTAATTCCTTGGTTGGTGAATGTGTGTGTCTTTGTTTTGTTTATAGATCCGGCGCCAAGCAATCAAAGAATTACCTCAGTTTGCTACCGGTGACAACCTCCCCAGAGTGGCAGATATACTCACCCAACTTCTTCAGTCAGGTAGAAGAGATTGGTGTTTGTATTTGTAACCTTACAAGATGTAATCAGAGCAAGGTTATAGATTCATTGCTATGGTTGTATTCCTTAACCATCTTGTTTTTTCCATGTCAATATTTGCAGTTCTGTATTTTAGGAGTCTTCACCAGCCCATAACTTTTGCTGTCTTACCTACCATTCAAATTTCTAAACACTCTGACCCTTCTTTGATTGAAAACTCAACATGTACAGGGAGCTGGCAATCTGTACATTCTAAAAGGTGCTTGTCAATCTTGACTCGTGCTAAAAGGTACATAGTCCACAGTGCAGGAAAGGGCTATGCTAATGTACCATTGCAGGCAGAAAAGCACAGGCATGCCTCAGAACCAAATGGAACCCCTACCATTCTGTGTCTTTCACTAGAAGGTGCCCTCTTCTAGTGCACTGGCACAGCAGCTGGTACACCTACTCTGGCTAGTGCAGGAATTCTTCATGCTAGCTTCTTGGGGAAGAAGTATCCACAACCTCTAGGTCTTTGTCTTAAAAGCTGCATAGGTTTGTTGGAAACAATGCTGCTTCACATGTTGCAATGAAACTTTTTGCTTCCCACAGTTAAATGGGATAGATAGATGTATATGGCTTCTAGACATTGGCTGAAATCCAGTGGTGTTCATTCACTGGTGGAATGTACACTTTTGGCAGAATGAATTCCTTCTCCTGCCCCTATCACCTAAAGCAATAGATTCCCTCTGGAGCAGAGGGGCAGGTGCAAGGGGATATAAATGAAGGGGGAGGTCTGCTTGTGTGGTGTTGTATGTTGCCCATTGATTAAACATTGTTGTCTTTCTAAGTTTGTTCTGAGTATAAGCTTTCATGAGCATGCACACTTCTTCAGATATTCTTCAGTGTGCATGCACACGAAAGCTTATACCCAGAACAAACTTAGTTGGTCTCGTAAGGTGCTACTGGACAATTTTTTAAATTTATTTCAACCACGTCAGACCAACACAGCTACCTACCTGAATCTAGAATTGTTGTCTTTGTGCTTGTTTCTGTTGTATTCTGCTTCTTTTGTTTGTTTCTGTTGTAAAATAAGCAGTGTTATTTATAAATTATAAATTATTTATAATATTATAGTTTATAAAGAATATTTTAAAAAACAGTGCTCTCAGGTTAAAACCTGGACATGCTTTGATTAATTTTTGCAAACCACAATATGGATTATAAGAATAGTATTCAGATAACAGAAGAAATGGCAAAATGATTAAAGAAGCAGTTTATTAATCAGATAAGACAGACCCGCTTTGAGGAAGATGGAAGTCTATTGGGGAAGATAAGGAATTGGGAATTAAGAATATGGTGGCATAAGTTCTTTTGTAAGAACATATGGTTTTATGGATATATGTATGGGTTTTTTTGTGTGGTTTTTTTTTGTTTATCATATTTGTTAATTTCTTGTATGTGTTTGCTAAGCAAGAAAACTAATAAAAAGCATATTAAAAAATAAGCAGTGTTATTATTATGCTATCATTGTGCATGGTGTTTTACAGGGAATGTTTTATATGCTTCTTGGAAGGGAATAAACATAAGTCAGCTGATGCAGCTTTGTATTTGTACTGCTATGTTATCTGCCTTCTGTTTTTCAGACTATGGTTTTGCCACTTTCATTCTTCACCTGGTTCTTTGAATAATTTCTTATCACATGAGATTCTAGTTTGTGTCGATTTCCAGTGCTTCACTTTATTTAGCTAGAATTAAAAATATTTTTCATCTTTAATTTTCTCTTTTCCCCAGATGACTCTGCAGAATTCAACTTGGTTAACAATGCTTTGCTAAGCATATTTAAGATGGATGCTAAAGGTAAAATATGCCTTATATCCTGACATTTATAAATTGTTTGTACGCTCTGTTGGATCTTTTGGGATGAGAATTGACTATCTTTTGGGAGATACGGAATAGTTACCAGTCTGAATACCTTTTTGACAATAATAATAGAACAATTTGCAAAGATACAAAGAATATAATTTTGTGTATTACAATAGATAGCTATTCCAGAGGAGGGTATAGATCTTTTAGAAGCAACAGGATTTTTTCTACTAATGTGGTATATAACATTTACAATTATTTATGCCATTTCCATGTAGCTGACTCATGTTATTCTTTGGCGATCACTTGTAGCCAAGTAAGATTGTCTTCCATAAACATGGTTTTAACAGTGAGTCCGTAAATGACGGTGGAGGCCAGTTCTGGATCCACATGTCCTTCCACAGTGGCAACATAGGTTTCCAGGCGGGAGTTGATCACAGTGAGGGTTTTCCAAGCGTGCTTTCCTCTTAGCACGTTTCTCCCTTTTGTCCTGAGCTCGAACGTCTTCAAAGCCTATGACACCTTTAGTAAAGGCTGTTCTCCATTTGGAGCGCTCTCAGGCAAGTGTTTCCCAATTGTTGGTGTTTATACCACATTTTTTAAGATTTGCCTTGAGAGAGTCTTTAAACCTCTCCTGATGACCACCAGCATTACGCTTTCCATTTTAAAGTTCGGAATAGAGTAGTTGCTATGGAAGGTGATAATCAGGCATCTGCACAACATGACCAGTCCAACAAAGTTGATGTTGAAGAATCATTGCTTCAACACTGGTGATCTTTGCTTCTTCCAGTACACTGGCATTAGTTTGCCTGTCATCCCAGGTGATGTGTAAAAAAAATTTGGAGACACCGTTGACAAAATCTTTTGAGGAGTTGGAAATGGTGTTTATAACATATAACATATGTTATATAAATACTCAAATATCTAACAAAATTATATTCCTTTCCATTGTAAAGGGATGCTTATGTGATATTTATTTCTATTTTAGGAACACTGGGTGGTTTATTTAGTCAGATTCTTCAAGGAGAGGATATTGTACGAGAAAGAGCCATCAAATTCCTCTCCACAAAACTCAAAACACTGCCTGAAGAGGTGTTAACAAAAGAAGTAGAAGAACTCGTACTAACAGAATCGAAGAAAGTGAGTACATTAGTTTAGTTAAATTATGTTCTTCATAACAGAATTGCTTCCTATCAGAACACATTAAGTACCACCTATGGGTGTAAATTAAAAATGCAGCTAATAGTGTTGCTTCACCAGTTCAAGATTCTGAAACATTTTAGTTGAGTCTAGCAAAGGTATGCTATTTTTCCTGTCGGGTGGTTGCTGACCCCCCGCCGCCCCAAATGAACTATCAAGACTACAAACATTTTTGTCTGCTTTGGAGAATACCTAAGTTAGCTATCTAGGGGGGTGATACTGGAATTGGAGGAATAAATTTTACTACCTCACATACCATATGTGTAGGAAACACGTTGTCAAGCCACTTGGTAATGTTACCTATCTAACATCTATTGAATCTTACATTTTACATTATCTAAAATTGAATATCAGCTTTGCTAATAAAAAGACTATAATCTTCGTATTCACTTTTGTTCACAGCCACATAAGGGTTATTTTCCATTTAGTGGTGGAGACGCATCCAAGTGATAGCTAGCATTTATTTTAAGATGGAGAGAAGCCATTGTTCCTTAATCCCATTTTTATATTTGCTCAGAGAAAAGTCCCACTGAGTACAGTAGAGCTTTGGCCCAGGTAAATTTACAAAGGTTTGCAGCCTTAGACCCATTGTATTAAATAAAACAAGTTAATTTGCAACAGCACTTAGGTTCTGTGTGGATTCAACACTGAATCAAAGTGTTGGATTCAGAATGTTCGCCCAAGATTCAAATTCTGCTCAGATATGAAACATTGGGGGAGATCATTCCATCTGACTTTTATTGCATGGAAGCTTTAATACTAAAGGAAGAGCTTTTTAAAATGGTTTGTACACTGAAATGTGCTGTTAAAAAATTAAGCGAGGAATGATCATTTGCAAAGAAAAATAACACATGGGCACTTGTTCCCACCTGCATTGGTATGATTCTTCATTCTTTTCTATTTTTCTCTTTTCTTAAGGTGCTCGAGGATGTGACAGGAGAGGAGTTTGTCTTGTTTATGAAGATACTATCAGGCTTGAAAAGCCTGCAGACAGTGAGTGGGAGGCAGCAGCTAGTTGAACTAGTGGCTGAACAAGCTGATCTTGAGCAGACCTTCAATCCATCTGACCCCGATTGTGTGGATAGACTCTTACAGTGTACTCGTCAAGCAGTCCCACTTTTCTCAGTAAGTATTTATGGTGTTTTGTTTTTTAGGTGTTGTGACTGTTGTGACAATACAGCATGGCTGTATTGGTTGTGTCAGAATGACTATCCCATAATACAATACAGTGGTACCTCGGGTTAAGTACTTAATTCATTCCGGAGGTCCGTTCTTAACCTGAAACTGTTCTTAACCTGTAGCACCACTTTAGCTAATGGGGCCTCCCGCTGCCGCTGCGCCGCCGGAGCATGATTTCTGTTCTCATCCTGAAGCAAAGTTCTTAACCTGAAGCACTATTTCTGGGTTAGCGGAGTCTGTAACCTGAAGCGTATGTAACCTGAGGTACCACTGTACACAACTGTGAAAAGTTGCAAGACCGTTGCATGTGTCACTGATATATATTTATAAAATAGCTTGTATGCTACTTTTGTCCCCTCAAGGACTCTCCCAATAAATAGAGCAAGGCCATCAATTTCATTGGATCTACCCTGAGTATGATTAATGTTTGGTATCACTCAATAAAATCTAGTTAAGATAGATTAAAATCAAGTGCAGAATAAAATTAACCAAAACAAATCAGGGACGAGACAACAAAATTCAAATCAGATTAAAAACCAAGTGGAATTAAAAGAAGCTGAATTTAAAGCTTTAAAGAAAGGAAACCAACCCATTTAAGGTACCTGTTTGCTAGAGTTGTAGCTTTCCTATCTCTCACTGTATGTAAATCACACCACTGTTTTATCTGAGCATGCTTGCTGTCTAAAATCTTTGAAGGTGTTTCAGTCTCGGAAAACAGTGTCATGTTTACGTAGTAGTATGCTAACTTAATGATCTTGTGATTAAAAAGGCTTTTAGTGCTAGCTGCTATCAAATGAAAAATTGGAATTGTGCAGCAAAGCACTGGAAAATGTTGCTGTTACAGCTGCTATTTTGTTTTTCTACAGAAAAATGTTCACTCCACAAGATTTGTCACTTACTTCTGTGAGCATGTGCTGCCAAACTTGAGTTCCCTGACCACCCCAGTTGAAGGCCTTGATATACAGTTAGAGGTAAGCTAATCTGGAAATATCTCATGGAGCCTGAATTATAGGTATCCAAGGTATGCCAAAAGAAGATAGGAAGAAATTTATTGCTAATTTGGACCACTGACAAGGCTGATTCTGCTTGTCTTATTTTATACTCTCTCCTAAAGTATTACATAGATTTGCTTTTTTATCATGTGTGCTGCTATGCAGAACAAAATTCAAACAATTTATGCATATAGCCTGCAGCCTGAAAGAATGCTGTTCAACTAAGATCCTACAGGAGTCACTATCTTCCACCCTCTAGGCACATTTTCTGATTTGCACTGTCATATCCAGGAATAAGCCCTTTCTTTCTGTCTTAAAATCTGTTCTTTTTTTTATAATTCTCATGGTATAAAGTTGCAACTGTTAATTTTCCAATGGCTTTTTTTCCTCTCTCCCCACCCACTGTAGGTGCTGAAACTGCTTGCTGAGATGAGCTCCTTTTGTGGAGACATGGAAAAGCTAGAATCAAATTTGAAGAAGCTTTTTGATAAACTACTGGTAAGAGGATTATTAGTCTTAAGAGAGAGAGTGAAAGTTTGTAATTAGATTTCATTATGCCTTTTATTTTATTTGAATTGAAAAGCACCTAGTGTAATGATAGTACTTCCAGAGGGATAACCATGTTGTAATAGCTAATTGCTTTAGCAGATTTGAACACCAGATGTTGACTAATTTTCATAGACAGTGTGTTTACAAGTGTGAAGAAGTTCAATTCTCTGTGGATAGCACAGCACTTGAAAGATGCTTGAACAGCAGCCGGGAGGAAATACATGCTTGGCTTCAATAGTAAAGGGCATGGACTCACAAATTGTGTCCAGCTTTGGTAGCTAGACCACCAAACCACAGGTGGGGTACTGTTGTCATCCTCCAAAATTGGGCTCCCCCGCCCCCTGCCTTGGTGTGATCTGTAAGGGAGCCATAAATTTGTGGGGCTGGGTGTAGTCTTCCCATCTCTGTCTTCCCGTCTTCTAAGTGGGCTGCAAGAGGAGGATTTATTATTTATAATCTTTTGCATACTGCCCTTCATCCAAAGATCACAGGGTGGTTTAAATTATAAAAACACAAAAATATATACAGTGGTACCTCAGGTTACAGATGCTTCAGGTTACAGACTCCACTAACCCAGAAATAATACCTCGGGTTAAGAACTTTGCTTCAGGATGAGAACAGAAATTGTGCGGCAGCCGAAGGCCCCATTAGCTAAAGTGGTGCTTCAGGTTAAGAACAGTTTCAGGTTAAGAACAGACCTCCGGAATGAATTAAGTTCTTAACCCGAGGTACCACTGTATCACAATAGCTAACAATAACCCCCCACGCCTTTTTTAAAAAAAGTCTCTGTCCTGTGGTCTGATTACCGAGGGTCCCCACCACCACTTCTTTAATCACTCCCTTTCCCCATGTTTCCATCTGGGCTCCCTTCACCAATATGAAATTGGGGAAGAGTCTGCCCACCCCTGTAGTAGGCAATGGGAATGAATTCCATCTGAATATATGCCTATGTCTTTGTCTTGCTGCCAAGGAGAGAGTCAGGAGGAGAACAGGGACACTGGAATGGATAAACACTCTGCAGATGTCAAGATGCAGTGGAAAATGGCAGACAAAAGCCGACTAATCTTGACTGAGTGAAGTAAAAGGGAACATTTAAAATGCTGCTACCTACTCTCACTCAGTCGGAGAAGTAGAAGGGAGGAGCAGGGACAGAATAATAGGGGAAATGTTGGCAGTTTGTGTGTTCTGGTTTTTAAAAGGACAAATACGGCTTGAGATTGCACCCTAATTCTGACAGCTGGGATTAAATATACTTGGCTGTGCAACCATGTTTGTGAACCTCTTTCGGAAGGAGATTTGGTAACGAATACATAGTTGAGGCAATGACATCTTAAATACTAGATGAAGTAACAAGTGTCAATTCTTCTGGTTTCTGTTTCTCAGGAATACATGCCACTCCCTCCAGAAGAAGCGGAGAATGGGGAGAACGCTGGCAATGAAGAGCCCAAATTGCAGTTCAGCTATGTGGAGTGTTTGTTATATAGCTTTCATCAACTAGGTCGAAAACTTCCAGACTTCCTGACAGCCAAGCTGAACACAGAGAAAGTGAAAGACTTTAAAATCAGGTAGCATTAAAGTGTATGCATGTGCAGACTTCATTAGAATAGCAGTAATGGAGTCATGTAGAATCCTGCTGATCTTTTCTCTGCCAATTATAATTAACCATATGATTAATAAGCAAGCATTAGCCAATAATAGAAAAGGTTAACTAAAACTTCAGACTGAAAATATTGAAGATACTGTTCCTAGTTTTCAGGGCAATAGGGAAATGTCTATGTCAGAATAGCTGTATAGCTCCAAACTGACATTTCAAACTTGCTTCTGGCCCTCTAAAATTAATGAGAGAATTCTTCTCAGTTTTCTTATTAAAAGTTACTTGTTGGATATGTCATATTGTCTTTCTGTAACTCAAACTAGCCTATACTTGTATAGCAATGAAATGAATAGTTTACTGGGCGGTGAAACAAAATGCCTTTAGCTTTTTAATATGCACCGAAGGCTTATCGAGTATAAAAGCTGTAATGCTTCCAACAAAGAATTACCTTTACGTTCGTGACCTGTAGCATATTAATACTGAACTGCAATTTAAGCTGCTCTTGAAGAACTTATAAAGGGCTCACATGTTCCGAATTCTCAGATCAAATGGCACTTTGACCAATAGTAACCGAAATGAGTCTAAGGATTATTTAGTGGATTTTAGTGGATCTCAATATTTGTGTCCCTTGGTGACCCTAGGTTAGGGCTTTGCTCTGAGGTTTTCTGCTAACCTCCATGTGAGATTTCCTCCATGCCTTTGTTCCATAATCAGTTTCTAAAATTGATAAAGGAGTGGTTAGATGCCAAAGACTACATAATTCTTTCAGATTTCTCTTCAGCATCAGAACAATCTTCTCCATGGTCAGTGACAGCATCTGGCATCCTGGGGGTAGGATCCATCCTTAACACCTGCCTTAGACACTTTTATTCCCTCCCGCCCCCCGACCCAGTGATCCAAGCAGCACAGAGTCTACCCAGCATTTAAAATTGGCATTATGGGAAGTTTTTCATATATATTTGCATTTTCTATTTTACATATACAAATGAAATAAAAACATAAACATATAAACCCCTTTATAAATCAGAGCTTGCCGTCCACTGCCATTCCATGGTAACCTGGAAGTCATTATGGGAAATTTTTCATGGTAGCTGTCGCAACTAGGACCCCCGGTAGACTAGAGAGCCAACTTTGATTTTAGTCGCATTTGGCACCAGCTTGGCTGCAGGAGTTGCCGGAAGGAGACGTACAAGGCACTATCCATCCGTCAAAAGGGACTCCACTCTGGGTTTGTGTAGGGTTTACACCTTAGCCTTTTCTTCTCCTGGAAATACCCTTCAAGGCAGTGAAGGTTTAGGATCAAAGTTCTGCTTCTCTCAGTAAAATGTTCTTGGTTTTGATTGATGTTTAAATTATATTTGATATTAAAAAGTATTGATTCATAAATCTACCCCAAAGTTTATTCCTCTATAGAGACACCTTTATTTAGGACATTCTACATAAGGTCTCTTACTTAGGCAAATTCAGTTTGCCAAATGTCTTTCTGTTGAGGCTTTTCTTTTTTCAAGATACTAGCAGTTTTCCTTTTTATCATCTTGATTTCACTGTGTGTTGCATAACTTACTGTTCAGCTATTCTCTTTTGTTAAAGATTACAGTATTTTGCTAGAGGACTGCAGGTTTACATCCGACAGCTTCGTTTGGCGCTCCAGGGCAAAACAGGAGAAGCATTAAAGACAGAAGAGGTATGTAGTCCTCTGTGACGGCAGTACCTTAGCTGAATTTACCATAATGATTTTATCACAGTATAGTCTGATGGAGAAAGCTCGTGACAGTGGCTTTGATCGGTAGTAACTGGGGGTGTTGCTCACAAAAAATAGTTTTTCCAAATTGCCCTGTGCCTTCTGAAAATCTGCTCCCGAGGGTGGTGAGACTGTCAGGATATGATATGGGAGCTGCACAAAGGGGGAATTGATGAAAATCGGGGATGTCTTTTTCCATGAGCAGAAGTATCTCTCCACTTAAGCAAGCTCCCTTGGATTGAACTAATTGAAGAGTGTCACTGTATCGCTTCTATTTTTATGCATCCACTCTGTTTCACAGAGAACAGAAAAGCAGTGTGTTGCTAGAAGTGTAGCAAGGGGGGGGGGAGGTTTTGCACCAATCCTCCACATAAGCCAAAGGGCCATAACTAAACTACATGTGCATGTGATTATGCATGAAAGATTCCAGACTCTAGCAACTGGTAGTCTTTCAGATGGAAAATAGTTTTCCTCAGTGTTGTTGTTCATTTAAAGAAAAGAAAAGAATGCACTGAGCTTCATTGGAAACATCTTAAATATAGACTTAAAAACAATTTAATTTTAACATTTCTAAGATAGCCTTTCTCCTTTTTTGCAGAACAAAATTAAAGTGGTTGCGCTGAAAATTACAAATAACATAAATGTTTTAATCAAGGTAAGCCCTTCTATATTTTATTACTGGATTTGTTTAAAAAGGATGGTTTGGTGAAGATATTAGTCCTGAAGCTATTTGTGACCAATCAATTCTGTGGCCCTAACTCTCTTCTTTCTGGAAACAGAAATACTGTTCCAGTAACTTTTGCTGGGTGCTGCTCAGCCCAGTCAGATGGGTTGCAGCATTATTATTATTATTATTATTATTATTATTATTATTATCAAATGTAGTAGATTCTTTCCTCACCCTGTTGTGCTTGAGCATTATACCAAACCTGTAGGGAAATTTAGTCTGTTTTCAAAAACAGTGCAAGAAACAATGGAATTTGATCAAATCCTTTACAAGAACATAAAAGAGAAGTGAGTGAGAGAGAGACTGAATTAATACTTAATGCTGATCCTAATGATGGATTTCCCCAAATGTGGATTTTGGAGTGAATTTTTTTTTAAATCCAGGAAATCTGTCATCATGCAATAAATTTTGAATTGGGGAACTTTAGTTTTTAACATCTATTCTTCAGCTGTTTAGAGTACTATTCCCAGAAACATATAATTCCCATTTTGTCTCAAGGATCTCTTCCACATTCCCCCTTCATACAAGAGCACAGTGACGCTGTCATGGAAACCAGTACAGAAATCTGAAGCTGGGTAAGTTAGCAGTGAATGACTTCCAACTATTTATGTATTTCTCTCTTGTCTTTCTGCCCTCCAGCAGATCTCTGTTAATGTAATGTTGGAATCTTCTTTTAAATCTATTTATACATCTATAAAGTTATGCCAAAAATGTTATTCTGCACAAGTTATGATTTTGTATACATTCATTCATTCATTCATTGAGTCAGTGTGTTTGAACATCCAAAGGAGAGTTAAGATAAAAGGAATAATAGAATTGTAGAGTTGGAAGGTACCTCAAGGATCATCTGGTCCAACCCTGCAATGCAGGAATCCCAGCTAGAGATGGCCACCTAACCTCTGCTTTAAAAAGAATATACTTTATTTAGCAAAACAAATAGTCGCTTCAGCAATTGTAATAACTTTACTCTGGAAAGAGAGAGATGGGTTGGGATCCAGAGAAGTTCGGCAACATGTTCCCATGCACACAGGAGAAGTACAGGGGGCTGATAATCTTTGCATTCCTTCTTTGCATTCCTTCTAGAAGTACCCACTCCTGGTGAGGAGCTGCTCCAAAGAGTCCTTAACCTTTCAGAGACTACTGCTGCTAGAATAGGGAGAGCTACAAATACTGCATGTCTGAGCAGAATACCATATGCAGTGCCTGGGATCCTGGCATCTTGGTCCTAAAAAAGATGGCTAATCTAGGAGTCACCTCTTCTCTAGGCAAAACATAAGGCTACCTAGTATCTTCTTTACTTGAGAATAAGCAGATGGTGGGTTTTTCTTTTTATAAAAATAAAAATAAGCAAGCTGCTTTTATATTTTTCTGCTATTGGTGTCTGGAAATAAAAGTAAAAGCCCACCTGTTCTTGCAGAGGAGCAGGCTTTTCCAAACACAGGGTAACCAAGATGGTGTCTTCCAGATGTTACTTGACTTGTAACTCCCATCATCCCTGGCCTGTAGCTATGCTGGCTGGGGCTATCTGGAGAGCACTTTGGTTACTTACCTCTGCTCTAAGAAAAATAGAAGCTTTGGTTATTAAGGTGATGTTCAGTTTTATCAATTTTGTGACATATTTGCCCTGAGCGCTCTCATTTTATTTTAATTTTTAATTTTACAAACAAATGAGCTAGAGAGTAAGGTAATAGGAATCTTCTTGCTTTGAAATGCTAGGAATTTTTGTTCTGTGCTATTAATGTTGCATGTCTGTAAATTAACTTTATACGAAAAGCCTTCATTAAGTTTTCCATTGCTGTACATATTGGGTTCATTTTTTTAAAGTCTTATTTGTCTCTGCAATATTTTTTTCCCCTATTTTCTTTGAAGGCAAAAAAGAGCAAGTGAGGATGCAGCTTCAGACTTGCCAACAAAGAAGGCTCCAGCAGGACCAAAAAGGGATGCCAGGCAGATATACAATCCACCCAGTGGGAAATACAGTAGTAACCTGGGAAATTTTTCTTATGGTAAGCGTTGCAAGAGATTGTGTTATTCTGTGCAGGGGAGAAATAGGATTCTGTTTTGTGTTGTAAGATGAGTTGCCAGGCTCTGTTGCCTTTGGGCGGTGGTGTTCTCTGGTATTCCTGTTCATGAATTTTGTGTGTGCTTTTTCGAGATACAATCTTGGCATGATTTTGATTTACATATCATATTGAACAATGTCTAGACAGGTGTAGCAAGCCTGTGGCCCTCCAGATGCTATTGGACTGCAGCTGTTGTTAGTCGAGCAACATCTGGAAAGCCTCAGGTCTCCTGTCTGTGGTCTAGTACAAGATATTTATTTTTGGTCTCATTGGCATTTACCTGTATAAAATTTCAAACTGTCACATCCAATTCTTGAGTCAGGTTTTATTCACATTGAATAGGAAGGGGGGGTTGTAACATGATAGGAAACTCTTCATTCAGATTTATGGGAAGGTCTTCCATGCCATCACTTAATTCTTTCATGAAATAGCAATCCAAACACGTTTTCACTATGCCAGCCACTATGCAGACCCTGCAGCTCTCATATGACAGCAACGGACCTGATCCAGGCTTCTTTGCTTTGCCAGCCTGAGCACTGGTGCACCACAAAGGCTTTTTGATCTGTCCTCCCACCTTCTTTCCTGGCCAGGACTGTAGGAGTGGCAATGGCTGTGTTGTTCAATGAATCTCTGCCACTGTTGGTCAGTAGGACTACAGCCTACTATAATGCTGGAGAAATGAAATAAGAATTGGAGAGATCACTATAAGCAGCTTCAATTAATGCCCTTTCCACACAACATTTTTTTCTCTTTAAAAGGCATTGTTCAGCTTTCTCATTCAGTTAAGGGCTAAAAAAATGGTATGTTTGATACTCATTCACAAACTTTGGCTTTCATATGCAATCAGTGCTTTCGTATACAATCTGTTTACTTAACAAAGACATTGTCTGGATTCAAAAGAGTCTCATAAGTGTATATCGGCAATTAGTGCTTCATCGGAAGTTCCCCAGAGTTTTGTAAGTGGCTTGTCTAGTGTTGCAAACGGCTGCAGGCATAGTGAGGAACACTGGAAACTATGACGTGGACACTTCCAGAATAGTCCCCTTTGATTCCAACACTTAATAATATACAGGTAGTCACATGTTCCATAAGTGGTAAAGTTATTTTCTATTCTGTTAAACAAGTTCTGCAAATAAGTCCACAAAGAAATGATTAGCCTACCTGTACCTGTGTAGCATAATTGGGGAGGTGGAGAGAGCCAATTGACTTGCCATTTGCAAAACCTTTCTTGGAATGAGTTATTACCATAGCTAAACTGGCAAGCGCCTATTTTCAAGTTTGTGTTCAGCTTAGACATCTTGCAAGCTGAAGGAAATTGCTGACTATACCTTCCACTATCTCAAGTTTGTATGTTTTAATATAACTCAGCCTGTGATCTTAAGAGTAAAGGATGGTTAAGAAATAATGATAACAACAGACGTGCAGTATGTGTAAAATATGTACATACAGAGTAATTATACGGATTACTACTACTTTTTCTATGTATCAGAGACTTTGATGTTAAAATAGTTTTACTGGATAAGGAGGGGTACCACACATGAACATGCTAAATATTTCATACTCAGCCTTGTTTCAGAGTTTGGAGGCACATACGAGCAGGTTTATATTCTGACTTGAAATAAAGTTATCATAGGAAAAGCTATTCAAAGGCAGGTTCACACTGTCCTATCCCTTGAGTGGTTGTGTAACTGGGAGAATGACCATGTGGATCAAGCCTTATGTGAACTGGGCAGTATGTGCTGGGAGCTGGTGTGGTTCTTACTGGTCTTGCTTCACACAGTTGGGCTCCGCATCTACTTGATTAGAGAGTATGTTGCAATTCTTACTGTCATGTTTGTTTAAGTGCCACTTGTATTTAAAAGCTAGAATTATAACTAGGGGTAGTTGCTGTTTTCCTTCTAGTCAATCAGAGATCTATATGTTTTAAAACAGACCTTTATTTCTCTTTATTTTCAGAGCAGAGAGGTGGTTTCCGTGGTGGACGAGGGAGAGGATGGGGTGGCCGTGGTAATCGCACTCGTGGAAGAATCTACTAAAATCAATGGTGTTTTCATTGCCATGATCATCTTTCAAGTCTTGACGAATTGCCTGGAGGGCTGCATTGTTTAAAGAACTGTCTTCTGCAAAAGACTGATTTAAATGTTCTTATACCTTTGTATGTATGATCTACTTTTCTAATGGACTGCAGACTCACCCACAGTGAAGCTACAACTGTATTTTTGGATGTTTAGCAGCTGGCAGTTTGAGTTTGTGTCTGGGTTTGTTTTTTAAGCATCTTCAAGACTTATTCAGGAAGAAAGCATGGGTTTTCCTGCTGATGTTACATTCATCTATAAATATGGCTATACAAAGTAGGCTCCTTAGTGTACAATAATTTTCATATGCTAGATAAGAGGTGGAAATGTTATAACTGAAGTTGAAATCAGCGGTAACCCTTCTCCAGACAAAATCGTAGTTTTATTTTATTTTTTGCAGTATGTGGGAAAGAATGATATTGCAGAAAAAGTAGTATAGGCTGCCAGTGGTAGCATTGATTGTTGATAGGAATCCTTGATTTTTAAAATGTGCAACATGGATGCAGAAGAATCTCTGCTCTTTATCATAAGTCAGTCCATTTACTTGTTGGGAAGGGTGGGAGGGAGCAGGGAAGACCAGATGTTAACGTGAACACATTTTGCTCTTCTCCATATATTGTAACATAATGTGTGTTTTGCAAATGGCTTTTTAAATGTTCTCTATAAATGTGTGTGTGCATATATATATTTATATATATGCCATAAAATTATAGTGAAAAAGAATAAAACTGCTAGAAATGCTACCCCAAGAATGGCAAATTTGTGATGCTGTAATAACTCTTTCTTGTTAAAGAGCTTGGATCAGTTTAGCCCTTAGAAGAAGCTCTTTTGTTTTTGTGTTTTTTGTTTTTTTAATTAGTTAGATACCTGTGTTTACAAATATTAAGCATGGCATTAGGCATTTGAAATTACTGCTATTCAGTTGCACTTGGGTAAAAAGTTAAAACATCTTGGTAAATCTTACGTAATAATGGAATCATCATAGTGATAAGGATTCTAGATATTTTATTTAAAATAATATGATGTAGCAAACTTGATTCTCACCTCCCCCAAAAAATATTTCCCATTAAAAATGTATGTTGGGTCCTTAGGCATGGGAGGAGGAAGAGTGAGCAGCATAAAATGTCAATATCAGTAACAGATCATAGGAAAATTTATAACACTGCAGGAATGTTTAAGTTACCCAGTGTCAGGCTTTATTTTAAAAAATTGCATATTCATTCTTCGCATCACCCCCATTCCCCTCTAGAGTTTGATGCCTGTACTGAAAACCAACATTTTGTACAAAGCATATTCCAGCAAGCCTCATGTATATCAGAGAGAAACAGTTTATAAACTGGACAAATAAATCATTTTAATCATTCTTTGGGCCCCATCTGTGCTATGCATTTAAAGCAGTATCATACCACTTGGAACAGTCATGACTTCCCCTGCCAAATAATCCTGGGCACTGTAATTTGTAAAGCAGGCTGAGAGTTCCCTAAGGAAAGCAACTGATTGTTAAACCCCTCTGAGAATTGCAGTCCTGAGGAGAATAGGTGTTTCCTAACAACTCTCAGACCCTTTAACAAACTACAGTTCCCAGGATTCCTTAGGGCAAACCATGACTGTTTAAACCAGTATGGAACTGCAGGTGAAGCCTTGATGTGTACAACCTTGTTTCGTTTTTCTTTCAATGGCCACAAACATGATTCTAATTAAGGAGAAACATCTACATCTATTCAGATTTTTGTTTTAGAAACTGGCCTGGTCAAAGTACAAATAATTGATCAAAATGGATTTTGAAATATTTTTGGTTAATTCAGTATGCTGCATATTTTGGTTACTATGGCAATTTGAGGTCCTTTAATAATGTGAAAGCCTAATTTTTAAGGATGGGCAATCAGTGATTACTACTGTGCCCAAGTATCTTTGGACAGGGAGTGGGGAGGGTCCCCTAGGTAACAAATTGACTAAAAACTATTTCTATTCATAAATGATGTGCAGATTGTCCTTAGAAACAGCTAGCTTTTTCACTTTTTGTTGTGGCTGCAGTTACTTCTTTTTGGAGACACCCATTAATCACATTCTCTTTGTAAAATTTCCTTTATGCCTTTGCAATAAATCCATTTTGTAATTTTGTTAGTGACTTCTTGTTGCTTGGTCTTTTTTAAATGATAGCTTCCTGAAAACACACTGGACTTTTAACAAAATATGTCATCTCTAGGTTTTAGGGATAATCTAAATGTAAACCATTTTTGTGTGTTCTTATGAGTTGGGTGTGATGCAAAAGAGAGTTAAATATAATTAATTCACTTAAAAGAGCTTGGTTGGGTGTTGGTGATTCTCTACTTGGCTCAGTCATCAAGGGATAATGCGCTTGCAGCATGGTGCTTTTGCATAGAAAAAGCAATGCTCATCAGAAGAAGGTAAGAGTGCAATAGAGAATTTCCTACAACAGCAACATCCTTTATCTTCCTCGTCATTCACAGCAAATTTACAGTGTTCTTGGATAGGCAGATTGTGAATAGGATGGCCAGGTGAGGGACGGGGTTCCTGCACTTCGTTGTGAACAGGGATTTCAGCAGGTGTAGCTTTCATGACAAGCCACTCCATCTTCTACACAACTATTAAAGGTGTGGGAAGGTTCTGTCTTCTTTTTTTCTTACTGGCCTCCCTAGTTAGGAATGAACATGCCTGAAGACCATGTTGGTAGACATTATTGGGATGCTGCCTTAAACTGAATTAAGTCATTGGATCTTTTAACTCTCTACTGATTGCCAGCAATCCTCTGAAGCCGTTTGGGGGGTTGTAAGAAGGCTGCATGAGGAGAAGGGAAGCCCCATTGTGGAAGATCCGTACCCTTGGTTTTGAAACCTGAGGTGTATATTTTTAGGACCCACCTTACATTTTTGAGATGGTACATTGTTTTTAATTGTTTTTAATACTGTGTTTTAATGTAGTCTGTCTCGGATCAGAGGGTGAAGGACATGTAATAATGTCCACTCACACAATCACACATTCTATGTATTTCTAAGGGTATTCTATAATCCATAGCTATATTCCTGGTCCTGCAGTTATGTTTAATCTTTAGCCATTGACAAATGAGTCTTTCTTTTCAATGATGCAATGGCTAACATAAATCTCTGGATGGTTAGGAATATTCCTAAATTCTGGTTTGAAAATCCCTAAATTCTTGTATCTTTAATTAGTCCTATTTGGTAATGGGGTGTGCATGTGCAAGTGTTCATCCTGTCAAGTGACAGACCCTGTCATCCCCACTGTATTCAAGCTGTTGAATGCCTTAGATAACTTAATGTGTTGTGCACATGGCACACATTAAACAGCCCCATTTAACTATAGATGCATACTGGAAAGGTGGTCCATTCCTTGTTACTAAAGTCATAATTAAAAATTCAAAAATATAGTACAAAAATACCAGTTTAAAATTGATTAGATGCAGAATGGGGGAGTAACTCACTTCCTACGTTGAGGAAGAACCTTGTTTTTGATTAACAGCTTCTAAGATTAGCAGCAGTGTCTAGCATGGCTGAAATGTTTCCCTGCTACTTTTTGAATATTGTCATTTCTAAGGGCATTTATTCTTTGGAATCTGGCCCCTTTGCCCTGTGCAGAATGCAGGTGAGCCCGATTCTGTTCGGTGCTGTAATAGTGGGCACGGGGCCAGGGTAATCTATGTCTGCCACGGGTTTCGGCCCCTGTGTCAGTATATCTCTTATATGGCCTGCTGTTGCTGGGGCGTTTTTTTCAGATTGGGGGGGGCAGCCTGAAATGTTCTTCCATCCGGACCGGCAGGTGCAGCAGCCTCCAAACGGGCACATGGTCCTATGTCAGAAGCAGTCCGTCTACTCTGGCCCTCCGTGAAAAAGGGCTTCCTCTCGGGAAAGCGGCCACAGGATTGCAGCCTAAGGCACACGTGCAACCAAAGTACTGCAACGCGGTCAGCCAGCTGGCGGGTGCTCCCTTCGCGGAACAAAAAGAGCGCGCCTCGTATTCACCTTCCGATGACAGCGGCTGCGAGCCTGCGATTGGCTGCTGCCTCTGAGCAGCACGTGGGAGGGCGTGGCGGAGGATGCGTAGAGGGCGCGGCCTCTTCTCTACTCCCGGCGCCCTCCTTTTGTAGGCCACGCCCCCTTTCGCCACATTCTTTCTCCGCCTCCCGCTCTCAGGGGCGCAGCCACGCGAGACGTCCTCATCTGTTTGACCCAACGCTCTCCTCCCCTTCCTCCGGCCTCTCCCGGTCACATAGAGATAGGAGAGGAGGAAACTTAGAGTGACACGCGCACGCAGGACTTGTGGTCTTAACAGGGAGCTGGCTTCTCCCACTTCACTTACAAGGCGAGTTGACTGAGGGCAGAAAAAGCTGCTATGCTGCTGCCGAAGAGGATCCATCCGCGCACAGCGGCGTCTCGAAACATCTAAGCTTACAAGTTCGGGCTTCGCGCGAGTCTACACCTTTTCGTACCTCTAAGCTTTCTGAGCGCGCGCACACTTCCTTCTCCAAAATGGCGCTGGAGGCCAATCCGCTTCCGGGTGGCGCGGGTAGGCCGGGCTTGAGGAAGATGGCGGTAGCAGCAGCAGCAGGAGCAGGAGTGTCCGGGCGGGGTGGTCGAGGGCTGGCGTGCGCCTCTCCGGGCTGGGCGCTGCTGGGCCTTTTCCTGCTGCTGGGCTCTGCGGCTCAGCCTGGCGCCGCCACCACCCACTGGGTGGTCACCGAGGATGGCAAGATCCAGCAGCAGGTGAGGGAGGGGCTCCTCTGGCCGCTGTGGGAACCGTCGCCATAGAAACGCTTCCTCCCCCCCCCTTCCCTCTGCATTCTTCTCCCGGTGCCAAGGAGGGTCCGTCCCCTGTGTAGGGAAGGAGAGAGAGAGAGGCTCCGCGGGCGCGTTGCCGGTGCCTGAGGTGCAGCCCCTTCCCATCCCTCCCTTCCGCAGGGCACTTTCCAGCGCCGCTTCCCTTGCTGGCTCGAGTTTCCTTCCCTCCCTCTCAAGTCTCCAGGTGCACATGGCCGCGAGGTTCTTTCTAGAGAGGTGCGTGAGCAGATCCTGCAGGATCAGGCCAGTGGCCCAAATAGCCCAGCGTCCTGGGGAAACCAGCAAGCGGGGTTCGAGCACAAAAGCAGCTCTCCTCCTCTTCCCCTCCTGTGGTTTCCAGCAACCTCGTTGCTGCTGTTCTTGAAGCTCTTCCTTTGATCAGCGTTTCTGTGGTGGTGACCTAAGAAGAGTCCAGCAGGGATCCCTTTAGGACAGCAAAGTGCCTCTGAGGAAAGAGTGTGATGTAGGAATAGTGTCAGCAGGCCTTCCTTGTTGCTTTTCTGCCCACACCCCTTCTGGGCGGCCCACGGTTTGGTCTTCAGGTGTATACTGCCTCTGCTTATGGACATTTTCATTTAGTTACAGTAAAGGTTGACCTCTGTGAATTTATCTAAGCTATCACTGTGACACATTATGTAGTGGTGAATTCCATAAGTAACCATGTGTTACATGTAATAGAGAGATAAAGGTACTATTGGCCACCTGTCACTTTCATTGGGACCTTCATTCCGGAATAATGAGAGAGGTGAACTGAAGACTCCTCAGTTTCTCCACATGGTTTTATTAACAGGTCATGTGTCTTCATAGTCATCTTTCTCTAAAGAGCCCCAAATGTCCTAGCTAGCCATTCCTTGTTTGGAAGTCCAGCTCCCTGATCACTTTAGAAGCTCTTGTCTGTAGTGTTTTAAATATCTCCTAATTCCCAACATTTAGTTTTTCTTCCCCCACCCTACAATGCTGCACCTTCTGTTGAAGCTTTCATTTAAGGTTTTCTGTGGCACACAGTCATCTTCCACCTGAAATGCCCTTTTTGAGTCCTACAAAATCTCTTTCAAGTTTCATCTACAAGCATGGCTATCTCACGGCTCACCCTAATTCCATATCATATAGGAATGTTAAATGGCAATGGACCCAGTACAGAGTTTTGTTCAGAACATTTTGAAAATGTTCTGCTTATTCCTACCCTCTTCTGCATGATTTCACAACCAATCACCATTTCACAACCAATCACCATTTCACAACCATGACTACTGTTTACTTAGGAGCCTTGTTGGAAGTCCAAGTATGACTACTGAATCTCCCCTACCTTACATGCTTGTTGACACTCGAAGAATGAAAAGCAAAACATCCTTTGCGGAAGCCATTCTAATTAATTAATGTTGTTTAACCATCTAGTTTCAGTATTGCTTTCTACTAGTTTACTTAGGGCAGTAATTAGGATAAGTGGTTCTGTGATTTATCAGAGCCCCTCTGGCTCCCTTTTTAACAGGCTTGATTTCATAGGCAGCCATGTCAGTTTCACCTTTGCCCTCATTCAGTTTGTTCTGTTTCTTTCTTTCTTGGTGGAGAGACTTGGGCAGAGGTTGATAAGTACAAAGTTCCATGTCACTCTCTATTTCACACATCACTGCTTTTGAGTGAGTTTTATAAGTGAACCACAGAGCCATCAAACCCTCGCTTTAAGTATTATTTGGGCTATACCTGGGTGAAGCATTGCTCATTTATCGATAGGAAGATTTTCTGTTTTGAATGGCAAGGCAAGGCATCAGTCCACTAGACAGCAATGACTAGGCAAAGTATAAAAAGGTAAAGGGACCCCTGACCATTAGGTCCAGTCGTGACCGACTCTGGGATTGCGGCGCTCATCTCGCTTTATTGGCCGAGGGAGCCAGCGTTTGTCCACAGACAGTTTCCAGGTCATGTGGCCAGCATGACTAAGCCGCTTCTGGCGAACCAGAGCAGTGCACGGAAACGCCGTTTCCCTTCCCGCTGGAGTGGTACCTATTTATCTACTTGCACTTTGATGTGCTTTCGAACTGCTAGGTTGGCAGGAGCAGGGACTGAGCAACGGGAGCTCACCCCGTCATGGGGATTCGAACCGCCGACCTTCTGATCAGCAAGTCCTAGGCTCTGTGGTTTAACCCACAGCGTCACCCGCATCCCACAGGCAAGGTATAGAAGGTGGTAAATCTATTCAGCAGGTACAGTTCACCAGAAATGTAGTTTGGAAAAAGAATATCATGGCAGCTTGATTTTATAAGATGGCAGCTGTTTTATAAGTTAAATTTTTGCCAGCAGCTTGGAGCAGTTCTACCAAATTAAAAGGACTTATCTCATTTGAATTGCTTTCCTGTTATAAGTTGATGGGCTTTCATATAAAAGGTATTCCCTTTTATAGAGTGAATTCAATGGTTACCTACATATAATAACCTGTTTTTATAGGGCTTCCTGGTTTTCATTAGTATTACAAATCACATATTTTGTTGTTACCTAGATTTGTTGGTTCTCTTCTGTGCTTTATAACGTATGTCATAAGGTGGTGGGGTGAATCTGTAGGTAAGTTTAAGATGGTGAAAGTTTGGCTATGCTTAAACTTCATTGTACATTGTTGAGGTCTGCAACTAAATTTGTTTTCTGATCATAACTCTTTTACTTGTTACAAACTGTTCTTAATCTAGAGCCTCTGCTGATCACTTCCCAGTTTTGCTAGCTTTCTGATTTTCCTGTAATAATTAATATCCATACCATTTACCATATGAGATATTGAAAGTGACTCTAGTACAGTGGTACCTCGGGTTAAGTACTTAATTCATTCCGGAGGTCCGTACTTAACCTGAAACTGTTCTTAACCTGAAGCACCACTTTAACTAATGGGGCCTCCTACTGCTGCGCCGCCACCGGAGCACGATTTCTGTTCTCATCCTGTCCTGCAGCAAAGTTCTTAACCTGAAGCACTATTTCTGGGTTAGCAGAGTCTGTAACCTGAAGCGTATGTAACCTGAAGCGTATGTAACCTGAGGTACCACTGTATTTATTACACTTCTAATCCAATCTCCTTAAAGGGTACAAAGTCTGAGAGTTGGACTTGCTTCCCTGCTATGCAAAGTTGCCTCAGGTTTTGGTTGGTCCTAGTAAAGCTATTGTCTAACCATGAATTTTAGATATAAAACAGATGGTAAGCAACAAGTGTTTGTCTGCTACTGGACAGAATTAGTCAGCAGAATGGGGAGGGGGGCAATTTTTGGTGTTCCCTTCCTGCTGCCCCTCCTTGATCTTCTCTGGAGGGGACCCTTCGGAGCAGATTTCTGGGGAGCTTCAGGGGGTGAGGGGACAATTGAAATTGTTTCCATACCCAATCTTGCTGACAGTTTATCTTCTAACTGATCAAATACCAATGGATGTCATACTGTATTAGCTATTCTGGTGTGGAGATGCCTCTTAATTAAAAATTTAATATTTACTTATTAAAATGTGTATACTGTCTTTTATTTCAAATAAATATTGAGGTGGTTATAAATCAGTAAAACAGACAGCATATAACAAAATATGATAAAATGATATTAATGAAGCAGAAATAAAACATCAGGATCAGCTGCAGTAGCCAGAAATGCCAAGAATCAGTATTAACTCTTGGGCTGGGGTTTTTTGTTGCGGGGGGTTGTTGCTGTTCTTTTTTTGTATCTTTATTTTAGATCTTGCTTTATATGAAAATTGTTCCATTTGGTTCTGTATTTTTAATGTCTTATTTATTGTTTATAACTACTTTTGCTATGTTGTAGATATGTATTTTTTCATGTTGTAAGCCATCTTGCGCATGGTTTAAACTGTGGAAAGGCAGCATACAAATAAAATTATGTATGTGTGTATGTCAGTTGGGAAAACTTTGGTTAAAGAGCTATGTTTTAAATTGTTGGTGAAAGCTTCCATGAGTTGCTGTGCACCTGATCTCCATAAGGAGATCATTCCACAAGTTAGGGACCACTGGGGAAAGCCCTTATCTGTACATAGACATCTTCAGGCTATGATAAAGTTAACCAGGTCTGTTCAGCAGATCACAGTGCCTGGACTGGGCTGTGGTGTTAAAATCACCTAAAATGAGTAGACAGTCTTTTTTTGAGATCATGGGTAGAAAGGAAGTTGGTGCTGAATGGTGCCAGCAGCAAAGGTGGACTTGGGGCCACATTTCTAACATCTCTTTTTCTCTCCCTCTCCACTCAGGCTGCTGAAGGAGAGACAGATTGTAGCCATAGGACCACATAGGGCCCACTCTTGACTTCAAATATTACTGATTGGTAGATCAGTTTAGTGAATATTGGATTTGGGGGGAAATATCTGAATAATATAATTGTCAAATTATGCTGATTAGATGCTGCAAAATCTTCAGCTGTAACTATTCAAATGTCTTACAATATTCACACCACAGCTGATGTTGTCTATTACGTACAGTGTTTCCAGGGCTTTTTAAAAGAGTTGACAGAATTTCCTCATCTCAGACCTCTGCATTAAGCAAGTTCTGATGTTTTTGCATAAGCAGCACAGTGATTTTGCAACTTTGTGCTTATTTAAATTGCTCGTTCTCCTTTTGCCCAAGCCATAGTGACCCTTTTTGATTTCCAATGGAACTTGCATATGAGAAAATGTTTATAGGCTTAAATCCTACGTTCTCTTAGTTGAAAGTTGGATCCATGGAGATCAAGAGCACACATTTGCACAGATGTAATTAGGATCAGAGATGCTTTCCACCCACAGTCACATAGGGATTGTTTTTCCGTCATGTAATTTTACACAGTTGGGGACTGATGTGAATAATGCAATTACATGGGTGGGGCAGATTGTGTGGGTCTTTCTGTCTACTTTCTCTTTTCCCGTAATTCATGGATTCTATAAATGTTGCTGTTTTCACTGAAATGACCTCCTTTACTTGTGTAAGTAAAGAATAGTTGTAGAAATTCACAGTCCAGCTCATATTTACTCAGTGTAAGACCCAGCGGGGCTTAATCTCAAGTAAGTGCGCTTGGGGTTATAGCCTTAAAGATCTGTCAAATAGTTCCTTTAAAATACTGTTCCACCATGTTCATTTTGGTATTATTAAAGAGGGTATGGGGAATATTTTGCAGTTTTGTGTTGTGATGAAAAAGCTGGATAGTTGTTGAACACTCTGGTCAGAATAAAGATAGGATAGAATAGACAGGATAGACATATTAAACATGTTTGATTATATGAATAGTTAGCAATAAGGTGACCGATAAAAAGGCACAGGGTGCAATGCCTCTCTGCAATTAAACTCTTCTGAATTTCATGGCATGTTATGGCTGCCTATGCTTCTTCATAGATGTGTAGCATAAGCAAACTTGGCACTTAAGGCCCCACCTATGTTTAGTCAGCCTGAGATCCTTGACTAATTCAAAACTAACATTTTTAAGCATGCAACTGGCCTTTCAAAAAGCACCTCTGACTATAAACTAATTTACCATAAAAGATTCAGCAAAACAAGTAACAGAATATAAGAATCTAAAAACAAGCAGTGTATCCCAGTAGACTGTATTATATAAACAGATAACTCCCCTCACATTAAAAACCTTTTGGTTAACATAAACTGTTAACGGTAGTCTGACATGAGAACTTACCCGTACTGTATCATTTGGTTGTTATTTTGCATGCATTGCCTAAACACTATCTTCCGATTTAGGGTGGGATATTTTATTTTTTATCTTTATGATCTTGTTAATACTCAAAAGAAATCTGCTAAACCATCCAGGAGCTTCAATGGGGTCCCACCCCCCATCTCTTGGCAGCTATCAGAATCCAACCAACATCATCCAAACATCTAATTGAAATGGGTTTAGAATGATCTGTTTCATGCAGGAGTATCTTGAACTGCTTAACAATTGCCTTCCCTGCTCATTTGTGAGGAAAGGGAACCTTATACATATTTGTAATTCTGCAAAACAAGAGGATCTGTGAAGACCGTTGGATGGATAGATGTGTGCGTTTGCACACAAGTTATACTATTTTATCAGCAACTTTCTGAAAATAGATGTTCTATTTCTGCCCTAAGGTACAAAGGTGGATTCATGCTAAATGGCATTATTCCATGTCCATTGAACCCTGCTGCCTACTATGAAGTAGAATCCTTTTCCTACTTCTATTATTATTTGCAAGGGTCCATTTAGGTGTGCCGCCTGCTTTCAATGAAAATGTGATCATAGCCTAGACTACATGAGATATCCTCCAGGGTAAGAAGAGCCTCCTAGATCAGGCCAGTGGCCCTCATCCAGCATCCTTACAGTGCCCAGTCAGATGCCTATGGGAATGTGCTAGCAGGACCTGAACGCAACAGCACTCTCACTTCCTTCACTTTCTAGCTCTGGACCCCTGCCCACTGGCTGGGCCAGGGAAGTGATTAATATCTCAGCAGCTTTTGATACCATCAACCATGGTATCCTTCTGGGGCGGCTGTCCGAGGTAGGGGTACATGGCACCACTTTGCAGTAGTTCTAGTCTGGGGATTTTGCTTTGGCCCTGTGGAGCCTTCAATGTGGGGTTGCTCAGGGTTCAATTTTATTCCATATACAGTGGTACCTCAGTTTACGAACTTAATCAATTCCGGAAGTCCGTCCTTAAACCGAAACCGTTCTTAAACCGAGGCGCACTTTCCCTAATGAGGCCTCCCATCGCTGGTGCCCTTCCGCCATTCGGCTTGCGTTCTTAGACCGAGGTAAAGTTCACAAACCAGGACACTACTTCCAGTTTTGCGGAGTTCGTAAACTGAATACAGTGGTACCTCGGGTTAAGAACTTAATTCGTTCTGGAGGTCCGTTCTTTTCTTTTTTAAAAACTTTTTTTTAATTCAAAATTAAAACAAAACATATTACCCAGAAACACATCATCCTTATTTTTTCCCCCATTTTTCCTCCCTCCCCCCCACCCTCCCCCACAAAACCCACCCACCCCCACCCCCGGCTTCCCTCAGTTCCAGTCTTTTATTTCTCTAAGAAGGCTGTTTTCTGCATGTTACACAGTTGTATAGATCCTCAAACTATTTAGCTGATTATTATAAATAAAAAGTCTGTTCTTAACCTGAAACTGTTCTTAACCTGAGGTACCACTCTAGCTAATGGGGCCGCACCGCCGCACCGCAATTTCTGTTCTTATCCTGAAGCAAAGTTCTTAACCCGAGGTACTATTTCTGGGTTAGCAGAGTCTGTAACCTGAAGCGTCTGTAACCCAGGGTACCACTGTAGTTCGTAAACAGGACTGTTCTTAAACCGAGGAACCACTGTACTGTTCAACATCAACATGAAATTGCTGTGTGGGGATATCTGGAGTTCGGAGTACATTGTCAGCAATATGCTGATGACACACAGCTCTGCTTCTCCTTCACATCTGCAGATGTGGCAGTGGGTGTGCTGGACCTTTGTCTTTCCTCAGTAACGGACTGGATGAGAGCCAACAAGCTGAAGCTCAATCCAGATAAGGCTGAGGCACTGTTAGTGGGTGGTTCTCTAGACCAGATGGATGGGAGGTTGCCTGCTCTTGATGGGGTTGCACTGCCTTTGAAGGAGCAAGTATGCAGCTTGGGGGTACTTCTGGAGCCATTGCTGCCAGTTGAGGTTCAGATGGCCTTGGTGGCACAGAGTGCTTTCCATCAGCTTTGGCTGGTGGCCCAGCTTTGCCCCTACCTGGACAGGAATAGCTTAACTTCTGTAGTCTATGCTCTGGTAACCTTTGGTTACATTATAGTAGGCATCCCCAACCTACGGCCCTCCAGATGTTTTGGCCTACAACTCCCATGATCCCTAGCTAACAGGATCAGTGGTCAGGGATTATGGGAATTGTAGTCCAAAACATCTGGAGGGCCGAAGGTTAGGGTTGCCTGCATTATAGCAACATGTTACACATGGAATTGCCTCTGAAGATGATTCAGAAACTTCAGCTGCTGCAGAATTCGGCAGCCAAAATTCTTGCTCACTCAGGGCATGATGATTTATACATATAAGGCTAATCCTGGCCTGATTGCATTGGCTGCCAGTTAGTTTCCAGGCCCAATTCAGTGTGCTGGTTTTGACCCATAAATCCCTAAATGGCTTAGGGTCACAATACCTCAAAGACCACCTCCCCCCGTATGGACCAACCAGGACCCTGTTATCATCATCTGACACCCTTCTTCATGTGCCCTCTCCACAAGATGTCTTGTGGAGGATGGCAACACAAGAATCAGCCTTTTTTGCAGTGGCTCCCCATTTCTGGAATGCTCCCTCCAAGGAGGCTGGCCTGGCAAATTCATTACATATATTTGGGGGCTAGGCTAAAACATTACTCCTTAACCAGGCTTTTGGCTGATTAACATTCTATGTCCTTTTAAATGTGTTTGGGGGGGTTGTTTTTGTTTTGTTAAGTATTTTGTGTTCTCATTTTGTATTTTTATGTTGTGAACCACCCTGTGATCTTCAGAAGAAAGTCAATATACAAATTTAATTAATAATAATAAGTGGTGATTTTCCCCTTCATAAATAACCCTCAGAAAATGATGGAGTCAAACTTCTACTTTCCTGTACAGCAGCACTAGCAAACTCAATGTGCAAATCAGGGAAAGCAATTCACTGGCATTTTAGTAATGTGGATCTAACTTATATTTTATAGCTAGATAACTATATTAACGATTAACCTACTATACTAAGTGTAAGATTTTACTCTTAACAGACCTACGCCCTTACTAAGTATAAAATTTTAATCTTACATTCAGTAGTGCTGAAAGTCTGAGAAATCAGAGATATGACGAACTAATTGGGGTGACCCTATCTCCCAACAAATATTGTCAAAATGTAAATGTTCTGACGCTATACAATTGTTGGCACACACTTTAGATTATAACACAGAGTATGTTTTTAACTACTTAATCCTCATACCAAATTGCCCAACATTATGTAATATGCGTAATTACTGAAGCTAAGCATCGGATCTTGTCAGTACGCGGGTTCCATGAGGAAAGAAAAGTAGGATATAAATATAAGAAAACAAATAAAAACAGCATTATGTTTCAATGCCCTATATCCTAAGCTTCTGAAAGTTGCCTGTAGCCATTTGGCAATTTATAGTGTTCAGAAATTCCTCAGTGCTGTAGCCTGTTACCAGCAAATGCCTGAATATTCAGCTGTCTAAACATTAAGGATGTTTAATAATGCAGCTATTCTGAACTGTCTTCTAGGTCGACTCGCCAATGAACCTGAAACATCCTCACGATTTAGTAATACTAATGAGACAAGAAACAACTGTTAACTACCTCAAAGAGTTGGAGGTGAGGCTGTTAATGAAATGGTCTTGGAAACCTGCTTTGTAGGTACTGAAAAGTATGAAATGCTAATTTCCTGATAAAAGAAGTGCATTTGGAGAGTGATAAATACTGATGCTGGAAGCTTTAGCATCAATAGTTTTTTCTTCATATTTATTATTTCAGTCTCTATGCATAAAACCTGCAACTTAAATAAAAAAGTGTTGAAGCTTTTTGGCTTTCCTTTACTATTGGAACTGTAAAGCGTGGTCAGGTTCCAGTGAACCATGGAATTCGTTCTCTGAGTCCAAAGGGCTCCAAGCTTTTTCTCCTTGAAGAACAGCCTCTCTCACCTCATGAAAATTTCTTTGAAACTGAGTGGCATTTCAGAAACCATATCTGACATGGTTTTCATTTTGATATTCCAGACACCAAACATCTGAACCAAAGCACAGGCTCATGAAAGCTCATGCTTTACTACAGTAAAGCATTCTACAGCTTCTAAACATCTCCCATCTAAAAAGAGGGACCAGTCTGAAGCTTGAGCAGTGCCAGAAAAAGCACGCTAGTTCTCTGTGTGTCTGTCTTTCTTAAAGAGCATCCCATGTCTGAAGCCAGCTAGCAAGTTTATAATGTAGCTAGGATTGGGGGTTCTGCTGGTTAAAGAAACCAAAGCCATACAGAGAATTCCCAGCCCCTTCAGCAGACATAAAGAAATTTCTTTGCATCCTAGTCAGAGACGTCAATAAGTCACTATGTACAGCTAAGAGCACTCTTGGCCCTGTTTTGTGCAGATGATCCTACGTACATACATATCACTGTATTTTGGACCTTAATCACTAAAAGAATGAGTAGCAACCTTGATCCTTTATGAAGACTTGTTCACATGACAGTGATTAATTGTGGCTCTCAGTGTTTGAAGTGTCCAATCTTTACACTGGGATGGGGGGAAATTAAAGTCTTAAGTGTTGTATCCTGAAAAGCATGAGCAACAGAGCTGACCTACCTTCCTACTTTCACTGCAACCCCTTGCAACCTTCCCCAAGAAGCCTTTTGAAATACCTTGGTATGCGGTTCTGTTTCAAACAATGTTTTGTTTTTTGTATCTCTTCTAGAAGCAATTGGTTGCTCAGAAGATCCATATAGAGGAGAATGAAGACAGAGACACAGGACTGGAACAAAGACATAATAAGGAAGATCCGGATTGCATTAAAGCAAAGGTGCCTTTGGGGGACTTGGATCTCTATGATGGCACTTACATCACCTTGGAGAGCAAAGATATCAGGTAGTGAGATGATTAATTGTATGAAATTTTTGCAACAGCTGTAATTTCAGATTGTCGGATTATGATTGTGCCATTGGGAATCAGGTTGAAATAATAAGTGACTGTTAAGGTAATGAGTAGCTCTCCTGAATATTCCAAAAAAGATATTTATAGTCATCTCAACAATATTTGCTTATGTGTCTTTTCTAGGCATTCCTAAACTTTGTTGCATTCATTCTTGGTGAAGTAGGCTTTCTCCACAGCATCATTTCAAATGTACAGGCAACACTCAACTTAGGCAGGGGTAATGTTGTGGGATAGCACATAAAGCCAAAATTGCATATAGTCAAAACCCATTGGGTTCCATGGTTTGTCAAAGTATTTTCCTGGATGTCTACCCCCTTAATTTTTTAATTTTTTTTAATGCCAAGGGCATAAAGCTTTATGTGCACAAGTTAAATGTGTATAAGTTGTGAGTTGCCTCTATTTCAGAACTTGATTCCAAACCTCCTTTATTCAGCGTCAGTATGGCAGAATCCAAAAGAGTTCCTTAATTTTGAATATTGTTCATTTTAATTATTTGAGCTAGGATATGCACTTCAGAAAGTACCCACTATAGGATCCTAACTGAATTGTTTTGTGCCTGCTTTGGGGGGGAAAGAGATTAGTACTAGTTTATAGTCTTAAACTGAAGACTCAGCAGATACAATTTTAATGCAAGTTGATCTGATGTAGATAGAAAAATATATAGTGTTAGTTGACTTAAAACAGATAATGTTAATCAGCATTCCTACATGACTTAGTTCCCATTCCTAGTATTTTGTGATATTTTCGACTGCAAACAAATATGCTAATGTTTGTGTTGCTATTTGGTTTTAGCCCTGAGGACTACGTAGACACAAAGTCTCCTTTACCTCCAGACTTAGAAGAGCCAGAATGCACAAAAATTCTAGATCTTCCATATAGCATTCATGCGTTCCAGCACTTACGGGTAAGTAATTAATGATGTAGTCTTTCGTTACTTTACCTCTAATCTGCCTTTCTTCCTGAGATGTCCAAGTAGATTCAGATAGGCAGGACTGCTTTGTCTTACAATCACTTTAAAGTATGTTATCTGTTAATTGAAGTAAATCTGAATAACTTTCTTCTTAAAGCAGCCTAGTAATATTTGTAGCCACATTACTGAACATTTTGGCTAGACTTGGAAATCATTGCAAAGCTTCTAGTGATGATGCTTGCAATTCCCTCTCCAGCTTTCTGGCCTACAATGACTACTGTCTCATATTTCCTCCCCCACATGCATCCTAACTTCAGTTTCTATCACTTAATAGCTTTTTCTTCCCCGCGCCTCATTTTGTCAGAAATGTTCAGATTTTTTTTTTCTAAAAGAAAAATATTGGAAAATTTTGCTGGTGCAGAATTTGGATTTTTCTAAATAGGTAGCAAATAACACAGTAGGCTTGGTTATCTTATGCATTGTAACAAACATTGTTATTCTGCTACAGCACTTAAAGCAGCTGAAGTTCTTCAAAATTTCCCACTAACTGCAGCCTAAATTGTATGTGGGTGTTTTAGGATAAAAATAGCTGAAGGTATTGATGGAACAATACTTAAACATGATTTTATATGGAATACTAGAACAATACATTTTCTAAATAACAGATGCAGCAATTTTGTGCGCTTATCTGGAAGTAAGTCCTATTAAATGTTGTGGGGCTTACATCTGAGTAGACTGCTATAGGATTCAGTAAACTAGATATTACCTTTTCAGAAATGATGCTTTATGCGTTGAAATTTTGGGGCAGTATTTGCTGAATTGGGGAGTTGTGGGTAAATTTGACATGAGGAATTACTGGCTACCTTCTACCACCTTATCATAGGTGATTCCTGCTGATTCCTGGGTATTTCTGTAAAGAATGCTGAAATAGGTGGAGCTGTGTATCAAAGCGTTACTTATTTTCTTAAGCAGAAGTTCATATTCAGTATTCACACAGATTAGCTAACTGTTAAGAAATTCTGAATGCACACTCCTGCTATGAAAATGTGAAGACATTACTGGACCACAGAAGTTTTTGTAAAATGAAAAAAAGCAGACAACAAAAGACCGAAGTCTGTCCACCTTGATAGTAGAGAATCCCATTTTATTTATCAGTCACTGACTTTTTTCTTTTTCTATCCTCTCTGTCCCCCACCCAGGGTATTCAAGAAAGAGTTAATCTTTCTGCACCCTTGTTACCTAAAGAAGATCCTATATTGACATACTTATCAAGACGGTTAGGAAGAAGCATAGACGAGATAGGCCACCGCATTTATGAAGGTCTCATGAAGGTAACCACCTTGTGTGTGTCCCCAAAATGAGTGTATAGAAGCTTTGATTCAACATGAATATGCTTTATATTTAGCAGGCACTTAAATCTTCACATGCCTTCTGTCTGCTAGTTAAGGAAAAACATCCCAATGGATGCTTACTTACCCTAAGTGCTCATCTGATTTTTATGCGGCTTTTCTCCCTGTGAACCAAGACAATCTGTAAAGTCTGCAAACTTCTACCAGTGGCCATTTAAATGAGGACCACTATAGTGCCTTGAATCTTAATTTGTGTAATTTTTAATTTGGGGTTTTATGTGTTCTGTTACATTTTATGTGTGATATGTGTTTAGTCGTTTAGTCGTGTCCGACTCTTCGTGACCCCATGGACCAGAGCTGTTGCCTTTGTCCATGGAGTTTTCTTGGCAGGGATACTGGAGTGGCTTGCCGGTTCCTGCTCCAATGTGTGATATACTCTTTGTATAAATTGCAGTGAGTAGTGGCTGATGCAGATACATTTCTATCTATCTGTAGCAGATATATAGCCAACTCATTTTTGTTTTAATCAGTGGGCAGGAATCAGTTAACAAGTTCCATTAGTGGAAGTTTGTACAATGACTTCCACTAACACAGCAGGACTTCCTCCCCCCCCCCCCTGCCCCTGAAATTGGCCTGGGGGGGGGAATCCCTAAGCAGTGCACAAGGGGCAGTTGTTGTGTCTCACAAGTTTCTCCTGACAGAACAATTGCCACAGCACCATGTTAAATTCCTTCTAGAGTTTTTATTTCATTAGCCCTCCCAAGTTTTCATATACTGTGAAGACTAGAAGAAAATGGATTGCATGCAGGTCCCGGTTTCTGGATACAATGCATCCCCAGAAAATCGTTCGTTAGGCATTCACATAATGAGCTGGCAATTTCCTCTTTTTCCTGTGGGAACATTTCTAATGCAGTCTCTCTCCCCACTTCATCCATGGTTTCTTCCTGAAATGGCTGCAGCCAACCAGCAAAAGGAAAAACTGATTTGTCCAATCTCTTTCCATCCCTCCCCCCTCCCCACATGGCTCGAAAAAGACTGCCACTGACCTGCGGAGCACAAACAAGTAAGGAAGTGGACAGACTCTGGCTGTTCATAGCTGAATCAGCCATTCATGTAGCAAGGTTTAGGCATAACTCTTTATATTCACATAACTGAATTTGGGGATAACAGGCATTCTGATAGTGCGTGTATGTTCAGAATCCTGTTTCAGCCACCAACAGCTAAAAAGTTTAGTAACTTAAAAAAAAAAGTAAACATTTCTTGTGTCTCCTGTTCTTCGCAGAATTCTTCTTCTTGGGTATTATATAATATGGCTTCCTTCTACTGGCGAATAAAGAATGAGCCATACCAAGTAGTGGAGTGTGCCATGCGGGCTCTCCATTTTTCTACAAGGTGAGGCAAATGAATTTTTATTAGCAGCATAATACAGTCTGTTGTATGATTTGAAAATTAAGCTAATCGAGGGTGGCAGTTGCTTCCCCCTTAGGATTGACAGGCCAATGCAGTTAAATGATGGAGTTGTAGATGCATATAGATATCTAGAGATTCTGCCATCTCTTGTTTGACTTACACCAGGCTCTTTGGATGGGTGTCTCTTGCTTTGTGCTGTTGGCTTATCTGAACCATATCACAGTGGATGCTAAATAGTGTGCATGTGTATGTTGTCCTGCTTATACAAAGATGTGTGGGAATAACTTAGGCTAGCTTTGGCATGTTCCCTGCTCCGTAACCAAAGTTACTTAGTCATAACGCACTTCAGAATATTATTCTTTATCAGCAAATGATGTTGAAATTATTACTACTATTTATAACTTACCGAACTACAATAGTTAATTCTGGTTTTAGAACCAAATAAGGAAGAAGACTATTTATACATAATTGTGCGTCATCTGATGGAAGTACTGGCTGAATTGCTCTTCATTATAAAAAAAAAAACAGCAGCCTTCTCCAAAACCATTGTGCTCAGTCAACCCATGTGCTTTTAGACTACTGACATTCCTAGCAATAGATAAAAGTATAAGACAGCAGGATAGATGTACACGCTTTTGGATATAAAAAGACACTTCATATTAAACCAGTCGCTTAGGAAGCTCTGGGCTATTGTTATGTCTGAATTGCATTTTTGCATAGATTCTGCCTAGTAGCTTCTCAGTAGTTCTCACTTTCCTGCATGCAAGTAATCAGAGATCGAACCTGAGGCCAGAGGCTTGCCAGTTGCTTAGAAATGCCTTAGGATATCATCTTAATGACCGCTTTGTTTTTTCCCTCTCTTTCAGGCACAATAAAGATGTTGCACTGATAAACCTGGCAAATGTGCTACACAGGGCGCACTTCTCTGCTGATGCAGCCATTGTGGTCCATGCAGCTCTGGATTACAGTGACGTCTTCACCAGCTATTATACTTTAGGAAACATATATGCAGTAAATAATATCTTATTTTTCAGTTATCTAGAAAGATTATACCACATTGATTAGCTCTCTTACAAATTGAACAGTGAGACTTATGCATCTTCAGGACAAGAATGTTTTGAATTTGGCTATCTTTGAAGATCTTTAAACCGACAGATAACATTTATTTGCATTTTTGCTGCTGTTGTTGTTTTGGAGGGCCTCACTAAAGCAGCCATGATGTATTAAACATGATTCTATTTCCAGAGCAGTCACATGCTGAAACTCGTAATCAATATGAAATTCAGAAGCTACATTAAATGTTCATATTACATTTGAATGCTGCTAACATGTCTTTTTTCCCCTCAATCCCTTTTTTCAGATGCTTGGGGAATACAACCACTCAGTACTATGTTATGATCATGCTTTACAGGCAAAACCAGGGTTTGAACAAGCAATTAAAAGGAAGCATGCTGTCCTATGTCAGCAAAAGCTTGAGCAGAAACTGGAGGCTCAGCACAGGTAGTGAATTTATCCTCAAAATTCATACACAGGCTTGTTCAGATTTACTTTCTTGTTTACTACTTCCTTAAAATAAAATATAAAACTGCATAATTTTAAATCTAAGGAAAATTAAAGCACACACTGCAGCATTGAAAATCAGCTGCATGGTAGCATGCTGTAAGTTAACTGTGTCGTTTAATAAAACCTAAGAAACAAGTATACAGGAAAACCAACCTTGAAAGTAAGTACTGACATAAGTGTGTAAGCAAAAGCTATTTTAAGCAACTTAAATGTCCTTTTCTTTGGTGTTAAATTTTTCAAGATCACTTCAGCGAACATTAAATGAACTGAAGGAATATCAAAAGCAACATGACCATTACTTAAGGCAGCAAGAGATCTTAGAAAAGCACAAGCTGATTCAGGAAGAACAGATCCTGAGGAACATTATCCATGAAACACAGATGGCGAAAGAGGCACAACTAGGTATCTGTTGTGTAACAAGATGTTCATTGGGAAATGTAAAAGCCGAAATGAAATTTGTATGTTTGTCCAAGGAATTCAGGTTTCAGGTAAAACCAGGGCTTTTGAATAAACCAACTCACTGATTAGAACACTTGCTGACGGCATATTAAAAATGCCAAAAAGTTGCATTATAGTGTGTTCTGCTCTAACAAACAGACTCTCCTTTTAGCATGCAGCCCCTTGTCTCCACTACAAAAAGCCACTTTTGAAGGTCACAGGACCTTCTGGAGTAACATTCTGTTAAACATGAGAGTCTCTGTTTAACAGAGTTTCTGTTTAATTCTGTTAAATTCTCTGTTTAATTCTGTTAAACATTCTGTTAAACCTGAGAGGAAAACCAGCAACCTTCCTTGTTCAAAAGAAATGTGTCACATGCATGGGCCTCTGAATTCTGCCTGTAAATTCAATGTGCTCCAAAGTACTAAAAATGCATGTTTCTTAAGAGCCCTGTAGTCTGGAGCCAAGGTTAGCAAATGCATTTCTTTCTGGCAAAAACTGAAGTGCTGGCCAAGATAGCCAATATGCACAAGCTCTGTGTGGACCAAGATAGTGAGTAATTTATTATCTAAAATGCTCTTCCTCCATGCAGAATCGAGAAACATAATAAAAAAGGGAAATTAAGAATCATTTGTTTTCGGATGCTTAGCTTGGAAGAAATCTGTTAGGTATATCTTCTTGATCCTAAATGCTGTCAACCATAATTTTGTTAGCTTTTAACTTGAATTTTATGTTTATATACTGCAGGAAACCATCAGATTTGTCGCCTGGGCAACCAGCAGCACAGTTTGCATTGCCAGTGGGACCAACCTGTCCGTTATCACCGTGGTGACATGTTTGAAAATGTTGAATATGTTGAGGTTTGTCTGTAGAGCATTGCTCTCCCTGCTTCATGATCTATAGTGAGGGGTACACATCTTCCTGAGGTGTCTAATAGATGAGGATATTCCTTTTATACCTATTTCTATTTACCCTAGCACAAGATTTTAAAACAAAACTGGGGTGCAGGGAGTTCCAATCAATCCAATATGTAGGTTCCCTTTGGAGCCCCATCTTCCATCTTAGAAGGCATAAACTGCCTGGCTCCTAAACACAACAGACATTATGCATTCATTCCAGGTTGCTGATCACTGTATCTTGTCCTGAGCATCAGACGGAAAAAAGCACCCAGATATTGAAACAAACTTACTTTGTGGCTCCCTGCCTCATCTTTGGATTTTGATCATCAATAACTCCTTCATGGTGTGCTCAGACACTAGATACGTGATGAATGGGTTTCAGGGAAAACAAAACTAGCTTTCACACTGTTCATCAAGAGAAGGAAATTGAAAGTATTGTCTGGCAAAATGTGTTTGTTTGTTTTTTAATGCTTTGAAGAAAGATTGTGCCTACTTTAGAACCTGTAGTTCTGAAGTTTGGGGAGGTGATTTGCACTGCTGCTTAAAATTATTAATATCAGGGCTGTTGATTTTCTCAGCATCTTGTGAGGGGGCTTCCCATATTTTCCAACATGCTCAGAATTGCACTGCATGCAACCCAATGTAGGTAGTTTTTTGTAAGGAAGTAGTTTTTTTCTTAAAGAAGTCTCTTTGAGGTGTCAATTTCATGCTCCAAACTTTTCTTATGCATTTTCTGTTTCTAGTTTGGCAGTGATTCTTCCATTTCCAGTATGACATCCATGAATTCTGAACTTCATGCCAACCACAGTGACTTTGGCCATTCCTTGGAGTCTTCCCCTTTGGTCCATTCTGTCTTCTCATTATGGGGCCTGGAATCTGAGGCTTACAGGGTAAGTGGATAGGGTAGCTATGACTTTTCTTTCCTAGGCAAGGCCTCCTAGCCAGTTTCATTGTTTGCTAGTAGTGTTCTGCTAAAGACAAGTACATAACTAACAATATGCATAAAATAAAGCTAATCTATTTTGGGCCTCTTGTTGGCAGTGGTGTCTGTGCACAAGCAGAATGGACTTCCCCTCATCCAATAGGACTTCTCATTCCTCTCCTCCCCCTGCATCCCCGACCCCATTTGCTTCCTCAAGGTGAAGTCCCATTGTGTGAGCGAACGTCCACTCTCAAAACGTTAGCTTCCTCCCAAGGTACCTTCTGGGTCACTCTGGTTTTGTCTCTCCTCCCAACTCTGGTTTTGTCTCTCCATTCACAACTCTGTCTGCCACCAAAACTGCAAAGATGTTATGATAGTAAACCATGGTGAACAGAGTTCAAAACTGCAGGGCAGCCATCTGACTTTTGTCATGGATTTTGCTTGATAAACTGGGAATCACTGCCCAAAGAAAGTGGAAGCATTTAGAAGTTCTGGTTTCTTGCATTCTGGCGAGTTTTCTCTAGCAAGTAGAAAATCAGAGAGTCATAACTGGTAAACCCACTTCGTGATACCTTAAGAAATATTTTCTCTGTGATCAGGAGAAGCAGAATATTTTGTGGCCTAAAAGATCAGAGTGTGTAAAAACCTATCCAGCTATCCCCTCCCCAGGAGAACTACCAACTTATTTCCTGCATCCAGAAAGCAGGGGGCAAAGGTGAGTACTGTTAATAAATTAATTCATATGTCATTTGTATGCAAGTGTAGCCAGAGCAGCTCGCCGCAGCAGCAACATAATAATAGTATAATATAAAAATACAGTTATTGAAACATGTAATATGCCTAGCACTGAAAAACCAACAGCAATGAGACTAAAAGATGTTGCATGTGATGTTCAGTTAGAAAACTGGAAAATAGGCTGCAGTCCTTTGCATGCTACCTTTAGAGTAAATCAGAATGAGTTCAGTGGGATTTACTTCAGTGGGATTTTCTTTTTCAGGTTACCTTTAGTGCTGTGGCATAGTAAAGAGTGCCAAACCAAAGGTACTATTGTCTGACAGTAATGAACATTTGTTCTGCCTCTCTAGTTTATAAAGCAATTTAATTCTACTATTATTGTTGCCTTTCAATTGGTACTCCTGTAGCCTGAATCATATTCTTATACCTGTGTGGTGTTTGTTTAAATTTCTTAGAATCCATTCAATACTTAGCAGTCCAGGGGATGACGATGCACAAACAGAGGTCTATGAGCCAGATTGTTCTTCCATTTCTGATGCCCATAACAGTGACTCTATGCACTTTTTGATCAAAGAACTAGACAGTCATCTGGATCTGAGGGTAAAGATGCCAGATGATCATGCCAAACAAGTAAGAGATTTTATGATTATATTTGAAGATTGTTAGTATACTTCTGGTCTTCTCTGTCCTATAAATTGTCACTTCCAGACTTGACAACCTCTTGAAAGCAAGAGGTCTTCCCACATAAAATTCAGTTTGGAAATGGCCAAGTCACCACGGAAGGGAAGCCTGTAGCCATTACAACATGTTTGTTTCAATTGACAGTCACCTATCCTCAAAATGTTTGAGGCAACACCCTGCTTTTGCATTACGATCAGATTCTGTGAACTTGGCTTATTCGGTTAGTTGACATGATACAGGTGCAAGGAATCATTAATGCACTCCAAATTAGTGGTGCTTTACATTGTGGTATTGCTGGTGGCTAAGAGTGTGAGCTGTGAATTAGGAAATTCATAACTGGCATCTTACCACTGCTGTGAACTTGCTAGGTGGCCTAAGGCAAGCCAGTTTCTCTCAGTCTTAGCACTGAATCACCCCAGCAATATGGGCAAAATTATTACCTCCTTTCCCTCTGTAAGGGACCAGAAGTAGCTGTTGCTAAATCAAGCCAGCTTAGGTTATATTACTGGACTATTTAGACTTGCGGTTTCTGTTTGTTTTCTGTTGGATTTTGACTATGTTGTTTTCTCCAAACTCTCTACCAACAATAAGCCTTCATGCAGATAGCATAAGACTTATCTGGTTTTAGCCAAAGTTCAGGTTGCTTGTTTTCAGTTCTACGATCATCATTGTCTCTACAAGCATAATACATTATTTGTTTAATTTATGAAGTTAACATGAGTTGTTGAATTTTCCAGTTGAATTGCAAGGATTTTTCCAGTCTTTGCAATTTAGCCATAACCATCCAAATAAAAAAGGAGGCTCTCTTGGGTTTTCATTTTGTGATAAAACCTGCTGATCCTTTAGATCATTAAATTTGAATTACCAAACGTAAGTTTTCTGCATTAAAGTCTTACATTCCATAGGTTCAAATGTATGGTTTTAAACACTTCTCTGTCTTGCACAGATATTATACTCTCGTGTCAACAATCAATCAGTTACACAGCAGCAAATAGGATCATTCATCTATCATGCCATTGTAAAGGTAATTCCAATGACCGCAATTTTTATTTTCCTCTTAGAGTATATTTTTATTTTCCTCTTAGAGTATATGGATTTTTTTCCAGAATCCCAAAGGGCCCTCATGTACAGAAGCAAGAATCTCTTTAATTTATTCAGAGTGTTCCACTTAAGTCAACTGTAAATCATTCCACTTCTTTATTTTTGTCAGAAATGTTTGTGATTTTTGTGCATGAAAAGTGCTGATTTGGTCAGATTTTACAGCCTCCATGAGTGATTGACATAGAGTGAAATAAGGACAGACAAAGAATATAATACCACGAGTACCAATGATGACTAGAAATTGAATTTGTTTCAAGCTATTCTTGTTATGATTGAAAACATACAGGGGCCTTTTGTCAAAAAATATATTGATAGCTGTGAAGCCTTGGATTGACAAATACTGAAGGAGATTTACAGGTCAATATTCCTGCTGTACAGTGAAAATGCTTGTATGGCTATACCTATGATTTTAAGAAATATAGCAATCTAGGAAATTGTAGGAAAGAAATTCTGCTGCAGTGCTGCTGCCTTCCAAAAGAAAATGTACAGTGCCAGCTCTGGTAAATGTTGGAAATGTAATAGTATATTCTGAATTATAGCATTTTAACCATACAGGAATGCTAGAAGGATAGGGTAGGTATCCCAGAGACTATAGAATTGTGTATTTGCTTTATCTATAGAGGCTTCCTAATGGCATATGTTCTATGGACAGCTCACGATATAAAAGAGTAAAATATAACAACAGCAGAATTAAAATAGCAGCATAAAAGCTTTTGAACCCACAGAAAGGAGACATAACTTGTAAGAAAATACATGCATGTAGATACTCATGTTGTAATGTGAATTGTTTGATTCACAGAATACTAGCACTCTTGGTCTATTTAATTACATATTGTATTCTAAGCAAGACTCTCAAGTAGCTTTTGTTTCTGTAATATATATATATATTTTCAAAATCCCTGCTGATTCACAGTTCTACTTAACTGATGAGTTATTAAACAGATCTTAGACCTTAGACATGGGCCTTAGAAATACAGTAACACCTTCCGCATTATATAGGGCCATAATCTTGCAAAACTGCAGTTATGCAAATCTGTTCTTTTATTGTTAATGCTGCTTTTGATGCAAGCCATAAATACTGCAGAAAGCACTTGGATAGCTGTGAAATGGGGGCTAAACATGCTCCCTGCCCTTGGAGACTCCAGACATTGAGAATCAAGCCTGCTCTCACCTGCATCAGCACATCCTATGTTCCTTGTTTCACTAGGGTGTGATAGAATATTGGGAAGTGGTTAGATCAATGTTTTGCTGTGTGCAGCTGATTTGTATATGCATGACCCTCCAGCAGTGATCTCTGCAAACACCTGTAGCTGTAACATCTAGGGCGGCAATGGTAGTCTAACATGGTAAAGCATGGAATGAGATTAATGAGGGTAGCCTTTCTTTTTTGTGGTTAATTTCAGGCAAGGGATCCCTTATGGTTGGTTCTCAATGAGGCTGGCCTTTACTGGCGTGCATTTGGAAATGGCACCTTCGCCTTCACTTGCTTACAAAAGGCCTTTAACTTGACCCCACATGAATTCCAGGATATCCCTTTAGTCAATCTAGCCAACCTTCTAATTCATTATGGTCTTCATCTGGATGCCAGCAAGCTTCTCCGAAAAGCTTTAGCCATCAATGGTTCTGAGGTGAGTCTTCGTTTTCCCCCCCTGTTCTGTTCTGTTTGCTTAAGTAGGATTGAAGCAGAAGTACCGTATTTTTCATCCCATAGGACACTCCGTCCCATAGGACGCACCTAGTTTTTTGGGGGGGGAAATAAAGGGGGAAAAAATTTCCCTTTATTTCCCCCCAAAAACCAGGTCGGGGAAACCAAACCAGGTCGGGGAACAGCGGTATGGCGGCGCTCTGCCTCCCCGCTGTCCCCCGAGCTTGTCCCCCCGCTGTCCCCCAAGCGCGCTTCTCCCCAGCACCAGCCTCCAAACCAGGTCGAGGAACAGCGGGATGGCGGCACTGCGCCTTCCCGCTGTCCCCCGAGCTTGTGGGGCTGGCCGATGTCTGCCCGAAGCGCGGGGCGCTCTGCTTCAGCGCGCCCCGCACTCCGTGCAGCAGGCTCCCGCAGGGCTCCCCAGGCTGCAGATGTCTGCCCGGCATGCGGGGCGCTCTGCTTCAGGGCGCCCGCGCGCCGGACAGCAGGCTGCTATCCGCAACCTAGGGAGCCCTGCGGGAATTCCCGCGGGCTCCCCAGGCTTGCTGATAGCTTCCTGAAGCCTGGAGAGCAAGAGGGGTTGGTGCGCACCGACCCCTCTCGCTCTCCAAGCTTCAGCGAAAGCCTGCATTCGCCCCATAGGACGCACACAGATTTCCCCTTCATTTTTGGAGGGGAAAAAGTGTGTCCTATAGGGCGAAAAATACGGTATTTCTTTCATACCCCATCTCAGTGTCCAGAAGTGAGTTAGTGGAAGTGGTTTGTTACATTTGAATCTTGGGAAGTGGCTTGAATGCATTGATGTAAAAATATAATTACTCAAAGGTGCCCAGCACATGTTTGCTAACTTCACACAAATTAATTCTTTAAACCCTGTCTTCATTTTGTTCAGCTGCTGTTAGTTGACATGGTTGCCCATCGCTCCTAACCAGTCAGAAATATTTATACAAGAGTTTCAGAACACTTCAGTAATGTTCACAAACCATTGAGTGGAAGGAAGCTCACACAAGTGGGGTTTGGTCCCATCCACCCCCCTATGCCCCTTCCAAAGCAAATCTAGAGGACCTCTTGAACAATTGGGAGAAGTGGGAATCTTGAATCCACCCCTTACTGTTCGGAGGATCCCCATACCACCTAGAGAAGCTTTTGTAGGAACAGTGGGAACTGTTGCAGGGCATGCAAAGGACCCCTTGAATGAGTTTCCTTCTACTTTAGCTACTTAAGAGCCAAACCAATAAATTTATATTGTATCTTATAGGCTTGAATACCGTATTATCAGTCTTAATGTAAAAAGATACTGATATCTTAAAGGGCGGCTTTAAGTACATATGCGCGCATACACACACATATTTGAAACAGAACTCCCAAGATGTGAGCATGCTTGTTGTAAATTTCCAGTTCCTTTGACAACTGAACTGAAATCTGGGTTTTGCCTATGCCTGTGCTGATGGAAGTTTGCCTTTCCCCTTTTTAGCCTCTGACCTTCTTGAGCTTAGGAAATGCCTGCTTGGCTCTGAAGAACGTCAGTGGGGCATTGCAGGCTTTCAGGCATGCCCTGGATATTGCGACAAAGTGTCTGGAGTGTGAGAGGAGCCTGAAGCTGATCCGCTGTTTGCAGTTCTATCCATTTCTGTACAACATCACCTCTTCTGCCTGCAGTGGTAAGCAGCTGCTGAAAAAGTCCCCAAATTAGTAATTTTATCCCTTCAACACTACCTGCAGAAATTGGACTACTTTTCTTTCTCTCCCTCATTGATAATCTCTTTTTCATCTGCGCTCTCTCTCTCTCTGTCCAATTAAAAAAGGGAACAGTGTTTTTTCCCCAGTTAGATCTAATTGAGAGTAATTTTTGGAAAGCTGTCTTTCCAGAATTCCCTACCTGATTCTCCTTACAAATTGGGTGCAGTGTTTACTAATTAGAGAATGCTAGGATAGTTTCAAGCCATTCAAGAGCATTGCTCTGCTGTAGGGTTGCTGAAATAGTCCCATGTTTACACCTCATCTGTTTTCTTAGCAAATACCAAGAACCAGGGAAACAGGGAGAGAATGGCCCTAAGCATGGAATAACATATAACTTTAAACCCATCTGCACCACTATATAAAAGCAGGCTCCCTGTTCTTCAGAACCTGCTGTAAATATTTGAAGAGATTTAGCTTCCTGTTCAAGTAAAGCTGCGAAAAGATTAAACAAATTCTGTCTTCACCTATAGCTGCTAAATCTCCAGTGCATTTTTGCTCCTTAATAGCACTTAAATTTTATTTGAATATATGATTGGAACTGAACTAGTATAATCCCGATCCAATTATCCATATGAGCTAACACATTAGGATTATTTAAGCCAGTGGTTCCCAACCTTTTTGATATGGCAACCTGTAAGTCCAAATTTACTTAGAATGGTGACCCATTATTTTATTGTCACATGAATTTTATTTACCCATCCTTTTACTGCCACATGAATTTTGGACTTTGGTCTTCAGCAGCTGTCTGTTTTGTGCATTTCAATTGCAAGTCTGCCTACTTTTAAACCATCACTTGAGGCATCGAAGCAAAATTCAACCATACCCCTATTAATGTGGAGTTTAATTTATTGAAATATTTATAGTACTTACTAAATTATTACTGGTTTGTTGTGAGAATGTAAGAACACCAACCATCAAATTGCAGGGTATTGCCTCATAAGCTGTAAAACTTTATTCTAAAAGCATAGTTACACAATCAGTGTTAGATATAATGAACTACGAGCATCTTAAAGTTTTATTTACAATAAGCCCATTTTGACAAGTATCAGTGGGATGGCTTGAGCTTGCATTTTATTACCAAGTAGGTGAATGGAGGCTTTGATGGTTGTCAGACATAGTCTCACATCAGTTAATACACAGGATGCAGATATTTCTTATTTCAACTAAGCACATTTCAAATCACCCTTGACTCAACTATTTACTCATCCTCTGATTTGTGGGTGTTTACAAGCACCTTGTGGCAAGTTATCACCAGATCTGCTGCAAGCCGCCAGAGAGAGGTGTTTACTAGCATTACAATGTGAAACTTGACCCTTTCTGGCATTTGGTTACAAGTATCAACACAGCATTATAATATGCCAAAAAAACCCAAAATGTTACCTGAGGTATTATACCAGTTAAGGATTAAAAGCAATAATCCTTTTGGGTTTAATTATACAACCGATGACACATTTGCACAAGCATCACAACCCACAGGTCGAGAAACGCTGATTTAAGGGATGGAGTTGCATGGCATTCCCCTACTTAAGTATCTTCTCTGTGCCAAAAGTTTATTTTCCCATGTTTCATAAAGAGATACAAGGGATTAGAAACAGGATTGCATATGTGCATCCAGGTTCTTAGCATAAGTGCAGAACCTAGAGTCAGACTTCTCAGAATCTCAACTTTCAGAAAGGAAGTTTTTCGTTTCAGTTGAAGGGAGAAGTTTAAAGCTATGCTTTTGTACAAGGCTTAAACCACTGTGGTGCTGAGCAAGACTTCTTGAAGTCTGAGCCGGTAGTGAGGGGGGGTAGGCAGAGTTTCCTGTAGTGTACAAGTGCTTTTTTACCTCCTCTCTGGTTAGTGGCTATTAAGACTGTTGACTTCCACTTCATTGTCCTCCCAACGCCCAACCTCCATTCTTCTCTTCTCTTTTTGTCATACCTGACATTGTCAAAACATTTCCAAATTCTTAGGGTGCAAGTAGAACCCAAAGATGCAGGAAATGTTTGTGAGCTTCCGGAACCAAGTGAAGAAACTTTCCTTTACATTCAGTGCTGGTTACAGATTTTCACTACTGACTGTTATTCAACCCTTGGTTATACAAAGTATTAAAAATCATGCATATATGCACTTCTGAGTAGTTTAGGATTGCTAAATTCAAGGCCATCTACTGGGAAAGCGCAGAATCAGAACACTGACTAAAATCTCTGCCTTTGTAACTTGAGATTCTCATGACTGCTAGAATATGCAAATTTTTCATGTTCGTCTATCTTTTGAAGTAAAATCCCAATCTTCTGTTACATTTTCAACAAGTATGGCAACAAAACTATGCACAGAGTATGGGTTTTATTGAAATACAGGTTGTAAGGACTGCATCATTCTGATATGTTAGTTCTTTTGGTTGCATGACTGTTTGTGGGAAGGAAGTAAAAAGCTTTCTTCTCTCTGTTCATAAGAATGATGGTCCCAATGTGGTTGTTCCCAATTTGGCACTAATCTGGGTTTATAAAGATTATATTTCTTCCCTCTGTTCATCACTATTAATAACTCTCAGAAAAATAAATAAATCAAGATCTACCAGTGGGAAAGTGGACAAAACATGGATTCAGTATTGGAAGCTTCCATATTTACATTGTTCTCTCTCTCTTGCTCTTCATGTGCTGTGTTCCTTTCTTTTATAGACTACAAAGGTGGGCAACACTTCAGGTCATCTTGTCTATCCCCTGCTAATGTGAGAACATTAGACATTTGAACATGAGAAATGGTGTGGACATTTCTTTTGTTGTTATTTTTAGAATGTGAAATAAACATTCTAATGACTCCAGCTTCTGACACTTGATTTTTTATTTTTTTATTTTATTGCGGGATTGACAAAAAGGGAAAGTGAAAAGAAGAAACCAGGAATTTGCCAGGATGTCTGATGATCATTGTTCTGTGTTCTCTCTCTCCCCCCCCCCTTAATGGGCTCAAAAAGAAAAGAAAAAACCTCCTTGTAGGAATCAAACCTGTGAAAAATATTTGAGCATATCTGAAGCACAGGGACACCCAGAACATGACCGAGTGCATCTAGCTTCTTATTGTGGATGCCATCCTTCCCATGCCTGGTGCCCCCCAGATGGGCTACAACTCCTGTTGGTCCCAGCCTGCGTGAACATGGGGCAGGGATGATGGTGGATGAAGTTCAAAACATCTGGAGGGCACCAGTTGGGGAATGCCAGTCTACCTTGACTGGCAATAGCTCTCCAGGGATTGAAGCAGGGATCTTTCCCAGTCCTATATAGAAATACCAGGGATTGAAACTGGGATATACAACATGTAATGCATATGCTCCACCACTGATACACAAAAAGTAGATAGTGCAGCATTGGTGTAGTGACGTTTTGTGCCACGTAATCAAATAAATAAAACCTACGTGTAGGGTTTGCTTGCATTCCACACGTTACTGGTGCTAACTCCTATTTAATGGAAAGCCATTACTTTGTGGAACACAAGTCCGGTAATCTTGAACGCATCCAGATTAAGGTTCAGTATTAATAAACAACTAAATACCCAGGGTAGTTGAGTATCATCACTATGGTACTTTGTTGCTGCGCCAGTTAGATATGGGGTGGGAGTTAATCACATTGATGAATTACCATCTCTCTGAGCAGAACTCTTTAGCATACTACTAATTGAACTGACCATGGGATGGCATGTTGTACAGGCATACCTTGCTTTATTGCGCTTGACAGATGATTGCTTCTTATGAAGATGCGGGTACAGCTGCAAGCAGTTGGGCTGCTTCCAAGGGAAGGAAGCCTTGCCCTGCCCCTAGAATCATAGAATCATAGAGTTGGAAGAGACCACAAGGGCCATCGAGTCCAACCCCCTGCCAAGCAGGAAACACCATCAGAGCACTCCTGACATATGGTTGTCAAGCCTCTGCTTAAAGACCTCCAAAGAAGGAGACTCCACCACACTCCTTGGCAGCAAATTCCACTGTCGAACAGCTCTTACTGTCAGGAAGTTCTTCCTAATGTTTAGGTGGAATCTTCTTTCTTGTAGTTTGGATCCATTGCTCCGTGTCCGCTTCTCTGGAGCAGCAGAAAACAACCTTTCTCCCTCCTCTATGTGACATCCTTTTATATATTTGAACATGGCTATCATATCACCCCTTAACCTCCTCTTCTCCAGGCTAAACATGCCCAGCTCCCTTAGCCGTTCCTCATAAGCCGTTCCTGTCATCCATCTTCTGGCCACGGGAGTAGAACTGGCTAGGACTGGAGCTGGAGCTAGGTTTTTCCCCCCTGCAGCTGTGGGGTGTGTGGCTTAATAGACTACTGTATCATGTAAACATAACTTGTATATGCACTAAGAAACAAAACAAAAAGTGTGACTTGCTTTATTACAGTGGTCTGGAACCAAACCTGCAATATCTCCAAGGTATGCCTATATACTCACATTACTTTTGGTTTCTTACTATAAAGGTGGAAGAATGAAAGGGCTTCAGTAGCAATAGATCCTACTTCTCCCTTGACATGCTGGTTTAGCAGTGTGATAACGAGTGATTTTTATCTGAGGTAAATAAATAAATTTATTTCTCAAATAACATAAGAATAGCAATTAGGCACAGGCCGTGCTTTGCCCCTTGGACACTACCTGTCCCAGGTACAGAATTACACAACAAAAATTAATGGTCACCAGATCTGCTCCAAATATGTCATAATAAAAATAGTTTTCACCAGGGTTAAAAATCCTGTGTGTGTGTATCAGGCCTAATAATGCAATCATATACATACAGTATTTACTTACAAGTGACTCCATGTTCAGTGGGACTTACTCCCTTGTAAGTGGATTTAGAGTATATCCTAGGTGTTGCAGTGTTTGCCACCTTTTCCTTTTCACTTAAGTGTTTCGCAGAAAGGTTGTTAAAGGGTTATAATGCAATTACATACATGCTTATTCAAAAATAAGTTCTGTTCCCAGTAAAGCAAGTGTAGGGTTAGAGCCTTAAATTTGCTTGAGTTAGACAATTCTCATGCCCTCCAGGTGTTTTGGACAACAGCTGCCATGGCCAAATAATGGTCAGGGTTTATAGAAGTGTTCTCCAAAACATCTAGAGGACAACAGGTTGGATAAAAGTTTGGTAGGCCAAAATAAATGTTCAAGCACAATAACTGTTTCTGACTTCCAGTCCTTGATGTACCTACTTTCCTTTATTAACATGAGTATCAAGTGCTATTATTTGGGCGATTACCCTGGATGGTCCCAGACGGACTTTCAAAAATTAACTTCGGTGATATGCTCATGCCTCCCTCTTTCATCTGCCATGATGGTGGCTTCCTCTACATTCTTTAGGACAGCTTTCTCCAACTTGGTCACCTCCAGTTGTTTTGGATTAGAGCTCCCATCAGCCCCAGCCAGCAATTGCTAACGGTCAAGAATGGAGGAAGTTGAAGTCCAAAACATCTGGAAGGAACCAGGTTGAAGAAGGTTGGCTTGGACTTTGTGTATATGTGCCCATACATGGTGATTCTCATAATGTAGCATTTTAGTTCTGGTTTTTCTTAGCTTTTTTCTTATTATGAAGCTCCTGTTCATTCCCTATCCTATATACATTTTCTCATTTCATCTGAATATTCCCACGCTACATAAGTGTTTCTTTAAGCAGCATCTATACTGTGCTTTCTGAAAATGCTGTGTTTTCTGATGCCCTCTTGTGGCATAAGGTATCACATTTCCATTTAGCAGAATGTATTTCTTCTATGAGCTTTTTGGAATAAGCTCCTTTGGTAGTTTCCTTTTGGTGTTGTTTTCTCCAGAGCTATACTGGGAGAATTTATACAGTATCAACCAGCTTTTAGAATGGGGCAGACTAGCATCTTACATGGGAGGAAGCTATTTTTAGACTAGTATCTTATCAATTTTACATCACCCACACCACACATGAGGCTTTGAAGAACCTTCAAACATTCTTTTAGAAAAGTAAGATTTCCCAAAGTTCTGGCGAGAAATTGTAATTTATAATCCTGTTTTTTCCAGTTTGAACAAGAAGAACAGAATCATATTATTTGGGTAGATGCTAGTGAGCTACAGTTAGCAACACAATCATGTCTTAAAAAATTAGGTGGTGGCTCCCAAACGCCACAAACCCAGAAGTGAGTGTTCTGGTTTGCAAACATTCTTTGGAACCCGAACATCCGACGGGGCTTCCGAACGGCTGCAGGAGCTTTCTGCAGCCAATTGGAAGCCACACCTTGGTTTCCAAATGTTTTGGAAGTCGAACGGACTTCCAGAACGGATTCTATTCAACTTCCGAGGTACCCTCAGAGTAAGGGTTCTCTCAGAATAGATGTTCTGTTACTCAGAAAAATGTAAGAATCTATACCTTACTAGATATTATTTAAAGCTTGTATCAAGTGCAGTACACGGTATAATAACATAAGTATAATAACATCATAAATAGTAAACCATTTCTTTAAGGGAAAATGGTGAAAGGACAAGATAATAGGTAGAAGCCAAGTGGGGGATCCCTAAAAGCATCTTCATCAGAGAGTTTTCAGTTGCTTTCTTAGAGTAAGAAGGTAGGAAAAACACAGCTAGCATGTGGAAGCTATCTGCTATCATAGGCATTCTTTTGGAAAACAATCTGATCACCTACCAGCTCAAATTGTGCTTCTGGGATTCCCATGCAGCGGGTGCTATCCAGCCACAGTCAGCCACAAGGGAACTTGCCACGAGCGGGACTCTTGTTAGAAATATATAACGAACCCAAATCTGACAAAACAAAAGTGTCTGTGGTTGCTACATTATGCACATTTAGGAATAAGTTCCAGTGAATTTCGTGAAGCTTTGGAGTGTATTTTGCTTTTGTGCATCAAATTTGCTATTAAAGTTTCTCTCTGAGCCACTATGAAATGTGGCCCTCCTGGCCACGTAGATGAATTTGAAGATACAAGAAGTGCTGCTGAATCACAAAAAAGGCAAGTAGAAAGAAGATCAAATTTACTTTGCTTTCAGCTCATCAGTTTATTTAGCAATACTTTTCAATATTTGAAGTTTTACACTTCTAGGTGTGACAATCCTAAAATAATGCTGCTGGCCAGATTGATTACATTTATGAAAATGAGAGGCATTAGTGGCAGTCTTCCATCACTTGAGACATTCCTAGAGGTGGGTCTGTATTATTGAACAGGTTGCCCCCTGCCTTAACACCAGGAGATCCATTAATGCAGCTTCCAAGAAGTTGTCTTTTTCTCTCTTAGATGAGTTTTTCTGGTCCTGTGGCCATGACTCAGGAACATTTTCAGGTGTGCTGCTTGGGTGTTTTAAGAGAAATAGTACTGAGCAGATATTTTACCCTAAAAACAAGGAATGTTAGGTTGGACTCGGGCCAAGTCATGGTTTACAGCCGTTGAAATCAATGTTAATGTATCTACTATCATTCTGGCTTGCTCTAAACAGCAGTAGATAGATAGAATTGGTTTACATAAATATAGAGCCATAGACCCCCACCTCATTTTATTGCGCTTTGCCTTATTGCGGTTCACAAATATTGCTCTTTATGAGATTGTGGGTGCAGTTGCAAGCAGCCCGGCTCCTTCCAGGGGAAGGAAGCCCCCCCCCCCATTGCTGCCCCTCTTCTGGCCACAGAAGGAGAGCTGGCTACTGGTTTTCCCGTCCTGCCCCTGCAGCCAGGGGGCCTGGCTTAATAGGCTACTGCAGCATAGGGTAAACATAACTTTAATATACACCGGGAAACAAAAAATATTGTGTTACTTGTTTTATTGCGATAGTCGCTTACTTGCAGTGTTCTGCAATATCTCCAAGGTATGCCTGTATTTAGGAAGATAATGGCTGAAGATGGGAGGTTCTCCATACAAGAAAGGTTGTGGACATGGATAATATTTTATTCTGGAAAGAGAAGAAACAGAAATGCATACGAGAAACTGTAATACAAAAACCAAAGAAGTTTTCCGAGAACGTGCTATCGCCATTCTAACGGTCTGTGCGTTTCACCCTCCCCTGTCTTCTAAAGGACGTCAAGTTATATTTGAGGCACTAATTGAAATTCAGGCCACACCACTGCTTAGCCTGCTGCTCTATATGTAGCATCAGAGTACCCTGAGAGGCATTGCAAATAGCATTTCCTAGTCTTTCTTATCTGCTGACGATGTTGGAGAGTTAAATTTAGAAACCATCTTCCATGTTGGGCCTCGTTCCCAGACAGGGCTGAGAACACGCTGTGGTCTCTATCCACGTCACAGGGAGAAAAATCCTGTTGTAACCATTGACGAGGGAGGACAAGGGTTAGGGTATGGTGGCTTTTACAATAGCTGCCGCCCTGCCCCATTATTCATAGATCAATTGTGCATTTTTAAAGGGGCTATGGGGTTGTCAGCCATCCCACTGAATTCTCTGGGGAGGTGGGTTTGTGTACGTGTGTCCCTTTTGTGCCACGTTGTGTTCAAATTTAGCAGACAGACGTTTGCCCTGTTTTTTTTTTTTCTTTTCATGATTTATTTAGTGATGGTTTATATTTCATAAGGGTAATTTTTAGCACTATCGTTGCTGGGAACAGAGCCCATTATGCAATTGGTCAGACATTGGGTTGTGTGCCTTGCTGCTGCTGTTGCTTTTCTAATGCAAAAAAGAAATGTCACAACTGTAACATTTAAAATTAATTAAGTTATATTGGAGTAATAGATGTTTTGTTACAGTTTGTCCTATATGTTAATAGGATCAACCTGTTCTACATTTACATACAATGTTGGGGTGAGAACACCCTAGTTAAAAGCAAATGTGCACTGGTTTGTTATATAACTAGTTTATTATCAATATAGATGAGGAAATTTGCTGAAATTTATATTGATAATGAACTACATATTACAGCGTCAACTAAATGAGTTTTGTTTGTATAATAATATATTGGATCAAAGTATGTGGTATCATTCAAACTGCCATTCACTCCATTATTGCACTCACAATAGTGTAGCCAAAGAGCCATGGTCAAGTAAATTAGAGAACAATGTTGTCTAAACTGATTGTATGACTCTGCTTCCAGGATTTAGGTTACGGATGTCTTGTTTGGGATTGAATGGGGGAGTGGAAGAAAAGTACACAAGGACTAGAAATACCAACGGGATGGGGAATGGCTAGACTCTGAGCTCCCCTATGGGCAGCTTTAACAGAAGGGCAGGACCACTCAACCGTCAGTCACCAGATGTCATCATGACATCAGGTGATCTATTTTTCCATTGCCGCATGGCATGAATTAGGACCCAAGCCAGGCCTAATTGGAGTCACAAGCTAGAGATCCCCTATCGCAGGAATAGCAGAACAGTAGGGGGACTGGTGCATATTACCACCATGAGAGATAGACAGGGAGCTGTGGAGGGCACTGGGTTCCTACTCCATGGACATTTGACATCCTGATTAGGACTCTTCTTTTTGAGCTTCCATAAAGTCGCAGGAGGATATACTTTGGTTGAAACTTCTTCATAGTCAAAATAGTTTGACACTTACACATGCGAGGGGGAGATCCTTCTCTGGGAGATCTTCAAGTAGACACTAGACAGCAGTTTCTTAAGTTGGTATTGGAAAAAAGGTGAATAAGAGGGTGCATGATAGAGGTATATAAAATTATGCTGGGTATTGAAAAAGTGGATAGAGATAAGTTTATCCCCTCTCTCATAACACTAGAACTGAAGGATATCCAATGTAGTTGAATTCAGGACAGATGAAAAAAGCACTTCTTCCACATACTGTATAGTTATAAACTATGGAATTTGCTTCCACCGGAGGAGGCGGTGGCCATCAACTTGGGTGGTTTTAAAAGAGGATTGGACAAATGTCTGGAGGACGACACTATCAAAGGCTATGTTCTACCACCACTGTCAAGAGGCCATATGCCTCTGAATGCTAGTTTTCTCTAGAATGTGCTTGCCCAAATCCTTCAACCATTTTTCACCAAAGAACATGTCTAGCATCCTTACTGTTTTACTATCTATGTTGCTTTCTCTGTCACTTCTGTGATTACCTTATAATGTTAAATTAAAACGTATTATATAAATTGAAGCCTTGCCATTGTTGAGAGGAAACCACCTACAACTTGGACGTATCAGTTATAGCTAATCAAAATTGCAGTTGCCCTGATTTCAACAATATTATGGTGTACATTGGCTCCTGTTCAGCTGATGATCTTCTAATAGAGAAGTAAGGAACCAAATGCTTCCATGCCCTTCTCAAGTGCTTTTGCTTGCCTAGAATGTGCCCTTGCTTGGCTGGATGGACAATACAGAGTTGGAGACGTGTAGAAACCTCCGACTTTTGTTGGGCTGGATTGTAGACTTCGTGCAGAAGTCAGAGTTGCTCCTATTGGCCCACCCATTTTTGCCTGTGGCCCTGCCCACCCTGCAAGGTGCCTATGAAGGGAGCACAGCTATCAGGCTGCAAAGGGTTCCCCACTTCTGTTCAACTAGAAGTCCTCCAAAGCAGTGCCATTTTCTATTAGTTCCCCCACTTGATGCCGTTAGTTTAGTACACACTAGCAAGTAGTGTCAAGACTTCTAGCATCTGAGATCTTTCCCTGTTAGACGTTAGATCTAAAAGTGGCTCTTTGAGTGCTGCAACTGGTTTTCAATACTCCAACTGCTTTTTCTGTAAAAGTAAAACTGCTTTACTTCTATAAAGTAAAGTAGGTTCCTTGGCTTTCTTACTACAGTCATACCTCGGGTTACAGCCGCTTCAGATTGCGTTTTTTCGGGTTATGGACCGCCGAAACCCGGAAGTACCTGGATGGGTTACTTCCAGGTTTCGGTGGTCACACATGCGCAGAAGCGCTAAATTACACTTGGCACATGCTCAGAAGCACCGAATCACAACCTGCACGTTCGCAGACACACCGCTGCGGGTTGTGAACATGCATCCCGCACAGATCACGTTCGCAATCCGAGTGTCCACTGTATAGCAGGGCTTCATCTTCTAAAAATGGTGCGTGCCATCATCTAGTCCAGGCATGTCCAACAGGTAGACTTTGACCTGAACCCCCAAAAAGGGGGTAGATCACTGCCAGTTTTTAACTCTGTGAGTAGATTGCAGCCTCTTGGGAGTTGGTCACCCCTGATCTAATCTATTTAAAACGAATAATAAAGATGGTGCTAGCTTAACAAGCATATTATTCTAGAATTTCATTCTTTTCCCATTTTGTCCTTCCCTCATCTCTTCTCCACAGTGTTCTTTTTAGTGTGGGTGTGGGTGTATATAAACACATGCATGCACCATAATGCTTTTCCATAGCATCCTCTTATTTATTTTTTTGGAATGCTAAAGTATCCAAGGTTCATTCTGCTGAAGGGCATCTCACAACGTAGTCTGGATCAGATGTCACCAAAAAGGCCGCATTTCCGTGTTGTGGTCCTGTGCTCACTATCTGATGAATTATACATGAGGCTGCATAAAGCAGATTTAAAAAGATGAAACCAATTAAATTTTAATGGGGGGGGTGAGATGAGTTGGGGGAGGGGAGGGAGGCGCAGTGGTGAGACCAGGGAGAGATGACAAAGACAAATGTAATTGTATAGCAGATGCTTTACAAGTGTGTGAAGTTTAGCTGCTTATGCTACTCTGTCATTAGCCTACATTGTAAAATAATTTTGGTTATCATCTTCATTCTGTTACTGAATAGAATACCACTCACCAGCAGATTAAAGAGGGAGATTCTTACTGAGGCTGCATGTCCTTTAGATCTTACTCTGTTTCATTTTGGCCTGTCCCTAAGTAACAAAAGTCTGGCCTTATTTATGTGAGATCCTGAGCCTTCATACTTTCTCATAGTTCACTTGGAGCAATGGATGCCCAAACCTAAAATTGCATTTTAGCAGCTGAGCATGTTCCCAGTATGACTAGTTCACAAACGTTTTCATTGATCTAGTTGCCCATGCATACTTGTTTTTCTAAAAAACAACAACACCTCATTTCTTAACATTATTAAATATTAAACCATTTGAAGTTCACTTGACTTGTTCCAAAATCGTTAACTGGTTTGGCTGAAACAGGAAACCGGTTTAATCTTGACTCGTGCAAAAGGAGGAGCAAAAGTCTGTGTCGGGATGAAAGTCTCAGTTTTTTATTAGATTTGTGAATTTTATTCAACATTTCCATGGATTATGTGGCTTGAGGAGATATTTATAGTGGTACCTTGGTACTCGAATGGCTTGGCTCCCAAACAAATCAGCTCCTGAACACTGCAAACCTGGAAGTAAGTGTTCCGGTTTGCGAATGTTTTTCAGAAGGCAAACGTCAAATGCGGCTTCCACTTGAGTGCAGGAAGCGCCTACAGCCAATCAGAAGCCACGCCTCGGTTTTCAAATGGTTTGGGAGTTGAAAGGACTCCTGAAACGGATTAAGTTCGAGAACCAAGGTATCACTTTATTTCACAACTCTTACCTATAAACTTACATTGTAAGGCTTTCCTGAGCAGATTTGTATCCGTTAAAGAGAAAGAGAGACAATGCAGTATTTGAACTTAGCCATCAAAATCAACCCAATAGAAACCAAGTGAGAGTCAAATAACAGGATTTTCAAGAATAGGACCCAGCCTTCATACTGCAGCAGAAAGAAAGAGCGAGCAGGAAAATCTTTGTGCTCTCTGTGTAGTCGAACATAATGAATTCTGTGTATGTTCAGAGTCTCACTCAGGAAGCTTTCAAAGCTGGGCTAGAGTTTGGGGTGGGTGTCCTGTCCTCCCTTCCGTGTGTGCACATCAAGGGACATGGTTTTTGTCCCCCACTCAGTTCTGTTTCAACTACGATGTTGTATGACTTAGGGCACTGTCTGTAGGGTTGGTTTCTAAATAAAAATGCATTCCATATTTTTATTCTTGCCGTTGTTCTGCCTCTTCCTTTTGCACTTGTTGATTTTCTATTCCGTAGCCCATCCAAATGCTCCTCTTCCCACCTGTGATTGACAAGGTGAGATACTTTGGAAAGTGTGTCACTTAATGACTGCCATTAATTTCCAAACCATCCTTGTTTGTAGACCATTTGTGTGTATCAGTAATTCAGATGATTATAGCAGCTTCGCCTAAGGGAGTCATGTCTGTGTGTTTCACAGGCCACTGTCACGAGAAGAGCCAAGGCAACAGCCATACCAAGCAGAAGTACCTTGACAAGCCCGATTCTGAGATCATATCCATGGAAGAAAATCTTGTGGCAGTGACTGATGCCGATTCCACAGATCTTATTCACAGTTCCACAACAGAGTCATCCTCTTTGACTTTAGAAAGTAAGTGAATATTGGAATAGTGAACACAGCAAAGGGGGGGGGGGGTTGAGCCTGTTCTTATTTTTCAGAGCAGTTGTTACTTTGTACCTCTCTTTTTCATTGGAAAGCCCCTCTTTTTCATTTGTTAGCGTTGATAAATGTATGAGAGAAGGAATTTCATTGCGTGCATCTTCTTCAGCAGTTTGAAACTTCCCACTTTGATACAACCATTAAGAATACAAGGACCTTAATGTTGAAGTTGGCCATCTCTGCTGTACCTACACCCTTGACCATCTTAGCAGAGCAGGCTACAAATAAATCCCTTGCACGGAAATGCATATGTTTAAATGCACTTGCCATATCTGCCGGTTCATTTGTCCATGGCATACCTGCCTGGACCACAAAATAAGTCACCGCACCTGTTGAGTGCTTAAAAAAATAGTAGAGCACCAAAAGAACACATCCTTGCCTATGGTCCATATCATGTCTAAATCAGGCTTCACTGAGCTACATACAATTTGATTGCAGAACGATTAGGGGGAAAGTAAAGACATATTGCTTGATTGCATAGGAGTGTAGTTTAATTCCATTGTTAAAGGACTTTCCCATCTGTCAGACATGCTAATGGTGTCACATTGCTCTGAGAACGCATATGCAGTTTGTGATAGAATGGGATCCCTGATTAGATTAGACGAAGATCCATCCTCACTCAAAACAGAGGTCTGTCTCGTCCTGCACCCTCTTTCTAATAGTAGCCCACCATACCACATGCTTCTGGGAAATCAACAAGTGCCCCAGTCCTCTTGTTAAGCTCTCAGCAATCGCAGTTTAGAGACATACTGCAAGTAAACTCTGGGGACTCCCATTTAGTGATCATGCCTTGGTAGGTACATAGGATGCTTGCCTGATACCCTCTACCCAAATTCACCCTCTTGCCTTAATATGAGGCTTCCTAATAGGAAATCACACTCACTAATTATTTCTGAGTCAATATCCCAACACAAAAATAGGAAGTAAAAGGGAATTGATTCAGATCAGGGCACAAAAGGTGCAATCCATATCTCAGTCATGTGAACAGAGCCAAGCAACTGCCTGTTCCTCTCCCCAGTTGTGCAAATGAGCAATTTGCACTTTCTGCAGTTGCCACATCATACTGGGGCAATGCACATTGTCCTTACCATTCTCTGCTCGGTGGAAGGGCAAGTCCACAGAATTTCCTTCTTGTCATGCCAGCAGGAGTTTTTCTGTGAACAATCCCTGTGTGTAATCCCCTCACTTTACGTGACTTAGTGAAATGCTCCAGTTTCTGGGAACTGCTGCTCCCTTCAACTAATGGGAACTTCTTGCAGATTTCATTAAGAGAAGCATGCAGCTGCTTTTGATATATTTTGCCTCTTGAATGATAGCTTCACCGGAGACATTTTTTAGAGGAACTTAATGGAATGCCCTGCATGGTGGCTTGAGAGCTTGAATTATGAGGTGAATACATTTTTAATACCTTTTAGGTTCTGAGCTCTTCAGGTTGGATAGTTCCCCCCCACACCTCAAAATGGGAAAGGGTATTTTCCAGATAACAGAATATTGTCTGATTTTGAAAAATTAGCAATCAAAAAATAATTTTGATTGCCTAAAAATACTCATTCCTGGAAAATACAGTGGAAAGAAATGATGCTTGGGCCAATCAAACATTTTAGATCTGTCCTTACAATGTGAACTTTCCAAGCAGGGTCGCTACCGAGAGCTATTCAAATTATTGCTTTCAAACCAACAAACAATTTAATGAGAGGGCTTTGAAAGATCAGTCCTTTTCAATCCAAAGTGACAAGTTGTAAGAAATAGATCTTTTAGCGTAGCAACACCTATACTTTGGAACCCATCACTTACTGACATCAGGCAGGCTCTTTCACTTTACTCTTTTCAGTACCTGCTAAAACATCTTTCTTTAAGCAAGTCTAGCCAGACACAAAGATGCTGCTGTGTTTTAATCCCTCTTTAGTTTACTATTGGTTTCAATGAACTTTTAAGTGTTTTTAATTACTTAAACTTTTATTAATATTTTTTAATATTTATGATAAACCGCTTAGAGGTTTTATTACCATCAGCCTGCATTTATATCATTAAAAAAACCCTATGTGTTAAATTGATTCCCATAGTCTTGGTTTCAGACAAAAACAGAATATGGGTGGGTTGAGAATATCATAGTGCTGAAAGTTTTAATCAGTTCTTAAGCATTGGATCCTTATGCAAAACAACTCTTCTGTTGAATGGTCTTGCAACAAGGATAGGTTCACACAGTCATGCCTTTCACACCATTATTGTAATTAATATGTAATCTTCCATAATGTCTCGGATATTGTGACTTGACTTTTCAACATATATAGGCTGTAATGTATGGCAAGGAAAGGTTATGGATTAGTTTTAGTCATAAGCAAAAGCAGAAGTGTGATGCTATCCTGTCTGGCATGTAACCCTAATTATAATACAGCTTTTGATCCGAGTGATTTATTTTGTTGCTCCCCCTTTGCAGGCACCGTCATTGCCGAAAGCAATGGTTCAGAAGAAGTGGAGAGTTTGGGAGATGCTCAGATGTCCGAAGAAATGTTGGCATTGGTTGACGAGTTTGAAAATTCGTGGCCCCTTGAAGCCTTTGAGGGGGCACTGGAAGTGAAAGGCCATCGGATGGACTTGCAAGGGATCCGTGTCCTCAAGAAAGGTTCTCAGGACGGACTTCCCAGCTCTTGTTTTGGAGATTGTGGAGATGATGACGATGACGAAACTGAATGGGTAAGAACTCCCATCAGCAAGATCAAGCTGTGTATTTCTTGTACAGCGTCTCTGGGTTATCTATAGCCTTCCTCAGGCATCCTGATAATCACATGAGATAACATTCACACAAGGTGTGTCCCATGGAACATAGGTTTCTGGGTGGTAATTGATCACGGTGAGGATTTGCCAGACATGGCTCCCTCTTAGCTCATTTCTTCCTTTCATCCTGAGTTCGTGCTTCTTCAAAATCCATGACAAGGGGGCCAAACCTTCAGAACACATTACTCAAATTCTGTATCGGTTACATTCTCTGCCCGTTGGTTCCTGTAGTTTATATCAAGTGGCTAGAAAAGGCTTAACATAGTCCATTATATAGTCCCTCCCTGTTTGCTCCTCTGAGTCTGTAATGATTATTTTGCTTCAGCATTCCAATAAGTCAATCACAGAGCAAATTGTATTTTGAATATAGCATTCCTTATTAGACCTCTTATTGTTGCTTGATGTATATACAGTGGTGCCTCGCAAGACAAAAAGAATCCGTTCCGCGAGTCTCTTCGTCTTGCGGGTTTTTTCGTCTTGCGAAGCAAGCCCATTAGTGGATTAGTGCTACAGTATTAGCGGCTTAGCGGGCTTAGTGGATCAGCTGATAAGCGGCTTAACGATAAGCTGATAAGCGGCTTAACGATCAGCTGATAAGCGGCTTAACGATCAGCTGATAAGCGGCTTAACGATCAGCTGATAAGCGGCTTAGCATCAGCTGTTAAGCGGCTTAGCCATCAGCTGATAAGCGGTTTAGCGGCTTGGGAAAAAGGGGGGGGGAGGAAAAAAAAACCGCAGGAACTCGGAAGACATTTTCGTCTTGCGAAGCAAGCCCATAGGAAATTTGTTTTGCGAAGCACCTCCAAAACGGAAAACCCTTTCGTCTAGCGGGTTTTCCGTCTTGCGAGGCATTCGTCTTGCGGGGCACCACTGTAATATATAGTATATAATTTCCATGTTTCTCAGCTGTACTAATGTGTGTTTTCATTGATGTTTATCAGTTGTAATTGTCAGTTGTTATAAAATGTTATAAACATGACTGCATTAGTTTTCCATTAGTTTCAGTAGGTCTTCTGTGAGTAAAATTTAAGTGAATACTCACCCTATGGTCCTCTTTACCCTCACCATGTTAGTCCTATGACAGGGGAGACGAACCACAGACCCAGTGGCCCTCCAGACTTCTCTATCTCACCCATGAGACTCTCTCCATGCAGTGTTGATTATCTCTTGCAAGCGTGGTCCTCAGTGCTGAATTGTTGCCCAACCTTGTGTTAAGTGAATTATTTTTATATACTTGCGCAATTTGATGAATGAAATGCAATCAGAAGGAGGAGGGCCAGGAGATCCAGGGAAAAGAGAAACTGTCTGGAAATTGTCCTTGAAATCAACTCAGACCACAGAAAGCCAGCTATCTCTTTATTCTCAACAGCACGCCTGATATATTTGGTTGCTAACCCTCATGATGTTTTTTTTCTTTGACAGATAACATTCCAAGTAAAACGTGTAAAGAAACCCAAAACAGAAAACCTAGATCCACAAGAGCCAGCAGGAAAAAATGGAGAGGAGGGAGTAAATGGAGAAAATGATAACCTTTACCAAATGGCATTGGAGATCAGTGGGCCAAAAATACCCTCCCCAGGACCACCAGGTATATATTTTTTTAGGATTTTTTTTTTTTTTTAGAGCTTCAGGTTGTGTTTTATTCATGACTGATTCAGGTGAAGCATAAGAAATGATAGAAATGATTACATAGGTGAGGAGTGGGGAACCTTTTTTTAAAAAGAATTTAAGTCTGTTGACCCTTCTGTCCTGAAATGACAGTGTAGCCTTTTGCTGTAGTCAGTGAGATAGTGTTTGATATAACATGATACAATATTTCCCAATAGCCAAAGTCACAGTCATGCAAGCAGAATGAACACGAATAAAAGTGTGACTTAAGATCTGAGGACTCCACAGGTTATATTCATCATACATGAATTAGGGTCAAACAAGTAACAAAACTGTGAGGTTCTATGGGTTAAAATGTGGCATAGGATTTAATTAACCTTTTGTCTAAATTACTTCAGAGTAAAGCTCAGAGTCAAACTTGGGTTTCTGAAAGTATGTATCCTCTTAGAAGAATTGCTATCTTATTCCTTTTACTTACCTTATAATAAGGAGCAGGGGCTGTATTCATGTTGGTGAAGGCATTTAAAGTGCTTCTTGATCTGAGCCACCTAAGCTACCCTCATCTCTTTCATTCTCTCTTTAGTAGCATGATTTTGTTGGAGAAGCATTCATGTTACCATCCTGGGACTAAGAGAAGACCAAGCAACCATGCCAAATGCCATGGCTGAATGCAACTTGGGAGCAAGGCACCACCTGAGCCAAACTTAACAAACATAGCATGGCCAAGAGAGCATAAAAATAGATGGTCCTAAACCCCAGAGTAGGGATGGGATGTACAGAATTATGGCGAAGCAAGGATAGGACTGTTGTTTCCTAAGAGACGTCTGCCAGCTTCTTCCACCTGTGTTGTCTATTTGCTGCCTTTTTTGGTAATACTACTATACTTACCAGGAGAGACTTCCAGGACTCTTGGTCTGATGATCTAAGACTGGGCTGAGTGGCGCCTTGTGTGATGCCAAAATTCAATGCCCAAACCCTGCCTTTTGCCTTCCACTTTACATAATAGTTGTGGCGCCCCCAAGGCTCTGTATCCATGCTCCCCTAAATCCACCTGTTCTGGACAGTAAAAAAAACATTCACACCAAGCCACACCTCTATATAGGGGCACCAACTTGAATAAAATATTGGGGGGGGGCAAGCCCTGCCCCACATAATCGACCACATGATGCAGTGCACACACACCATTTGAATGGCAATGTCCATCCACTTTGGGAAGGGCGAGCCCCCCAAATGCATATTGTATTAGGGGGCCAAAGACCCCTCGCCCCCTAGGAGTTGGCTCCTATGTCTCCATACATGGATCTGAGCAGCAGAGGTCTATTCACAATTTGCTGTTCAAAAAGTTGCAAAGTAGAATATATTCAACCATTGTGTAAAGTAAATGTTGAAGCTTTTCATATTGTGTGTGTGGTTGCGGAATTTCTGGATAGAGATCCCAAAGTTCTTTTAGCTTGGAGTTTACTATGACCTATCTTAGGGCCAGTATTGATAATTATGTTGATACTTGTGTTTTAATTATCCATTTATTTTTACATGTATAAATTATTGACTGAAGTGGGGGATGCAACAGAAAACTGCAGTGTCTAATAAATAGAAAAATGCATCTTGCAATTTTTTTTTCAGACTCAAATGTATCCATCATAATCTTCTGTATGTCTCTCACTTCAGATGTTGACCTGTTCGCATGATTAGAACACTCACATGAGCAGTTATTTATAACAGTTAGCCAGCTGCAATATCCCTTATTTTGCTGTGTGCACTGCATATTTTGGCTGTGTTCAGACTTAATACTAAAAACTTGTTTGCTTCTTTCCAGGGAAAAGGCGAGACTACCGCAGCTTGGGTTGGCCAAGTCCTGATGAGTGCATAAAACTTCGCAGAGTAGAACTTACTACAGTAGCCAGCACATGGCTTGCTGTTTCTGCTAAAAATATCGAGTGAGTGTTTTTTCTTGAAAACAAACTGGGTTAGTGCACAAACCAGTACAGATAATCGGTGGCGCCCTTCACAAGCTGGGTGCCCTCCCTGCGTGCTGACTGGAGCTGATGGGAATTGGAATCCAAAACAGCTAAAGGTCACCAGGCTGGTGAAGACTGATCACTGTTCTAAAATATTATGGGCTGAACTCTACCTACTCCAGCCACACTGTTATAGGGAGGCTAATCTTGTCATAAAAGGGATGCAGGTGGCTCTGTGGTCTAAACCACTGATCCTCTTGGGCTTGCCGATCAGAAAGTTGGTGATTCAAATCCGCGCAACAGGGTGAGCTCCCTTTGCTCTGTCCCAGCTTCTGCCAACCTAGCAGTTTGAAAGCACACCAGTGCAAGTAGACAAAATAGGTACCGCTGCTACAGGAAGGTAAATTGTGTTTCCGTGTACTCTGGCTTCTGTCACGGTGTCCCGTTGTGCCAGAAGCGGTACCTATTTAATCATGCTGGCTACATGAACCAGAAAGCTGTCTGTGGACAAACACCAGCTCCCTCGGCCTGAAGCAAGATGAGCACCGCAACCCCATAGTCACCTTTGACTGGACTTAACTGTCCAGGGGTCCTTTACCTTTACCTTTTTACATAATCATGTCATCCACAGTATCCCAGGATAATCACCTTTGTCTCTTTTAACGCACAATATGTTACCATCTGTTAACAGTGCCCCCCAGCAGTATCTCCTGCCCTGCAGAACTTAAAAGACAACGGTTCATAAATGATGTGGCATTAGGAATGAGCAGCGAGGTAGTCAGGTTATTAGATAAATGTTCAAGATGGTGACATTCAAAAGTAAATTCAGTGTTATGACTGTGGGATATAAACACAGGAGCAGTCAATGACAACATTGTTAGAACATGGGGAGGGATGTCAGTCCAGCAAGCAGGTAAACGGACTTCCTCCGCATGTGACCAGAGGTGGGTGTGGCCTCACCTGTGCAGGTAAATGATAAAAGCACAGGGCAGGCAGCCATCTCTCTCTGCCATTTTCCTTTCGATGAGGAAACATCTAAGGATGCTCTCTTGGCTCCCAGCCAAGAGAGGAGATAAGGACTATCTTGCTACAAGATAGATTCTGAATGTATGTAACCTTTTTAAGCTGTCTGCCTTCTGGGATCATATTGTGAACAGAACGTGAGTAAACTCTTTTATACTTTTATAAAGACTGTGTCGTGTCTTGTATTTTAAGAGGGAACAAAAGGGGAAATTACCAGAGTAATTATTATAGAGGTTCTAGCGAACCTGTGCAAGCGTTACCGTTGCGAACTTAAAGGGGAGCCCTAGTATCATTCTGTCAACCATCTTCAAAAGCAGCCCCGCATAGAGCACATTGCCATAGTTCAGGTGGCATGTCACTAAAGCAGCAGTGTATCTTAACTTGAGTATTTTTATATGTACCTCTCAACTTTTAAATCATATTTGGAGCTCTCTTAACCTGAAAGCTGTGTGAGTTGCTGCCAAGTGTGGAATGCCACTTTTAAAATAATAATATTCTCAGGTAGCTGGCTTGAAATTTTTGTTGCTAAAGCCAGGACCTAAGCCCGGTTGATATAATACAATGCTGAGTGAGCAAGAATCATGTCATAACACAATCTGTTAACTCTGGAACTTACTGTCTGGCTTATTAACAGATTTCTTAACGCCTGTGTAATTTCATTGGCAGTATTATCATTTATACCATCTTACTGTGGGAAAGTGAAACCTAATGCTAAAGGAATGCATTATGAAGGATTTGGAAGCTTGCTGTTACATATCCACATACTAGGATTGGGAAAGCTGCCCGTTGTTTTCTTGCTCCATAAGTAATTTCTGGATTTTGCAAGGAATGGTAGCAACAGATTTGAGTAGCCTGCTTCTCCCTTAAGCATTATTATAAGAGTATTTTGCAATAAAAGCTCTTTGTCTAAAATGAAGATAAAATCTATCCCCCCTTTTTTAAAAGGAAGCTCCATTTTTCTTTACTATCTTAAGATGAATCTCATTGAGGATTGAGAAGACTTGTGCAAGCATTCAAAGCTGATTAGCTGAACTTGTTTCATTTGGAGGATCGGGGCAATGAAATAGATGCATATATCAATCCATTGTTAAGTGACTGACAGACTACTCAAAGTATAGCTGTACTTGGAGAAGACAGTGGGCTCAGATGTTCCAAGTTTTGACACAATCACGCAAATAATAATTTGGGATGCTGTCCACTTTCTCAGTGCAAATGGTTGTTCCAGAATGCAGAGGCAAGGGGTGGAAGCAAAAGGAACATGCCAGCCCTGGGGTGTGCCTCTTAAGATGTCTGTATCAAGATACAATTAACATCTAGACTAAAGAATGGATTTTTAGTGCTGAGTTTTAACGTTGCTGCATACTTACTTATGTTTTAAATTTTATTTATAAGCTATTGGGAGGAGTTCAATTATAAGTCACTGTAGAAACATGTGTTTCTTTTTTTAAAAAAAACCTAAATAAATAACTTGAAACCAGCTGGTAGAGTGCAGACATACAATGTGTTGTGGAGAAGCTATTGCTGCCCTGGAACTGTTGCTCCTTCAACCTCTTTCTCTGAATACTTCATTTATGATGAGATTTGGCCTTCCCTTCATTTCTAGTATTACAGAACACATAGATTTTGCAACCCAGCTGCAGGAACCTGCCGTGGAACCTCTCTGCAATGCCAACCTACCTGCCAGCATGCATACTTTGGATCATCTTCAAGGTGTTGCCAATCGGGCTAGTCTTCATTACATGGGAGAGAGTCAGCTAAAAGAGGTAGGCTAACCTGTGGGCTTCACACACACACTGGTAAGAAGCATCTTTGCACATTGCAGGTAACATTTCCTATTGCTGTCTACCCAGTGCTAGTGGTAGTTTAGCAGCATGTGTGAAACAGATGTTGACAGATGGCAGTGCCAACGCAGGTTTCTTGTGCTTCCAGCTTGCACTTTAGCATTAAAACAGATGTGCAGGACACCTGTGGGGAAAGGATGTGCAGTATGAAAAGTGTTCTCATATTGCCTCTGTTCAACATTTATTCCATGCCAATAGTGTGCTAATGCACAACATTGTGGTTTGAGACAGTGTGCCTGTACAGAATGAACCTTTGTTGAGCTATCCTGCCATGTGACTCAAGTGAATCAGAAGTTCAAATTCCATGAACCTGACTCCCCCAACAACCCAAATAAAATCGGGCAAAAGTTCTATATTATTATTATTATTATTTACTTAAACCCCACCCATCTGGCCAAGCTTCCCCAGCCACTCTGGGCGGCTCCCAACGAAATATTAAACCACGATAAAACATTAAAAACTTCCCTAAACAGGGCTGCATTCAGATGTCAAAGTCAGATAGTTGCTTATTTCCTTGACATCTGATGGGAGAGTGTTCCACAGGGCAGGCACTACTACTAAGAAGGCCCTCTGTCTGGTTCCCTGTAACCTCACTTCTCACAGGGAGGGAACCGCCAGAAGGCCCTCAGAGCTGGACCTCAGTGTCCAGGCTGGACGATGGGAGTGGAGAAGCTCCTTCAGGTATATTGGGTCGAGGCCATCTAGGGCTTTAAAGGTCAGCACCAACACTTTGAATTGTGCTCAGAAACATACTGGGAGCCAATAAAGATCTTTCAGGTCTGGTGTTATATGGTCACGGCAGCCACTCCCAGGCACCAGTCTAGCTGCCACATATAGACTATCTAGCAGAAGTACCAGTAACTGAATGGTCTTAGGTCAGGGATAAGAAACATGGTGCTTGTCAGCTGTTGGATTCTAGTTCCCATCAGCCGCAGCCAATGTGGCCAATGGCCAGGAATGATGGGAATTGTAGTCCAGCAAAATCTGGAAGGCACTACACCCTGGTTTAGACACTGACCTGCCTTCTCATCACTTTCAGAATAGAAGTTATTATTTTCTTCTGGTTCGTGTAGCTGCATTTGCAGGGTGCCGGAAAGCTTATACACAGATATAAGAGCACATTGCCTGTCAGAAGAGAACAGATTTTAACTTTGAAAGGGAATATGCAGATTTTAAGATGGCATTGATTGTATTACCCTAAGCTGTTGCCTTCTCTTGTTCCTCAGGTGTTGCAGAATCTTGGGAAAGACCATTACCCACCGCAGTCTTTGGAACAAGTTGGGACTCGAATAGCCAAAGTTCTAGAAAAGGTACGTGTGCACAACTAAGAGCTTACAAGTTCATATTGTCATAAATTTACCTGGTTGATAGCCATCTCTGTAACCAGTAGTATTGCCTCAATACCTGCGATACAAATCAGGGCTTCTGCTTCTGCTCCCCGCCCCTTACTGACCCTGCATACACCCCAAAATTGGCTCTGGGGTGGTCGGGAGAAATCCCAGGACAGTACACAGGGTGAGGAGGTATCATTCTGTCTGGCAAGCTGGGACACTTGCACAGACAGAACAATTGTGAGAGTGCTACATTGAATTCCACCGCAAGGCTATATTCTCTCTCTTTGAAATATTCTTATAAAGTGGCTCCCAATACACATTTTTTTTTTTATTTTTTAAATAATATTTATTAAAGTTTCAAAAGAAGAAAAATCACATTATTAAGAAAATTAACAATAAAAAGGAAAAATACAAAGTACAAAAAAGAAAAAAGAGTTAAAAACAATTCCATCTTTTCATCACTTCTTTTACGTTTACTTGTTTCCCGGACCTCCTCATACCGCCCTCTTTTGTATTCCAATTCAATTTGTTAATCCAACAATTCCTTTCCCTCCTTTTTAATCCTAATCTTTAATCTTGAGATATTATAACATTAAATTTTTACATATTAAAAACCAATTTTTCCATATTCTCTTGTGCCTGTACAGCTAGAAACCACTTAACTTCAATCCAACATCATTCTAACATTCATTAATTTTGCAATATTTCTGTAAATAGTCTTTAAATTTCTTCCAATCTTCTTCCACCGACTCTTCTCCCTGGTCTCGGATTCTGCCAGTCATTTCCGCCAATTCCATGTAGTCCATCACCTTCATCTGCCATTCTTCCAGAGTGGGTAAATCTTATGTCTTCCAATACTTTGCAATAAGTATTCTTGCTGCTGTTGTAGCATACATAAAGAAAGTTCTGTCCTTTTTTAACACCGATTGGCCGACTATGCCCAGGAGGAAGGCCTCTGGTTTCTTCAAGAAGGTATATTTAAATACCTTTTTTAGTTCATTATAAATCATCTCCAAAAAAGCCTTAATCCTTGGGCACATCCACCAAAGGTGAAAAAATGTACCTTCAGTTTCTTTGCATTTCCAACATTTATTATCAGGCACATGATAGATTTTTGCAAGCTTGACTGGGGTTATGTACCACCTGTATATCATTTTCATAATATTTTCTCTTAAGGCATTACATGCCGTAAATTTCATACCTGTGGTCCACAACTGTTCCCAGTCAGCAAACATAATATTATGTCCAACGTCTTGTGCCCATTTAATCATAGCAGATTTCACCATTTCATCCTGAGTATTCCATTTCAACAGCAAGTTATACATCTTTGACAAAATCTTAGTTTTGGGTTCTAACAGTTCTGTTTCTAATTTTGATTTTTCCACCTGGAAGCCAATTTTCTTGTCCAAATTGTATGCCTCCATTATCTGATAATAATGAAGCCAGTCTCGCACTTTATTTTTTAATTTTTCAAAACTCTGCAGTTTCAATCTATCTCCATCTTGTTCCAAAATTTCCCAATATTTCGGCCAATTGACCTCCATATTAAGCTTTTTCAGAGCTTTCGCTTCTATCGGTGACAGCCACCTTGGGGTTTTATTTTCCAATAAATCCTTATATCTTATCCAGACATTAAACAATGCTTTCCTAACAATATGGTTTTTAAATGCTTTATGTGCTTTGACCTTATCATACCACAAATATGCATGCCATCCAAATACATTGTTAAAACCTTCTAAATCCAAAATGTCAGTGTTTTTCAAGGAGCAGCCATTCTTTCAACCAGCAAAAAGCTGCTGATTCATAATAAAGTTTAAGGTCTGGCAGGGCAAATCCACCTCTTTCCTTTGCATCTGTTAATATTTTAAATCTCTGGGTTATTTGTGGGGCATAGGAATTCATTCATATTTCCCCCCCCCCCAAAAAAAAATATATAGTCCAGCCCCGCACAAGGTCAGCAGGCCAGCCCCCTGCTGAAAAAGTTCACTGACCTCTGTCCTAAATGTACCTTTTCAGAGATTATAGTATCTTTATTGGTCCTTTTGAAAAACAGGCATGCTGGCATTCATCCCAGGCTTATTCTCCCCACCACCCTGTCTCTGACCATCTAACTCCTTTGAAACACCTCAAGGGAAACAGAACTCTTAACCAGTAGTTAAAATGGTTACTGAAAATCACCAAAGAGTGGCAGCATTTTTGCACTAAGCAAAATACGAGGTTCTGCTCTTGCAAGAAAGCACGTAGCCGTTGTACCCATTGCAGACATCCATGAGCGCCCTTCAATATAATGCTGTCTGCATAGACAAGATGTGCATTACCAAGTTGTTAAGTGCCTTAATTTTTGAATAAGCTTAGGATGGATGAAGGAAAATAATGAGGTCCTTGTGCAAATGTGAATGATATATGATATTGCCCCCCTCCCACCCCATCTTGTGTTTTTTATGCCACACCAGAATCAAACCTCTTGGGTCCTCTCCAGCATGGCAGCCCTTTACTGGAGGGTAAAAGGTCAAGGGAAAAAAGCAATTGACTGCCTCCGGCAAGCTCTGCATCATACTCCCTATCATATGAAGGTATGTGTTGTATTACCTGTGTGCCTGTCTTTGATTTCCAGCTTTCAGTTTGTGTGTCTAAGTTTATGTGCTTTCACTGTTACTAACGCCTCCAGAACATCTCCCACATGAATAAATAACTGAGTACAGAAGTTTCAAGACAACCTTAAAGTATTTTAGGGCAATCATCTACAGTTGCCTTCCAGTTGCCTTCAAAATAGATATAAAGTGTGGCAGAAACACTTCCGCTCACAATAATAAGATTGGCTTACTGTTTTCACCTCTTGGATGGAGCCTCTTCCCCCACTGGAAAGCTGTTCTGGATAGAGGGCAGTGTGCAGTGCAGTGTGGAGGATTATAGCTGGGGAAACGTCCACCTCCCAAATCAAAAAAATGCAAGAGAGCATTTGGATCCAACCTGTGTTTTGTGTGCTTGCAGTAGGCACAACAGAGGCTAGCTAAGTTCTGCTCCCATAATGGAATACAAAACAAGCTGCATGCCTTCACATAGATGATCTGGGCTTTTCAGGATATCAGGCTACCAAACTCTTTCTCTCAAAAACAACAACAAAAAGGCACTGCCTTTTGGACAGTTCATAATCTCAGCATGATTTATTTGTTTAGGAAATTCTGTTGGCACACTGTCAGTTAAACAGTTGTCATTTCATTTTGCCATTATACATTAAAATCTGTCTTGGCAATGCAAGAAAAGAAAAGAAAAGCCCCCAAAATAGAAGCTGACCCTAATAAGCAAAGCCGGTTCTTTCAACAGCTGTCATTTCCATGACCTGATTCGGCCTAAAGCAACATACTCTTCTCACTAGATTTGTTCCACTTTTCTTCTCTTTCAGGATGTGCCACTCATAAGCCTAGCAAACATCTTTCACAATGCAAAGCTTTGGAATGATGCCATCATTGTGGCTACAATGGCAGTAGAAATTGCCCCACACTTTGTTGTCAATCATTTCACATTGGCTAATGTCTATGTAGCAATGGTAAGTGAATAATCATTAGATTCGGTTCCCTTTCCTTTCACAGCACCCTGATGCTCCAGTATTACAGATAGGTAGAGTTTAGGAACAAGGAAAGAAACCACAGTTGTGTGTGGAGACAGCAATTAGTCATGTAGCTGGTAGGTAGAGAGTTGTCCCTTTTGGTTTTGTTGGCTCTGACAGGTGATATCATCTGGCTAATTCTCAAAACGCTATGTGGGTGTCTCCAGCTTCCCAATTCAGATCGAGTTGCTCTCTGGTTTGGTGCCTGTGGTGCTTGCCTGCCCCAGTCCCTTTGTTCTTTGTCATGCAACTCTTCCTTTTTCTTCCTGTAATACAGTTTTAGGCACCCTCATAGCACGTGACCTGTTCCCCCTTGGCATGAAGCCTGGCTAGCATTTGATAGGACACTGTGGGCTGCAGAAGCATCTCAGTTGATGGGGGAGGCAATTAAAGAGCATTGCATCACTGGCAACCTGGAAACAGCACCATGGTCGTAGTCTTCTTCCCATGTCACTCTCTGTTGCCCTGGCAACCACCATATCTCCAGCAGCCACCAGAGGCACTGGCTGGCTTTGTTAAAAAATATAAATAAAAAGCTCCTCCTGTCTGGGATGATCTGCTGGGGGGGTCATTCTTACTCTGAACAAGGATAAGGGGCCTTTACACATATTTGTATGCACACAGTTGTGAATAGATGGGAAAACATCAATCCATTAAGTTTTGCTGGCAGCAAGTTCACATAACGCACAAGCAATGCCTTACCAATATTGATAGAAGTTTTTGTGTGAAGACGGGTCAACATAGGAGCAACTGCAGAAATGGCAGCAATTCTGCATTTTGATAAATGTAAAAAAAAAAAACATGATTTTTATTGAGTTTTCCATATTTCATTTCATTTCATTACACATATCACAGCTTCTATTATTTGCTCAGACAGAGCATCAACCTCCTCCCCTCCCTCTTTTTTTTTTTTTAGAATGATATTTATCACTTTTTCAACATTTCCAACACAACACTACAAACAAAAAAAGGAAAAGAAAGAAGAGAAAAAACAATACAAATACAATGCAAAAATGCTACATAGACTAACAAAGCAAACAAAAACAATTTAAAAACACCTCAACCATTTTCAATATCTTATATTTCATTCACTTATTTCCAGCGACCTCCTCACACCTCCCTTTTTGTATTCCACTTCTATTATTTGTTTCAGCAATTCCTTTCCATCTTACTCTGTTTTCTGTTCTATAATTATCTTAACACATTCTAACCTTATTTTTTCCTTTAATACTTCCGGGTTGGTGCCTCCAGCAATGGCGGAATTCCTCTGATCGGGAGGAATTTGCCCCGTGGGAATTTGGGTCTGTACCGCCACGGCGAAGGCAGAGACCCGTAAAAATCACAGGCGGGAGAAGCCTGTGAACGTGGGATTCGGCGGGCACCTTTTGCGCCTCCCCTACTCGTGGGGAAACCCGGTTTCGGGGATCCGGAGCGATGTGGGGTGAGTGGCGCGGTGCTTCGAATCGTCTGCTTCTTCCACGGAGCGAAGCCGCATAGCTGTTGTCGGAGAGCACTGACTTTTTCCTGTGGACAATTTGACTCTAAAGTAATTACCCGTGAGTAGAGCTGAATTGGGAAGAATTGGACTTTTAAGCTGGCATCGAAACGGGGAGGTTCAATACAGGAAGTCCGCCTCCCTCTTTTGTAGATTAACTGAAGCAAGGAGACTGCAAGCTAAAGTCTTGGAAAGCCTTTTGTAAAGGACTAAATTTCCATCGGTAAAGAACTAAATCCCCCCCTTTTTTGGAGGCAGGAGAACAGGGGGGGAAGTGGTGGACTGAATATGCCTGTAGGAGAGAGTTAAGAGAGTTAAAATACCGCCGCTCTGACCCTGGAAACGGGCTGCTAGCAGGATTGATGTTTTTTGGAACGTCCATTGACAGCGTTTAGAACGTTCATTGACAGGTAGCTAATCAAGAGAATACATTGTTTCTACTGTCTCCGGTTGTTTTTAAAAAAGGAGGAAAGTAACTGAAAACTGAAACTAACTTTGGATTATTGAAACTGTGTTTAAAAGAGGACATACTGACCGATACAAATACAACCTGTTTTCCCCTAGTGGAAGCTTTTGAAATTGGTTACTTTATAGGAGCTGGGCTAGGGGAATTTCCAGCTGCAAGATAAAAAAGTGTGAGACTTTGGAATTGACCTTGAATCTCTTAAGTGTTATGGCAAACAGAAAGGAAAAAACAGACGGGATGTCGACAGAGGAGGCCTTAGTGGCTGCATTATTGAAAATAAATGATTCGCTGGAACAACTCCACAAGAAAACAGATGCGATAAATGTGAAATTGGATGTTGCAAATATTGAAATTGATTTAATTGTAGAAAGTTCAAATAATTTGGGACAAAAGGTGAATACCAATTCAGAAACCACCCAGGAACTGACACAGGAATCTACTCTGATACGGCAAACTGCAGATGAAGTCAGGGGAAAAACCCTTGCTGCTGAATCTAAAGTAATACAACTGGAGAGGAGAGTCCCATCCATACAAAGACAACTTGATGAATATAAGCTGACATTCGTTATGATTGAACTTAAAGAAGAACGGATGAATTTGAGGACCAGAGCCCGATCTGAATTGGAAAAGGAAAGCTTGACAGAGTTTCAGGAGGCGACAGGACTAACATTGGTTGAGAAACAGAGGTATTTGGGGGTTGGTATGACCGCCAAAAATGTGAATCCGCTTAAGGATAACTGTGAAGGATGTTGGATTGAAGAGAAGGGGGACTTGGAAATATGGACAAATCAGAAGTTGTCACTGTTGGGCCGAGTTATTGTGGTGGGGATGAGGGCTGCTGTGTTGCTGGGGATGTTGCTTTTGTTTCAAACATTGCAAGCTTTGGATGGGATGGAGGGTCTCAGGAGGTGGCAGAGGGATGCTCCTAGAGTTGTTTGGCAGGGCAGGAAGCCTCGAGTAAAACTTAAGATATTGTTGGATGCCAAAGAAGGAGGTGGACCTGCCCTGCCAGACCTTTAAACTTTGTTGTGAACCATCTGCTTTTTGCTGGTTGAGAGAATGGTTGCTTTTTGAAAACACTGAAGTGTTGGACAATGGCAGATGAAGTTGATGGACTATATGGAATTGGCAGAAATGACTGGCAAGATCCGAGACCAGGGTGAAGAGTCGGCGGAAGAAGATTGGAAAAAGTTTAAAGACTATTTATAGAAATATTGTAAAATTAAGGAATGTTAGAAAAATGTTGGAATGAAATTACATGGCTTTAGTAGAAATGTCATAAGGAATTAAGTATAAATAGATTAATAGAAAATTAAAGGAAAAGTATGGCATAAATGTAAAGGTGTTATTAATGTCAAAATTCTGGCCTTAATTGTAGGAAGTTGCATTCAAATAAAGCGTAGATTAGGGACAAAATGCAGTGGCGTGTGGGATCAGCCAATGACCAGTCATGCCCTTCTGCCAGTCTAATGTTTGAGTCTGGAGTTTTTGGGTCATCAGGGAGTGCAATAACCTCATGAATGAGTACATTGGCTGTGAGGAGCATCTTGACATGAGAATGCTAGCAGGTTAGAAGTGTTCTCTTCCGGTGTAAGAACAGCAAGGAGTAGCAAAGGGGAAAACAGATCTTAACTGAAGACGCCGTGAAATTCTGTTGCTTTTAGTTTTCCAATATGATGCAACTGGTTGTCCCGTCTTGACATGTAAAAATTCCACGTGATCCATCTCTTCCTGACACAATATACTTCATAAACTGATTTTTACCATTCTTAATTTTTTTCATTTAAAAACTAAGGCTTTTTTAAAAAAACAAAAACTTAAAAATCTGCACCCCTCAGCAAAATGTGACCATATTATTTCCATTTCCTGAAGGTAATGCTAAACTGGAAATAACTTGTGCTAAGTCATTGAGGAGCCATAAACTAGTTCCATGACTTCAGGCCAATTTCTGTGTTACCTTGATGACACTGTCACTGGCAAAAAAAACATAAAACCCTGGTCCTCAAGGGAAGCAGTTTGTATGCTGGCTTCTTATGCACTGCCGGTGTAGTTTGAGCCGATGCATACAATGCATTGCCTTGCACAAATTGCTTCTCATGTGAAACAGTGTGCATACAACTCCCATTTTTCAGTGGCTACCGTAACACAAAAGTAAGATATTGAGTCTTAGGCCCCTTACTTAATGTCTTTACACAAAGGACCCAATTGGATATAACCCTTAATCATATTTTAGCACTACAGAAATTAGCAGAAGCAGGCCGCAGACTTCCTTTCCCCTTCCCCTTTTCAAGCATTGCTGCAAGGAAGAGATTCAAAGCATCTACTTCCAAGTTTATTTTATTTCAGTTATTTTTTTAAAATACCTAGTTTCTTGCAAGCTTACTTTAAACTATGGTTTATTGAAAGGTGCCAGAATTCAGCTGTTGTTTTTGTTCCTGGCTCAATCCAGCTAGCAGCAGTGTGAAATTTAGCCTGATGTTCAACACCATAGCCTTGCTATCAATAGCATGGGACCTGTTTGGTAGGTGCTTTGCTGGGGCTTATGGTACTTTGACCACTAATCATTTTGCATCTGGGCCCTACAGGAGGAGTTTGAGAAAGCCATGAGATGGTATGAATCAACATTGAAACTCCAACCTGAGTTTGCACCAGCGAAGAATCGGATCCGTGCCATTCAGTGTCATTTACTCATGAAAAAAGAAAGACGTTCTCCTTAAAGATCACAATCTTCTTCATTTTTCCCTTTGGTTTTTAAAAGACAACTGAATCATTCTTCACTATTATGCTTGTAATGAGGTGTGCTAATATAAATTGGGAAACCAGGATTTTAACTAAGAATTTGGGATTGTTTTTATTGTTCAGAAACGGAAGCATCCTTGGAAGCATTACAGAAAAAAACATTTTTATTAAACATCTGTATAATTAAATATTGAGCCCAGAAACTTTCCACATGCCTGTGACCCAAACATCCTTAGATTTTTTTCCCATAAAACAAATTGGTGCCAGCATAGAATGTAACTTGCTTCTTGTCTAGCATATCTATGAAAATGCAAAGCACATCATTGCACCAGACACACTACGTAGGAAGAAGATTTTTATCCATCAGAAACTCACATGTTACCATTTCTTCCAGTCCATATTACAGCATTACCAGCTCAGAGATTGATTGTGAGATAAGAATGCAGGTGGCTGCAGACCCTTTTTTGTACTGTTTTTAGGGGGAGGAGGAGAAGCGGCAAGCACAACATCTAGTTGTAAAATCATTTTTATTTTGGTTACCTGAAGAAAAGGGAAGTAAGACAAAACATTATTTAAGAGATTTTATATCCATATATATGTGAAACCCACTGCAGCCCTTAGCCTGTCTTTACTAATTTTTTGTTTTACCCAGCTGAGTGCAAGGTGCAAATGTTAAAGGCATTTGTCCACATGCTCTGTGACTCTACAAGTTAGATAAAGTGAGAGCATTTTAGCAAACAAGGCAAACGGTCTGTTTCCAAATCAGTACCCACCTTGATCAGTGAAGGACTTGAAGCTCCATGTCTCATTGTTGAATCAACAAGGGCACATAACTTGGAACAAAAATAAAGAATTATGTTAATGAAGAGAATGCTGGCCTCTCTTTTTATATAGTCAAATGTCTTTTACAACAAATGTGGTGCAATTGCCTTAAGTTGTATTGAATGTACAATAGGGATCAGGTTCAGCTTTGTTACACTGGAGTACAAGTGGTCTTTGGATTGTGTTCTATATGTGACTCTCTGGGCATTTGACTCCACACACTTCCAGCTGCATTGAGTGGGAGAATAGGTTCACACTTGTCCATGTGCTGCAAATTAGAATGCAGCAGTGTCTGAACTTTTAAGACACAGGGAAAGCTTACACCCCTAGAGCAGACTCCCCTCCTCAGACTTTTTCTCCTCTGCAAACAACATATTGCAAAATCTTTCTAAAAGTTTGCATTCATTACATATGATCAACTAGGAACTAAGAGCAGCCAGCTCCTGCCTACTGTCAACTTGGAGATCAGGCATGCCAGACCCTAGTTACTGCTGAAGGCTTGAAAACGCAAATGACAATGGCTCCCACTGAGCTAGACGTACATGTAGGTCACAACTGATGGTCCAAAACAGAGGCTCACAAGTTCCTTTAAATATGGTAGGCAGGTGCATCACCATACATACCTTGCACATCCAGCCTGCATCTTCAGCTTCAGCAAGATAAGCACACATGGAAATCTGCTCCAACACTCATTGCCATTGTTGGATTGCAAAGCAGTGAGGACTAGGATAATTACATTTTTGCCAGATTAGGCCAGAGGACATTCTGTAGTGAGGATGATCCTTCCCATTGGACTTGGTAGGGAGGATCCTTGGAACTGTTCATCTATAGCTCAGTAGAGCATGAGACTCTTAATCTCAGGGTCATGGGTTGGAGCCCCACATTGGGTGAAAGATTCCTCATGGTCCCTTCCCATTCTATGACTCAAGCTATTCAAGTCCTTTTCCAGGTGGAATTGTCCTTCCCGCCAGACTTACCCTTTTCTTTCTTGTCTTGGGGCGGGGGGGGGGGATCTAGCTGATTGATCCTTTCCTGCAACTTATCACTGTTCTTTTTTCCTTATGTTATCTCTCCTTCTCTAGTTTGTTGTCCTCTGCTGCCTTCTAGAATTGTTTTTCTGATTCTTTGCCTTGGTTATTTGTCATATAGCATGTGATATTTAGTGCCTTTGTTCGTCCTGAGGTTGTTTTCTTCACCCCACACCTTTTTAAAATTTTCTGCATGGTTCCTGAGATTCCAGGGGTGGGATGAACATTTTCATCATGGGGTTGAGGAGCTTATTATGGCTCTGCTGGTTTGGTCTTGAGTGCCACTCTTCTGCCTGGAGACCCTGCCTACGAAGTATAGTGGGAGGCACCCTCTCTTGAGTGTCCTGCAACATAACCTGTAAACAGAAATGCACAGTTAGAACCAAGTTCCATTTTCATTAAGTTATGAACACTGTTGCATTGCTAGATAAGTAACCAGTAAAACTCGGGGTTGTGTGCCTTCACCTTTTTTCTAAATCCATAACTTACATATTGCTAATTTGTATGCAGCAGAGAGAAATACTGAAATGATATTTTCCCAAAATAATTAAGAAGCTTTCAGTCTCTTTCACCTGAAGAGCAGGAAAGGTCAATCATGGCATTCTGGCAGATCAGGTCATTGCTCTTTCTCTGGAAAATGGTCTGGAGGTCTGCTTTCTTGCACCCGGTTTTCTGTTCCCATTGCACTTGCTTCCACCACTTGAGAAACCATTTTTCTGCCTTTGCCAACCACTACCTTGTACCTAGCGCTGCTTGGTGGATCTCAAGAGTTTTTATAAAAACAAATCCCACAAGCATAGACTCTGCCCATGCCTACAACATCTGCCATTAAGGAATATGATGAGGTGATGAGTCCATGAGATTTGATTCCATGCTTCTTGATGTTTGGGGGCGTCAGAAATGAAGCTGATGTATGTTCATGCATATTTCAGAAGAAGATTACATGGATCTTCTATATGGGACTACTGTAGAATTTAATCAGAGATAGGCATCAGGTTACAATATTATTATGAGTTTGTGGGTGCTAAACCCTTAATTACTGGGTTCAGTAGGTATCAGAATCTAATTAAGGGTCAGTGTTAAAACTGCTACGCCTGTGTGTATTTAAGCCTGTGTATTAGATGCTTCTAAATCTTCTGGAATTAGCATGTGGCGCTGTGGGTTAAACCACAGAGCCTAGGATTTGCCAATCAGAAGGTCGGCGGTTCGAATCCGTGACGGGGTGAGCTCCCGTTGCTCGGTCCCTGCTCCTGCCAACCTAGCAGTTTGAAAGCACATCAAAGTGCAAGTAGTTAAATAGGTACCGCTCCGGCGGGAAGGTAAACGGCGTTTCCGCGCGCTGCTCTGGTTCACCAGAAGCGGCTTAGTCATGCTGGCCACATGACCCGAAAGCTGTACGCCGGCTCCCTCGGCCAGTAAAGCGAGATGAGCGCTGCAACCCCAGAGTCGGCCACGACTGGACCTAATGGTCAGGGGTCCCTCTACCTTTACCTTTAAGCTTGTCTAAGCTTCCTGTGTTGAGGTAGTCACCTGAGGAATGGGCCATTAGGACAACAAAGCATCAAAGAAACTCTTTGAGAGATGGCAGAGGGGTGGGGACTCTTTCACTTAGGAGATAAAGCCAAAAGCTTAAGAGAAGAGCGAGAGGAAGCAATGTGGGCCAAAAGCTTAGAAGGTAGGAGTAATGTGACAAGCAGAAAGCAGGAGGCAGAGAGATGCCTGAGGACAATTTGAATCCAGGACTGTATCTTGGGAAGAAGCAAGGCGCTCTTGGTGTGTGGTACTGGGAACCTCTCCATCGAAAACTCAGGTTATATATCTGTGTAAATAAACCATATACTGTATCATAAAGACACTACAATATCTACTGTGCCTCATTTTTCCAAAAGGAAACACAGACCCTGGAATATCTCACTACTGAGAAGATTGGGATAGTGCGTAACAATATATAGACATGTTGTATATCTGTTGATAAAATGGCATGCTTACCTTCCACAGATTGGAGTGAAAATAAGTAATAAAACTCAAGAATTTGAAAGTGTGCTCATTTTTCCAGGAAAATAAGGTCTGTTCACTTTTTCAGAACAAACCTAATAAGTGACTCATAAAAACAGATACCTCATCTTTTCTTTATGCCCCTTCCACGGGAAGAAACTTGATCTTCCCATTGAAAGGGTTTCTTTTACACATGAGAGATACTATCCTACACAGTCTCCTTCTCTAAGCACCTGAGTTTAAACACTCTTGACCACACAATAGCTTCATCTTCCTGAATTTTGATAACTTAAAGGACCCTTGATGGAAATAAGTAGAAAGTGGCCATTTCACAAGGGCAGTATGGGTTGTCAATCTTTTATACTAGATTTCCACGACTAATGAACAGCCACCCTAACTGGGGGTGTCTTGAGGCACAAGGCTGCCTCTCTGAGGATCTAATGACTGGTTATGGATTTGCTGTTGCTGGTCACCACCTTTGCATATTTATAAATAAATATTACAGAAATGCCATTGGATAAACCCCGAAAGTTCTGCTACTATTCAGAGAAGCCAGGAGCTCATAACAATATAGGACTCCAAGGATGCATGGTGCCTCCCTATCTTGGAAAATCCAAGGCTTGCAGATTTCTAGAAATGACAAGAATTCTTCCCCAGTACACACCAACACCACATTAAACTATGAGGCTGCAGAGCAGCCAAAAGTGGTAAAGGGAAAATGTAGTCAACACTTCTGGAATCCTCCAGGTGGCGGCTGGATCCTATTTTAAGCACAGCTGTGATATAAGCAGAACAAATACTCATATGTATAAGCTGCCTCTACTCACCTGCAAGAGCTAAATCCATGAGGATAACAATATTAAATAAATAAAAAAATCAAAGCCAAGGAAAGGTCATTAGCAATGTGGATAAATTCTAATGTGTAGATTTTGTTTTTGGCTTTGTCCTTTGCTCTCTGTAGAAAGATTACAGTTAAAGACACCAGGAAGGTGGGGGGGAGGTTGGTCTTTTTCAAAAAGAGGGTTAAGTTTGGGATTCCTCTGCCATATGTAGTTGAAGGTGGCCTGAAAAGGGATTTCCTGCCCTCCATCCTTATCCCACTGATAAAGAATGAAAGACATCTTACTGGCGTCAAAGGTGACCATTTTTTCCTAATACATTCATAGTTGAACTTGTTGCCCATTTGTTGGGAGTCGGTGTGAGAGAGGAGTGTTCAGCTTGCTTATAAACCTAAAAGTGCTCACCACTACCTCTTCCTTCCCTGGTTCCCCAGCAACATCCTCCCATCTCACCTCACTTAATTCATGTTTTGTTTTTATATTTTAAAAAAAGGTTTTTGAATTCAACTCTTGGCAGCATACTTCGGTCTTGTGTTGTGGGCATCGGATGCATATAAAACAGTAAGGAAAGCTAAGTGGGGAATGTGGAAATTTTGAATAATCTGATAGAGCATTTATGTTCCTAGCTGCACAGAGAAAGAGATGCTTTTTTTTGGCACAAGAGGGCACCATTCTAAAAGGACTGCTTTGACTCTATATCGGAACAGAAGACATAACTCCGATGAAGACAACAGCCCAGTGAATATTAAGGAGCTCCTTATTTCCCATGTACTTAGGATGAGAAAGATTCATGCAACCAAGTCTGAGACAGAAAAGGCTGAAGTTTAAAACACACACTCATAATCCTTCCAGAGGCTTAAGCAATCAGAACGATTTGGTTGCAGTGAAAAGCTCCCCGACGCCACTGAGTCATACAATTTAGCAATGGAAACATGAATTAAAGAGATCTGGTCAGGAACGGTCTGTCCTCCAATGCAATATATTCCTCAGGCAATTGTCCTGTGGATTTCACCCCATCCATGTCTGTATTTACCAGCCGGTCTTATGCCTTTGTCCCTGTTAATAGTTTTCAGCTACAGCCCAGGTAGTGAACATGGTGCCCACCATAATCCCTGATCATTGACCATGCCAGCTGGCACTGGTGGAGGCTGGGGTCCAACAACGTCAAGAGGGCATTGCATTAGCTACCCCAAACTAGTGATTCCTGTCCTTGAAACAACATGTTGCTTTGCTGTTCGTAGCTAGGCTAGACTCTATACATAACCATACCCAACTATCCCCCATTTCACACCTGGTACCAAGGTGACTAGGCATTAATGGAAGCAAAGCTACACAGCTAGCTACAAAGGCAGGTTTTTCTGCATTGAATGAGACAATTGAGACAGATAGACCTCTTCACACATTACATAGCAGCAAGTGTGTATCTACACAAGGTGTGGAGATGTGGTCACTTCCAGCCTCCTGTTGTGTAGTTCACCCTTCACCCACACAGCTGGAAAAAAAAGACACCTGTCATGCACACACGTTATATTATTAGGTGTATACATAAAACTTTTTAGATGTGTAGTATGCCTTAAAAGCCTCCTGTGGGGAGTGACCCAAAATCTCCATAGCCCAGGTATCTCTGCACTGTGTCATATCGACATCTAAATGCTGCTTTGGAGGTTTGGAAGAAGTGTAAGTGAACGTGAAGGATCATCTGGAGCAACCCCAAGATTGAAATGCCATTTAACAGTCACCATTTGCAGTTAACTGGTATAGAAACTATAGAACCTTGTTGTTAAGGATAATAAAGTTTCCTCTATTCTGTGATACGATGTTAGGTCCATTTTCAGTCGCTCTGAAGATTACAAATGCCATGATTCTGTCAGTTTAGGTTTTTTTTCTGATGTGGACTACATTTTTTTTACATTTTTTAAAAAAAAATTACATTTTTAAAAAATGTTCGTTTTTCTCTTTTTAGTTAAAATAAAATGTAAATGGGAGGGAAAGGTGTGGTCTTTTCTGCAGGCTGTGATGATAACACTGTAATGCGTAAAGCGTAAGCAGTGGAGAACCAAGGCTGGTGGTGCCTAGCCTTCCCTATGTATACTAAGTACCTGCTCACTGGAAAAAGAAGACAGCAGTAAATTTAACCTCTGTTGCCATGCTTTAAAGTGTGGTTCTTATAAAAAGGAAGGGAGGGGAACCCACACCACTAAATGCAAAGAAATCATGAAAAATAACAAGGAACAAAAGCTCTCAATCCAAGCTGAGCGCTGCACAGACAGGAACCTGCTCTGACGTACATGAAAACCCCACAGGGATTAACTCTTTCTTACCCAGGAAAGCCAGCCTTGACGTATCTGCTTTGCCGTGTGTTTCGTGTTCCTTCTGTTATAACCACAAATACATTTGATCTTGCTACCTAGATTCTTTACATTTAGATTTTTGTATGCAACATTAATGGATGTGTTGGGGGGGAATCACTCTCCATCCATTAATTCTTTTTGCACATGTGTTTATTGATGCATTGTTTTGAAAGTAAGGGAGAGGAATTTAGCATCTAAAATTGGTGTGCTAAATAAGCAAGAGCTCCAACACACACCCAACAAAATGGAGAACAAAGTCTTTTCAACTAGTTCCCCAATACCTTTTCTCTCATCGCAGGAACACATGTTGCAATCCTGTCGGTGGCATCCTTCATCAGAGAATTTTAAAGCATATAATAGAGATACGATTAATGAAGACTTGTATCATCTCAGATCTACATCTGCCAAATAATAGGATGAAAAGCTATTCGCAGACTGGTGCAGCTAATTGACCATAATGGTTGCAACATATCACAGGAGATAGAATCCCCATCATCTAGTTGCCACTCCTTCTTACAAAACTGCAGCACAGAGGTTGCAACTATGCTAACGGCTTATTGGAATCTTCTCTGTGGCAACAAGGGTGGAGGAGGAAAAGAAAGAGAACTTGCATACACCTTAAGAACATAAGAAAGGTCTTCTGAATCAAACCAAAGGTCGATCGAGTCCAGAAACATTTTTCCCACCATGGGCAACCAGATGGCACTGGGAAACCCACAGTGAAGGCCTGGGGGCAACAGTACCTTCCTGCTTGGGATCCCCAGTGACTGATATTCAGAGGCATGAAATTACCATGAACCCATGTGGGAAGTTTTATGATATGGAAAATACATATTCCTGGCAGCATATAATAACCATCTATGTCAACACAGCAGCCTCTGTTGAAGTGATTATCCAGTGACACAATCATGATCCTCCACAGGTCTTTGATTAAATGGAGATTACACAGGAGAAATTTCAAGTGCATACTGCCCCAAATGACTCTGCCCTACCCACACACAAAACACAGAAACAAAATTAGTCAATGTACTTACCCCACTTCGCAGTGTATGGATGTTGCAAAATGAAATTCAGACAGAGTGCATGTTGGACTCATCTCTGGCCAATTGTATGATAGGTGAAGATGAAGAACTGCCATGACATCTGCAAAAGGAGATATGCGTTATATTTTTCCATACCTAAGAAGTCGAGAAGAAATATCAACTACCTCAGATATGCAGATGACACAACCTTGATGGCAGAAAGTGAGGAGGAATTAAAGAACCTTTTAATGAGGGTGAAAGAGGAGAGTGCAAAATATGGTCTGAAGCTCAACATAAAAAAAACGAAGATCATGGCCACTGGGCCCATCACCTCCTGGCAAATAGAAGGGGAAGAAATGGAGGCAGTGAGAGACTTTACTTTCTTGGGCTCCATGATCACTGCAGGTGGTGACAGCAGTCACGAAATTAAAAGACGCCTGCTCCTTGGGAGAAAGGCGATGGCAAACCTAGACAGCATCTTAAAAAGCAGAGACATCACCTTGCCAACAAAGGTCCATATAGTTAAAGCCATGGTTTTCCCAGTAGTGATGTATGGAAGTGGGAGTTGGACCATAAAGAAGGCTGATCGCCAAAGAATTGATGCTTTTGAATTATGGTGCTGGAGGAGACTCTTGAGAGTCCCATGGACTGTAAGAAGATCAAACGCATCCATTCTGAAGGAAACCAGCCCTGAGTGCTCACTGGAAGGATAGATCGTGAAGCTGAGGCTCCAATACTTTGGCCACCTCATGAGAAGAGAAGACTCCCTGGAAAAGACCCTGATGTTGGGAAAGATGGAGGGCACAAGGAGAAGGGGACGACAGAGGACGAGATGGTTGGACGGTGTTCTCGAAGCTACAAACATGAGTCTGACCAAACTGCAGGATGCAGTGGAAGACAGAAGTGCCTGGCGTGCTCTGGTCCATGGGATCATGAAGAGTCGGACACGACTAAATGACTAAACAACAACAAACAAGATGTCGAGGGCTGATTATACAAATTCCAGATCTTGCACCAATACAGATTCTAGGATCACATGGAACATGTGAACATTTGTATAGATTCACTTGATCTACACCATTCATTAGAAGCTTGTTATCTATTCCACAGTGATCTGCCCTTTCTTAAGATCTCTTATCTCACCCACCTGCTCTTACCTCAGGTTCATGTATATCTCTCTTTTCCCTCATCTTTTTCTTCAACCACTAAATTCAATTCTATTCATTTGAGTGTGAACAGAGACTATGATTTCCCCTTTCCCTACATCACTGCTGCTGTGAAGGGTCATTTTGCACACATTTAAGTTCAAATTAAATTGTCACAGAATCATAGAATTCTAAAATTGGAAGGGACCAGACCCCAGGGCTCATCTAGTCACAGATTGTACTTTGTATTTTGTTGTCTTTCCACTTGATCTTGACTCTGCAGTTGATTCAGCTCAAGTTGAAGTACCCAATGCCAGATTTGGTGATTGTGGGATCGGTTTCAGTTCACACCGTCTGCCGATGGGGACAAGGTGCCGATGGCAACACATCCCACCATGTGCCCCCTTAGCCCCTGTCCCTCCTGGCTTATTTAATCCAACAGAGGAGGTCTGACTGGTTGAGTCCAGAGCACGGTTAATGCTTCATTGTGCAAGGGGCTGGTCGCTGCTGCCTTGAAAGATGCAGTTGTGTGGCAACTTCTAAAGAAACCAGGTCTGGACTGGAACAACTATTGACCATTTGCAAATACTCTCTTCATGGGGAAGGTGGTGGAGAGGGTTGTGGTGGGGCAGCTGCAAATAATCTTAGATAGCACAGATTTAGATCCATTCCAATCTGATACAGGTCTGACTATGGTACTGAGTCATCTTTGGTTACCTTGTTGGGTGACCTCTGCAGAGAGTGGGACAAAAGGAATATGACTGATTGGACTACCTGAATTTCAGCCCTACAAGGAAGGCTCCCACTCCATCTGTTGCTATGAGAGTAATCCAGCACAGCCACGATAGCAGATATAGGAGCACTGCTTCGAGAATAGCCCCATGTGCTAGCACCAGACTATATCAGAATCATGCATTGGTTCTGCACATACTCAGAGTGATTTCCCTAAAGACCAGGTGTCTTCATAAGTAACCAGAGAAGCAACAGGGAGGGTTTCCTACTTTGCTAAAGAAAAAAAAGATGCAAAGAAAGAAGATCTACAGCATTTTTAAACCTTCAGCTCTGAACTTAAATTTGAAGAAAACTATAAGATAACTCTGGGACGCGGGTGGCGCTGTGGGTTAAACCACAGAGCCTAGGGCTTGCTGATCAGAAGGTCAGCGGTTTGAATCCCCACAACGGGGTGAGCTCCCGTTGCTCGGTCCCAGCTCCTGCCAACCTAGCAGTTTGAAAGCACGTCAGAGTGCAAATAGATAAATAGGTACTGCTCCAGCGGGAAGGTAAATGGTGTTTCCATGCGCTGCTCTGGTTCGCCAGAAGTGGCTTAGTCATGCTGGCCACATGACTCGGAAGCTGTACGCCGGCTCCCTTGGCCAGTAAAGCAAGATGAGTGCTGCAACCCCAGAGTCATCCGCGACTGGACCTAATGGTCAGGGGTCCCTTTACCTTTATAAGATAACTAGCACCCCTCTGTGCTCTCTTTCTCTCTGTGTGTGTGTGAGAGAGAGAGCTTGTCCTCCTTAGCTTCCAAGAGAAAGAAAGGCTGGGGAAAGAGCCATCACTGCTCCCACCTACCCCAAGCTGAGCCCTTTCTATGTGAGATAGTTGTTTTTCCTTCCTTGGATACAGGGGTCAGATCTACTGCTAGTGATCGGCCAGGCAGAGGAGCTGGATGGAACCATCTAGAAAAGGCATCCCCAACCTTGAACCCTCCAGATGTTTTGGACTACAATTCCCATCATCCCTGAACACTGGTCCTGTTAGCTAGGGATCATGGGAGTTGTAGGCCAAAACATCTGGAGGCCGCAGGCCTGATCTAGAAAGTCTTTCCACCACTGAAAATTTATTAATGTTATTGTGTGACAGGAGGAAGATTGAACCATGGCTTTGGAAGTTTTGGTTAATTCTGAATCTTGGCAGGGCTTTGCCCCACTTTGCTTATAAGAGGGGCTGACCCTGAGGTCTTGCATTCTGGGAAGGTTGAGAAAGGCTGGCATTGCTTCTCACCGGAACTTTTCTACTGGAAGTTCAGTATCGAAGATTGCTTTTTCAAACCGTGCACAATTGAGGTGGGGTGGGGGACAAGACAGAAGTTTGATAAAGTTACTGTTTTTTATGGAGCTGATGGGACTAGCGCAGCCAGGGAGTCAAACAGCACTGTGCCTGACCCAGCAAAGAAGTATGTTCAGCCACGGGAACATCTACTGGGTTGGCCAGTAATGATGATGGATAGATCCATAAGAGCCAGCAGAAAAGCAGCAGCTGGGGATCTTGCAAAAGTGAAAGGGTACTAAGAACCAGAGAAGGAGGCATGAAACATTCTCCGAGTTCTGGTTAGTGCTGTCAGGCAGCAGTAAAGAAAGTCTTCTAAGGATGCCAGTGGCAGCAACAAAGGATTGCAAAATAAATTGAGGATTGGTGCCAATTTCAGCATCAGCATTTGAAGCAATTGCTTCATTTACTCAGGGGAAGGCCCTGCACCTATTCACAGTTACTACTGCCTGAGCCAATCAGAGAGTAGGGGCAGGAGACCATTTGGCCTAAGCCTGAAACTCAAAGAGGGCCTCAAATTTGGACACATTTTGGTTTTTTAACCATATTTGCCAATTTTTTGCCAATTCTCCCAGTTCGGAGTGATCCTTTTGGAGTTCCTCCTCATCCCTTTTTTGTCTGAAACACTTTAAATATATTATTTGGTGTCATCAGCAGACCTGGAGGCCACTTGTTCTTACTGCTCATCCCTCACAATGGACCATTTTAAAAGCACCTTTCCTAATCCCAGTCCTTGGAGAACTCTGGTTTTTACATTCCTCCACTGAGAGAACAGTCCATTTATTCCTACTCTCTGCTTCCTGCTTTTTAAGCAATTACCAATCCATATGATGACTTTGCTTATCCCTTGACTGCTAAGATTACTCGGGAGTTTCGGGTAAGTGATTCTTATCTAAAGTTTTTTGGTACAATGCAGGTAAACAAGTTTTTTAGATCTCTCTCCTCCCCCCCCCCCCCGCAAACAGTAGCCAATATTTGCCAGGACTTTCAAAAATGTTTTTGAGGGTTGATGGTCCACTTAGGTGCAAAAAGAATCTGACAATCTGATCACTGATTCAAGACTTGGGTACTGCTACTGTGCATTATTAGATCAACATACACTGACACAAGAGCTTCAGAAAAGTCCACGTTGAACTGTGGAGGCTTAAATGTTCAACAAGAGGGCACAAAGTGAAAGGTTTAAAATATCCGCACAATGCACCAAATTATTTGTTCTGCAAAACACTTTGGAGAACAAGTTGGATGGCCATCTGTCATCGATGCTTTAGCTCAGATTCCTGTGTTGCAGGGGGCTGGACTAGATGACCCTTGGGTCCCTTCCAGCTCCAAGATTCTATGATTCTTGAGGTTGATGATCCTAACCACTAAGCCAGAAGACCATGGAGCACCTCAGCCAAGAAGCTTAAAACCCCTGGTTTCCTGAGTTATAATCTTTGGGCTGCTGCCATGACCACGATATCAGAGATTCCCCTTAGCTGATTTCCTTCAGCCCCTATTCATCTTGCTCTCTCCATTTGTTAATTGTGAATACGAAAACATGATACCTGGTAACCTAATGCTAAAACCTCACAACTCTCCAGCCACCAACATAATTAAATTGCAAGAGATGTCGTTTACCACTCACCATCTAATTCTTGGAAATGGGTTTAAATGCATGGCATATGTCCAGTAACATGAGTCACTATTTAATTATTTTTAATCTATCTAGATGAAAATAGCAAATTATAGTTAGAATGGTGCCAATGTGACATGAGATCAGTGTGCCAATTTGTGGGCACATCAGAGGTTCACTCCCATGAACATCTGTAGAAATGCCTAACCATGGTTTATACAGGACTTACACATCACCTCAGTTATCTGGAATCACACCCTCCATTGCTGCATTCTCACTACCATTCTATTCACCTCATTCAGCAGTGCTTCAACAGTAAAAAGCATATCTAGACGGAGTTTGTGTGCATCACTTTCATGGTGAGGGCTCCTAGCAGTGCACCTACAGCTTCCTACAGCAGATTAACTGTGGTTCCTGTTGTGCTGTAGAACTGCACCAGCTTATCCCGACTTTGTATTATTGTATTTAAAAGAAGATGATTCTTTTCTGATGCAGAGGACCCTCAATGTATTCCAAATGCTTAGTTCCTTTTACAAAGGGCAACTGCATAAAGCTCTTGGGTTTCGTATAGCTATTATGGCTAACTGCCATTAATAAACCCTCCATGAATGTATCTAATTGACACTGAAAGTCATCTAAGCTGTCGCCATCACATTTTGTGGCACTGAATATCAATTTAAAGAATTTATATCCCACCCATTTCTCAGAAAACGCTACACTATTTTGTCTGTTCTAAATCTACAGCCAATCTAGTATTAGGAAGAACATTTCTCTATCCACTTTCTTTACAACAGGGATGGGGAGCCTGCAGTCCTCCAGTAGTTGGACCAAAGCTCCCAACATTTGTGACCATTGGCCATGCTGACTGGGGTTGATGGGAATTGAAATCTAACAATTTAAGGAGTGCTCCATCACTTGTCTACACCATGAATCATCTTCTAACATGCGGTCATCATTCCACCCTCCCTTAGTTGTATCTTATCTGTTGTTGTTGTTGTTTAGTCGTTTAGTCATGTCCGACTCTTCATGATCCCATGGACCAGAGCACGCCAGGCACTTCTGTCTTCTACTGCCTCCCGCAGTTTGGTCAAACTCATGCTGGTAGCTTCGAGAACACTATCCAACCATCTCGTCCTCTGTCGTCCCCTTCTCCTTGTGCCCTCCATCTTTCCCAACATCAGGGTCTTTTCCAGGGAGTCTTCTCTTCTCATGAGGTGGCCAAAGTATTGGAGCCTCAGCTTCACGATCTGTCCTTCTAGTGAGCACTCAGGGCTGATTTCCTTCAGAATGGATGCGTTTGATCTTCTTACAGTCCATGGGACTCTCAAGAGTCTCCTCCAGCACCATAATTCAAAAGCATCAATTCTTTGGCGATCAGCCTTCTTTATGGTCCAACTCCCACTTCCATACATCACTACTGGGAAAACCATAGCTTTTACTATACGGACCTTTGTTGGCAAGGTGATGTCTCTACTTTTTAAGATGCTGTCTAGGTTTGTCATTGCTTTTCTCCCAAGAAGCAGGCGTCTCTTAATTTTGTGGCTGCTGTCACCATCTGCAGTGATCATGCAGCCGAAGAAAGTAAAATCTCTTACTGCCTCCATTTCTTCCCCTTCTATTTGCTTATCTGTACTAAGCTCCAAATGCTTTAGTCTTGCAATCTTCTGGTCCAAAGAAAGAAGCACAGGAAGCTTCTGTGAATGCAGCAGGATATCAACCTTCCAACACTGGCTCCATTGACCAACAAGCCACTCTTGAAATTTGAGGGACTCCCAGGAACAGTCTCTGATGAGCTGTGCCTAGATAAAACCAAGGAAGTCATGACACACATAGAAAAGTCACATGTATGCAGCTGTTTGGTAGGCCTGGTAGAAATTCCCACGTTCAGAATTTCTGGGTGTGATCGAGGACTTGTATTGACATACCTCCAGCTGAGCTGGGATGAGGGACTAAGTTTAGCAAAAGACCTGCCTATTCCAAATTCCTCTTATTTCAACTGATCTTCGATTTTTATTGCTCTGTAAATTGGAATACTGGACTGCCCAATATAAGAGCATGTTGCCAAATTTTATGCTGATTAACTAGAATGGTTACAAGTGACACCTAAAAGGGCAAATGACCAATGAGAGGAATCACCTTAAGGAAGAAGTACAATGAAGACCAGACATCAATGCGGAGTCAAAGGAATACTGGTTTGATATCTAGCTGGCAGAACATGGTGATATGGAGTCTGCTATTCCCATGTTTTATTATGTCAGGCTTCTCAAGTTCAGTGATTCTTAGCAATATGTTTTTTTAACTATCACTTTCAACTATCGCTTTCCTTCCAACGCCTGCAAATGTACTTATTTTTCTTCTTTCCCGTCTTCACATCACTGGCAGACTTCTGGTGGCTTTGCACATAATGCACCAAACGTGCATTTCAGTTCTTTACTTTTAATGTATGGGACTGCTCACCACACACAACTGCCTGTGTAAAACACTTGCTTCCAAAAATGAGTACATGCCACTTAAAAACTCCACAAATCCCACCAAAACAAATTGGAAGGTGTTCCCTTCCAAATGCAAATAGCCTGTGTTTTTTAAAAAAAATATATAACCCCATGATTGCGATGTTGAAGGTAGTCACTATCTGAGTTTCAAAATATTTGTTCTCTCTCCTGCCTTGTCCTTTATCTCTCAGGTCTCCATACGTCACTAAAGCAACATTCACTACTCACAGCCAGGGCTGCCTTGGTGAATGTGTTCCACTGTTATTAATGGAAACAAACTCTGTTCCCCTGTATTAAAAATACACCTTCCTCTAAATATAGGCAATCTCTGTGTGTCTAACTACTACAATGGGAGAACTGAAACGGACCAAAATATTGACATCCACTGGGTGTTGATAATTTGTTTTGGTTCATGCTCTCTTCCTGGGTATTATCTACACCTTCGTGGAAAATCTGTTATTATTTAGCAGGAGGAATGTGCAAGGCGTTGTTTAGATGTGGGGTTGTTAGATGGAGTTTCCTCTGTTTGTTTTTCCATGCTCTGTCCAAGCCATGTCAATGAGAAAAGGGTTTACTGAGCTATTTATAACCTCACTTCTCTCCCTCTCCCTCCTTCCTTCCCTTTCCCCCTGCATGGCTGTACCTTTTTCATCCACATTGCAGAAAGATGGCATCGCTAGCCTGTGAGGGGAGGGCTTCTGGGGACATGGTTTGCCTAGTGTGCAGTATGGGGAGAAGTGGGGGGGGGGGGAATGAGGACAGACTGTACCTGACAGAAGAAATTGGGGAGAAGCAGGCACTTGGTAGTCAGGGAAATAATGAAGAATCAGGGAGAGAGAAAATCTGGGGAAAGAGAGAATAGCAGAGGGAAGCATGATGACCTGGCATTAAAAGGATGTGGAACCTCCATGTTCATTCAAACATTGTCATGAATGACTCCGTATCTCATTCACTACCAGCTCTCCACTCTTCCCTCCGCTCCTAGTTTGCAATTTCTATCAGTTTCTTAGCATGTTTTGTGCGATTGTATGAATGGGTGTGGTAGCAGGAAGAGGGATACTTGATTCACTGATTTGCTTGCGCTGCTGTCAGGGTTGCTGTTTTTAAACCAGGGCAACACAAAGCAGTTGGGGCAACCAGTCTCTGAAGATTTAGAGAGGAGACCTTAGTGCAGTTTGCAAGGCGCATAGTGTTAAGTAAAGGTAAAGGTACCCCTGACCATTAGGTCCAGTCACGGCCAACTCTGGGGTTGCACACTCATCTCGCTCTATAGGCCAAGGGAGCCGGTGTTTGTCCGCAGACAGCTTCCGGGTCATGTGGCCAGCATGACTAAGCCACTTCTGGCGAACCAGAGCAGCGCACGGAAACACTGTTTACCTTCCCGCCAAAGCGGTACCTATTTATCTACTTGCACTTGATGTGCTTTCAAACTGCTAGGTGGGCAGGAGCAGGGACCGAACGACAGGCGCTCACCCCGTCAAGGGGATTCAAGCCGCCAACCTTCTGATTGGCAAGCCCTAGGCTCTGTGGTTTAGACCACAGCACCACCCGTGTCCCTACAGTGTTAAATAAGCACATGTTAAATTAGATCTGTCCGCCTCACCTGCTCTATGCAGGGTATGTATATATTGTTGCATGCAACCCAAATTTCCGAGCGGTGTGAAATTCCAGCGGTTCTAGGTGCTTACTCAGGGTTCAGTTTCCTCAGACTGACATACGGTTTATTTACACATATGTACCACCTGAGCCTAAGATGGAGGGGCTCATAATGTTACCATCCACAGCCTCGGCAGAAATCAGGCACGGCTGTCTCTCAACTGCCCAGCCTACAGCCTGCTTCTAGTTTACATACACCACTATTCTCTGGTCTTTGTCCTGGATGGGGGCCCCAACCATTTGACGTCTGGCACAGAGCGACTTCTTTTGTTATCTTAGGACATATACATAGGAGGCATTATGGCCCTTGCCTGGCTAATTCAACAACTGCATCTTTGCTGAATTGAATCCAGGAATTAGAAGGGACTCAAATATCCTGCCCAACCCACCCCAACCCCACAGCAATATGCTTTGTCTTGTGCACATATGTCAAAATAAAGAGGCTAGTGTATGAATATGTCTTCCTGATTTTATACACGCAGGTCTTATTTTAAAGCACAGGGGAAGGACCTATAATAAATATTCATGCATGCATGCTGCTAATCTGGCTGGGTTGCCCCAACCACTCTGGGCGGCTTCCAATGATTTATGAAACCACATCAAACATTAAAAACTTCTTTATATAGGGAGGGTAGTACCTATGACCCTCTAGATGTTGTTGGCCACCAAATCTCATCAGCACCAGCCAGGATGACCAATGGATGATGAGAGCTGTAGTCCAACAACATCTGGAGAACCACAGGTTCACCACCCATGGCTTATAGGGACAGATGAAGCTACCTTGCACAGAGCCAGACTACAGATCAATGTCTGTTACTGTCTACTTCTGAATGGGTTCTTTTTATAAACAAGCTATATCTGAGGATTGAATCACAAAATCATAAGGGACCCCAAGGGTCATCTAGTCCAACCCCCTGCAATGCAAGAATCTTCTGCCCAACATGGGGCTCAAACCCACAACCCTGAGATTAAGAATCTCATGCTCTACCAACTGAGCTACCGAGGCAACTTCGAATGTTCTACATGTGCTCTGTCATTATGGTTTTGAGCCAGGACCTACCTCAGCAACCTGTTTTCAGCACCAGAGTTTAGCTCTTGGACATGTGAAACAGTCATAGTGTGCCTCTGACCATATGCAGAGTGCCCTTCTTTCACCACAGAGCAACCTAACCACAAATAGCCACAAATGATAGAAATCAGTCAGATAACAAGACTCCTAAACAGGATTGACCCTGGCCCTACACCTTCCTCATTTTAGAAATTAAAATGTGGAGGATGTAGACATCACAGAGTGATATATGCACTGTACTTAGATACAGGCATGTGTTTATCTATAAACATACAAACACCTACATCTATATATTATATATTACCTATTCTGTTTCCTGGTCATGCTTCATAATCAGCAACAACACCGGGCACTTTCTCTATGGCTACTCCCTCCATTTGCAGATAGACCCTGTGTTGAGAGCAGTGGAACCATCTCGTCGGTTGCTATGCCATCCTCCTAGGACATCAGGTTTGGGCAAGTGCTGTCAGGTATTGCCTGCTTGTTCTGTTTGGAGGCTGTGGTAAGTTGTGTGTGTAAACAAAAATATGGGGGCTCACACCCTGTATCCTAATATAATGTAGACATCACCCTTCTGGGTTATATTGACAGACATCATAATGAGCCCATTCTGAGTCAAACACAGCTGAGAATTATAGAATTATAAAGGGGAAAGCAGCTTGTTCTCCCAGCCCAACATGCTTGATCCCTGCGCCCATCTTCCTCATGGAACAGAAAGGTATTTACTATGACAGCTGCAAGACTGTTCCACCCCAAATTTCCACCCACCTCTATGAATGCTTTCCCCACCCACTGTGCACAGAAGGCCACACTCCAGAATATCCTAAGGCTGAGTGACCTTGTCTCTAGGTCCAAATGGTGGGCCACCAGTATTGCACTCTGGGCACAGACTTGGCCCTCCCTAGCTCCAGGGGTGTCTTGTCTATGGGGCACATCTCTTAGCAATGAAGTGCACAAACCAGCCCTGCAGTTTGTTCCTGGCCACGAGTGATCCTTCTTTCAAATCATCCTGCATTTAGGTCTCAGGAGGTATAAGCCAACTCCGTCACAACAAACGCTTTTAAAATTTCGTTGTGGGGTTTGGCGAGGGTTAATATTTGCTTTTCCTGCAGAAGCTTTGTTTTTGCCATTTAAGCTTTGCCGTATCCCAGAGGGGGGCCTTGAGCCATTGCTTCCCCCCTCCCCGGAAACTTCAAAGGGCACGTCTGTGTGTCCCGCGATGTGCTTAAAATTCGACATCGTGAGGGAAGCGCATGGATGTGCCTCAATCTCTCGCACGGCGGCTCTCGGCTTGCGCGGGAAGTGGGCAATTTTGGCGGGGTCCCCCGTCTTCCTGCCACTGCTGCAGGCCGAGGGATTCTGCCGGGCTGAATAAGCAGGCAGCGCGCCGCTGGCTCGCTCGAGCTGGCAGAGAGGAGGCGGCGAGCACGGGGAGGGGGGCAGAGAAGGGGGGGGACGGCCAGATGGAGGGCCGAAGGGAGGGGGGGAGCGCTCGAGGCAGCCGCGGGAGGGAGGGAGCGAGCGGAGGAAGCGAGACACCTACGCAACCACCGAGCGAGAGGAGATCCTTGGATGCAAACACAGGCGTCCTCCTCTCCCTCCCCCCGCCTGCTGCTCACATGCCCCTGATTCATTTCCACATGCCGTACACGTGACATGCTAATTCAGGGCTACTACACAATTCCAGGGCGGTGGGAGGAGGAGGAGGAGGGGCGTGCAAAAGCGAGGCGCACGCTGCAAAGCCAAGACTGCAGCTTCCTTCTCTCGTGCGCGCAGGGGAGCTTGGCTGGCTGGGGCGCATTTTTCAAGCAGCCCCCGCAGCACCTTGTGCCCCCGTCCGCCCCACCTCGTCAGTGTGTCTCCCTGCGAGTGCAGGCGGCGGCGGCGGTGCCTCAGCAGCGCCCTCCCGTCTCACCCTTCGTGGGGACACGGGGTGACGGCAGACGGAGGCGCCCTTCGCCTGCGCTTCCCGGCGGCGGCAGCAGCAGCAGCAGTACGAGGGGGTCGGGGAAGGCGGGGCCAGCTGCTGCTGTTGCTGCCGCCGCCGCCCGCCTCTGCCCTTCTCCTCCGAATCTGGGAGCCTTAGAAGGGTTGAGGCTATATTTAAACACAAACAAACGCACGATCTTATTCGCTAGGGAGAGGCGGGCGGGGGAAAGGGGCGCGCGGAGCGAAATACGCAAACGGGCTCAGGCCCCTCCCCGCGCTCGCCTGCAGGAGGAGAAAGAAGGGGGGGGGCATGTGGAGACTGCAAGCCTCCGGCACGTTTCCCGGAGACTTGGCTCCACGGAATTCAGTGGGGCTGCCTTGCGAGGGAAAGAGAGGCGCGGCGCTGCAAAGAGAGAGGAGAAGGTTGCGGAAGGTGGCCCAGGCTGTTTGTTAAACTGAATAGATCATTTTAACCCGCGGGGAACGGGGCTGTCTGAAAGGAAGGAGAAGGGAAATTCCTCAATGGAACGAGTCGCAGTCACCCGTAGCAACGAGTGCTTTTCATTACTATTTTAAGATCAATAAATACGCGCCTCGCTCACAAATGGCTTCGGTCCATCGGGCTGTGCCACAGATGACAGGGGTAGGAAGCAGGCAACTCCGCAAGCGTCCAGATACATCGCACTTACTAATTGATTATCTTTATTAGTGGCTGCATGGTGGTCAAGGGTCTCTGGGCGATGAGCGATGAAAACGATATAAAACCGCGATCCAATAAAAATAAGAACAACAGCACACAAAATCCCCAGTCAGTGACGAGATTAAAGGGATTCCAGTCACATTCGTGTGGTCTAATAGCAAGCAATGCCTTGGTGTGTTCACAATACATCACTAATCGGTTGAAAATTGCAGAATCCAGTGATGACTTTGCGTATGTGAGGTGGCCTTCACACGTTTAACACTGCAGAACTCTGGCATCAGGTCAAATGCAATGTTCAATAAATCTAGAGTGCAGAAATACCAAATAATATGCATGCAGGTGTGAGTCAGCCTTGTACGCAACATATACCGGTACTGGGAAGCAGCAGCCAGGTTTGCAACATATATTCACCATAGTTGCACACTGTGAATATAGGAGTTGTTTCAAACATTTTTTTTGCATGATTTCCAGTTATAATACATATTTTGGGTGTTAATCCAAGACACATGAACCCTGCTAGAGTGACTGACTAGCATGTGTATTTGTCATCCCTCCTAGAAAAAACTTTTGATACTGCCACATTTATTGTTTCTTTGTTGCTAAGACATGACAGGAGGTGTTCGCTTTGTCCCAACCTATCTGGCCTCAGGTAGCTGCCAGAAGAGGTTGGAGAGCTTGGTGCACCCAAGGGCAGTGGCCCTTCCTCTGCTCAGTCCAGATCCCCAGACTATGAGGAGAAAGCTGTCTCAGGTTGCTGGAGCAGGATAGCTGTCTGAGTCAGTCAATTGCATGGAGCCGAGGAAGGGGTAATGGGAGGCCTGCTGCGATGATACTAGGCAGGGATGGCCCATCAGACAAGAGGGAGATGCCCACATGGGTTGTCAGGGGGGAGGGTGGGCTGAAGGGTTGATTGGCAAATGCAGGAGCCAGTCTCTTGATCCACACAACACTACTCCTGGAGTGGCTCATTGTGGGGCTTTCCTTTCCTAATGTAGGACTTTATCCTGGATTCAAACCAGCCCCCTCCACCATGTAAAATTTTAGCTGTTCCACCACACCAGAGCTCTTCCTGTAGCTTTCCTGGTTTCTGTGACTGAGGTGGGAGAGAGGGAAGCCAAATACCCCATGTTATGTCCAATGCCTCTCTCTCTCTTTTTTGGTCATTATTGTATTTCTTTGTGTGTTTTCCTCTTTCCTTCCCAAGCTCAGCATGCCTTGGATACAATTATCCCCCACTCTGCATTGCTGAATATAGCAATATATACTCTGCCCATTTTGGGGGGTTTGTTTGTTTTAAAATGCAGTTATTTATTACAGTTTTTGAGTAATACAATTAAAGTAACATTGAAATATAAATGGAAAATTAATGTGTATACTAAGAAGCCATCATCTGTGTTGTATTAGGGAATGATTAAGCTAGTGCATTTAATGGACACTGCGTACATTTGCCAGATGTGAGGGTTTGACTCAAATATCTATGTTTATGCTTCTTCTTTTTTTACTAGTTTAAGAGTGTACAGGCCATGAATTAGTGTTTAATGCTAGCACAGTCAGAAAACTTACCCAGGTCAAGAAACAATTGATTTCTGAGCCTCCACTAAGGACTGACTGAAAAAGTGGGTGGTATAGTCATAAAAAACCAAAGACTAAAGATTTGCTTTTCTATTAAAAATAAAGTATTGTGGTGAAAATCTAGCATATTAGCAGGCAGGTAGACTTGTACGGCATTTCCGTGCGCTGCTCTGGTTCGCCAGAAGCAGCATAGTCATGCTGGCCACATGACCAGAAGCTGTATGCCGGCTCCCTCAGCCAGTAAAGCAAGATGAGCGCTGCAACCCCAGAGTTGTCCGCGACTGGACCTAACGGTCATGGATCCCTTTACCTTTTTAGACTTGTACCTGTGTTCCTAATATGCAAGTTTTCAACTGAAGGAAGCATGATGTTCAAGGAAAGCATTCTAATATATGACCTTCCAGCATCAGTTGCATCTTCTGCATATTTGAACTGATCCTGAATGCAAAGTAGACATGATGCAAAGCCTGCCCCCCCCCAACAAAAATCCTGGTTATGACCATGGGGGGCAGGCTTTTGTTAGGAGGGGGGAAACCTCAGATTTGTATTGATTTTGATTGATTGAGGGGCAGCTGCCCATGACCATGAGCTTAGCAGTAATAGATTCAGAAAAGGCAAATATAACTTTGCAGTCAGAACTTCTGTCTTGGACATGGAGCCAGGCAGGTAATCAATGGAAAGGGGAGAGAAAAGGGATACCTATGTCTATGACATGATTCAAATATCTGTTAAACTGAGGGCAGGAAGGCAAAGCCACATTACAAAAAGAAAGGGGTTATTCAGTTGTCTCAACCGCCATCAACCAATGGATTTATAGAGGTGCATGCCTGCCTGCTTTAGATTGATAAGTATCTGAAAAGGTAAGAACAGTTCCATCTTCTACATCCCAATCAAATCAAGATATACAAAACGCCAGGAGGAAGGGAGATTTGAAAAGCAATTTCTGTTTTCTCTAGAACAGGGGTGGGGAACCCCAGCACCTCAATATAAGCTTCTTGCCGGTTTCATATACAACTTATTTCTGTTTTTTGTTTTGCTTCTCCTTAAATATGGCACAAGAAAGAGCCAGATCATCTTGGATTACTGAACACTAGTGTGTACTTCCATTAGGAATGTAAGTGTATAAGAACTGTCCTGCAGGATCAGACCAAAAGCCCATCTAGTACTGCGTCCTATTCTCACAGTGGCCAACCAGAAGCCTATGGGAAGTTCACAAGGAGGACTTGACTGCAAGGGCATTTTCCATACTTGTGATTCCCAATAACTAGTACAGTGGTACCTCGGGTTAAGTACTTAATTCGTTCTGGAGGTTCGTACTTAACCTGAAACTGTTCTTAACCTGAAGCACCACTTTAGCTAATGGGGCCTCCTGCTGCTGCTGCACCGCCAAAGCACGATTTCTGATCTCATCCTGAAGCAAAGTTCTTAACCTGAAGCACTATTTCTGGGTTAGCGGAATCTGTAACCTGAAGCCTATGTAACCTGAAGCGTATGTAACCCGAGGTACCACTGTATACCTATGTCATGCTAGCATAGTTACTTGTGAACCCTGGACACCATGCTTAAAATCAGCCTAAAACTGCACTTTAATATGAATATACCATGATACTTCAGTGCTTCTGCCACATTCAGGCTTTCATTGTCTATTCACACATGGCAAAACTAAGCATCATGTGTGATGCTCTCCCTCCTACTAAGCAAATATATGTTCTGCTGCTCTCCATCACTCTTGCCTTGCAAAAATAAAACATAATAAAGCAGTATTCTCTCTCTCTCTCTCTCTCTCTCTCTCTCTCTGTGTGTGTGTGTGTGTGTTGCTACTGATCTCATTTGTACGATGCAGAATTTCTGTAGCACCAAGTGCTGATTCTCCATGGACCACAGTTAGTGACATATGCTTTCTTGATTCTCACATCCCTTTTCTTTATGTCTTGCCTATGGAACTCCAAGTAGCATCTCTCATTAGTTCAATGAGGGGCAACTCAGGACAGCAGCTGGCTTGCTTGCTGCTCCTGAAAACCTCCCAGGCACAGAAGGTAATTTCAGTTCAGTCATCACTCAAGGTCTTCCTGGACAAGGTGGGTGTATGTGTGCATGTGCCTGTGTGACCAGCTATACCACCTCTGCCTCTGTGGCTCAAGAATGGGTGATTATTGCTTCTTATCCCAGTCCAGTGAAGTGGATGTCTAGCGTTCCCATTATAGAGACAGTGAACCAGCTATGCATCTTATCTACAATTTAAATTAAGGCCACCCTGTTCCAGAACCAACACTCTATGCACCTTAGGACTGGCTTACCCGTGCCAGTACAACACTTGATCATTCAGTGTTTGATTAATCAGCAGTGCACTTTGAAGCAGAATATGTGGTATTGAAAAGCACATTGTTGGATATGATGAGCTCCAATAAAACACAGACCAGAACAGGTAGCACCAACCATGATCATCTGACCTAATCACAGAGAATTAAACCATCTCATGAGGGCTAAAGGCCATCAGAAAAACAGAGGGCTAGCCATCAGAAAAACAGAGGCTAAAATACTAATAGGAATATTCAAAAAATGTTAAAAAGCACAGGGTTGATGTTAAAAGGGCCTGGGAGAATAAAATAAGTCTTTGTGTGGTCCTGGAAGGACATGAATGTAGACACCAAATGAGACACTCTTGGGAGCAGGCCCAGACGGGGGGGGGGGCATATGGGCCACTTGGCCCGGGCCTCCGATTCCAAAGGGGGCCTCGGTCAGCATATTCACAATCACAGGGGATGCACTGGGGCAAATGTGGAGGTGCAAAGGTGGCGGCAGCGGTGGGTGGATTCCCTGGGGCCATGGCTGGCAGCGAGAGAGAAAAGCTTCCCCAGCGTCCATCGAAAGCACTATTGTATATCTATATTTTCCATTTTGTCTTTATATGCAGATACGGTTCAAGCCTTGAAATAAAATTATTTGTCAGCATAGCTTTTGTGAAAATTATTTATATACTTACTTATTTATAAGACTTCAGTTATCCCCAGGGTAAAAAAAAGGGGGGCACATTATCTACCTGGCCTGGGCCTCTGCCTGGCTCTGCAAAGCCTTGCTTGGGAGGGTGCATTCCATACTGAGTGTGGAAGGCACTGCCAAAGGGCCCACTCCCTTGTAGCTGCCCTCCAGTTTTAGTGGTTCCCCCAAGAGAAGGGCATCCCTTGGGGATCTCAGGGCTCAAGTAGGTACATATGGGAAGAGGTGACCCCCAAGACGCGCAGCACTTTTAATTCGAAATGCATTCCATGCTGCTCAATTCAAAACAAGTCCTAGCATCTGAACCCTAGTTCTGGTTGAAGTGAAATCCTGGGCACTGAGGTTAGGAAAGGAATAGAAGGAAAGAAAGTCTACGATGGCTGAGTTTAAAAATGCTCATCCTGAGCTTCAAACAGAAATAGTTGATGAGGGAGAAATGAAGTGAATCACGGGCAGGTTAATAAGGCTTCGTAAAAGGTTAGAGCAAACTATTTAGGATCTGTGGAATCATTGCCTAGCCAAGGAGTTACATGCTTCATTTAAGTCTGGGACAGATCTGGGTTACATGTTAGACTTTAAATTCTCAGAAATGGGAAGCAACTAGGAGCAAGCCATAGCAGCAGAGAGGGACTCAGTGTGTTCCCCCTTCCCTCTCTCTCACTGATGTACTCTGTGGCTAGGAGTGCTTTTCACCAGCTTCATTTGCTTCATCAGTTCTGGCTGTTCCTGGACAGGTACAACCTGACCACTGTAGTCCATGCATTGCTAACCTCAAGGCTGAATTATGGCATTGCACTCTATTGGGGGGGGTGTTTGCCCTTGGGTACCATTTGGAAGCTCCAACTGGTGCAGAATGCAGCAGCCACTGCTGATGGGTGTATTTGGCCAAGAACATGTGACATCATTGTTAGAACAACTGCCCTGGTTGCCCATCTATCATCCTTGTATTAACCCACAAAGCCTTGAACAACTTAGTTCCAGGGTACCTTAGGGATCGCCTGAGCCCTTATATTCTAGCTCAGTCCCTGAGATCATCTGCAGCAGCATCGTTAGTTGTTTCCCAAGTTGGCAAGTCTCACTTGATAGCAGCAAGAAGGAAAGCCTTTACTGGGAGAACACAGAAAGCTCAGCTGGTTAGAGCTGAGCATGATGCTGGTAACATCAATGTTGCAGGTTCGATCCCTGTATGGGACAGCTGCACATTCCTGCATTGCAGGGGGTTGGACTAGATGATTCTCAGGGTCCCTCTCAACTCTACAATTCTCTAATTCTATGTCTAGTGTCCTCAGCCCAATATTGTGGAAAACACTGCTGACAGAGATTCAGCAGGTGTCTTTAGTGTAAAAGTTAAAACCCCTCCTGAAAACTTTTCTATTCCCCCAGGCCCATGCAGGCAATTAAGAATACATCTTGTACATAACACATCTTTCCACAACAGTTAATTGATGTTCATTTTTAACTTTTTAAGTATGTTTACTGTGTGGTTTTAAGTTTGTTTGTTATAAACTGCTCAGGAATATTTTTATGAAATATTTATATTAATAAATACATATGTAACTCCATGTGCCTCATAAGTTTTGGAGAACACCACAAAAGCTTTGGTTTTGTGACATTTTGGCTGGTTCCAATAAAGATGTTACCCAATTGTGGATTTTAGCACATAGGAGTGCAGATCCAGGGACTGGTAACTAATCTGGAGTGCCAAGTCTGGTGTATAATGTGGGCTATTTACAATGCAGTCAAACCATGTGCTAGACAGGCACATGGCAGGATTTGAAGCTCAGAGTTTTCCTGTAAGTTTGCTACTGCCTGTGTTGCTCTTTCCCCTCCCTCCCTTAGCAGCCTTTACCAGCTCCTTTGGCAGTTCCTTTCTTTCAGCTGTGCCCTTGGATTTTTGCGGGTCAGTCGCTCACGCTGGACAGTTTGTTCCTGCACGCGCTGCCCTCCTTTAAAATCTGCAGGCAATGCCCGGGGGAATCAGGAAAAGAAACCTTTTCTCCTGCCGCCCTAGCCCCAGTGTCACCAGCTCGGGCGTGGAAGGGGCTTGCATAGCAGGCAAGGGAGCCAAGGCAAGCCACAAGGGGGCATGTGCTGTTCTAATTCATAAAATGTGCATTCATTGACAAAAAGAGAGAAACCCATCGCTGAACACTTGGTGAATGGTGTGTGCATAAGTTAATGCTGCGGTAGCCGAGACTCTCGCAGGTGATAGCTGGGGGGCTGGGGCTGGGTGAAAAACAAGAGAAAGGGGAGGGAGGGAGGGAGACCAGTTTGCAGATGAGAAACTGAGAGCCTAAGGAGGCGAATCTGCATGAGCCTGGCAGATTGGGGTCTGAGAGTGTATCTTGGGCTTTGAGGGATATGATGGTGCTGGTGATTTAGTAGTAATAGTGAATTCATGGCTTTGTAAGTCATCATCACTAGAACTAGTAGTATTAAATCCACCACTATATAAATTTGAAGCAACTAAGACTGCAGTCCTGTGCAGTCCTCCTTTCCCAGGAGTAAGCCCCACTGAAAACAATGGAACTTATTTCTCAGTAGGTATGTACAGGATTGTAGGGAGGAGAGGATGCTAGCCTCTTGTGGTTATCAACACCCCCTTCCACAAAGTGGGCAGGACCCTCTACAGAAAGAGGGGAGGGGGAGAGTTATGTAGACAGTCTACACATGCCTCCTCAGATAGAGCCTTTAGAGCCAAGTGGGGGAAACAAACACACACCAGAGCTGCCGACTCTTTCCCAAGATCGGGGGTGGGTACAGCGTCATACATGTGCGATGCTGAGCTCTATGCTCAGCCTCCTCCTGATGCATGCGCAACGTTGCCAGCCACCACCATGACTCCCTGTCTGCAAACACAGCCCAGACCACTGCCGCCTGCCATTCACCCACCGCTTTGCTTCTGTTGGTTCTCTGCTGCTGCCACAGTGACTAGGTCACGGCCTCTGACTCAGTCATAAGGCTTCCACTGAGGCCCGCTGCAGCCGCAGACATACTTCTGAAGTGTGGCCCAGATTCTAGAAGAACATCTGTGGCTGCTGTGGACTTCAGTGGAGCCTTTGCAGCAGTGGCCTTGGCCTAGTCACAGCAGCAGAGCCAGCGAAGGTAAGGTGATTGGCAGGCAGGCTGGCAGTGGCAGAGGTTCGAGGCGGTCGGGCCTGTGTTTGTAGGCAGGGGGCAGCGGGGGTGGCACATGCATCATTGGCAGAAGGCCAAGGAGGAGGCACACATCATTGTGGGGGCTCAACCCTGCCTGCAAATATTAACTTCCCCAAAGAATCCTGAGAGTTGTAAGGGTGCTGATGATCCTGTGTTGGAGCACCACCAGCAGTTATCTTTCCAAAAGGGCTGACATTGATGCCAAAATCCAGCATCGCCTGAGCTCTGCAAGTGCAGTTTTCTCCCAACTGAAGTGTTTGGGGACCTGGACATTCACAGGGAAACCAAAATGCTTGTTTACAAAGCTATTGTACTACCAACTTTACTATACACTTGTGAAACATGGAGCACTTATAAATGCCATCTCCAACTCCTCAAAACATTCCATCAACAGTGTCTCCAGAAATTTTTACACAGCACTTGGGAAGGCAAGCAAACTACGGTAATGTCAGTGTACTGGGAAGAAGCAATGATTACCAGTGTCAAAACAATGATTCTTCAACACCAACTTAGCTGGACTCGTCATGTTTGGATGCCTGATGATTGTTGTCCAAAGCAACTACTCTATTCCCAAGTCAACAATGAAAAGCAAAATAAGGTGGACAACAAAAGAAGTTTAAAGACGCTCTAAGGCAAATCTTAAAAAATGTAGTATAAGCACTGATAACTGAGAAACACTGCCCTGTGAGCATTACAGTTAGTGAACAGTCTTTACTAAAGGTGTCGTGGACTTTGAAGAAGCATGCACTCAGGGCGAAAAGGCGAAACGAGCTAAGAGGAAGGCATGCTTGGCAAACCTTCACCGTGATCAACTCCCACCCGGAAACCTATGTCCCTACTGTGGAAAGACGTGTGGATCCAGAATTGGTCTCCGCAGTCACCTATGGACACACTGTTAAGACTATGTTATTGGAAGACCATCTTACTCGGCTACGAGTGATCGAAGACGAAAGAAAAAAAGAAAGAAAGAAAGAAAGAAAGACTACATTTCCCAGGAATCCCTGTAAAGATGGAATGCTCCACATCAACTGATTCAGAGGCATAATGATTCTGAACATTGAATTGGTGTATAACATCATAGCTAAAAACTGCTCATAAAGCTGTCGGAATGGATTTAGGCACTAGGCTATTATATATTACAGTAGTACTTCGGGTTACATACGCTTCAGGTTACATACACTTCAGGTTACAGACACCGCTAACCCAGAAATATTACCTCGGGTTAAGAACTTTGCTTCAGGATGAGAACAGAAATCGTGCAGCAACAGCGCAGCGGCAGCAGGAGGCCCCATTAGCTAAAGTGGTGCTTCAGGTTAAGAACAGTTTCAGGTTAAGATCAGACCTCCAGAACGAATTAAGTTCTTAACCCGAGGTACCACTGTATTCAGTTATTATTGTTCCTGAGTGAGATCAGCAGAGTACCATCCTTGCAGCTTAAACTTGGAAGCTAACACAAGGTTGAGTTAACCTTCTAGAAACAATAATCCAGAATGCTTTAAGGCAGCCTGGTTTTTCCTGGTAGTACACCCTTTGCTCTCCCTTAAAAACAACAATCATATACACATTGTTTTGTGAAGAAATAAAAGTAGTATTTACTTACATAATCTAGGTCTTGAAGCAGAAGTTACAGCAGTTTATAACTACTAACTTACAAAAGTACAAAATATAAGTTGAAAATTGTGCCTGAGCTCAAGCGCATGTGGTCAGCTTGGAAGCATGATGAAGAAAGAGAAGGCTGCCTAGGCAGGGAGGAAGTATGTAGGGTTACAGCTTCCTGCCAAGGCAGACAAAGGAAGTGATCTCACAGAGTTCTCTCTAGCAAATCTTACAGGAAAGCTCTGTGAGCTTCAGCCCTTTCATATGCCTATCTAGCAAAACATGAATTGTTGGTTTGACTGCACTAATGTCCCACAAGAGCCATACTGACTAATCCCTTTAAAGCCTTCTAAATTAAGGTTTGCACAGACAACAGAATCCTGAGTGGACAGTACTAGTTTGGTCTATAGCTGGAGTGGGTCATTTTCTAATGATTTCTTATGGGGGTGGGGCGGGGCAGGAGGGACTAACACAGCAGGAAGAAAGATTTTGTCTCAGTTTCATTACTGTGTTATTTTTTTTAACTTGGCGTTTTGTTTTTAAACATGGTTTAAGGAGTACCATGAGTATTTGTAGGGGCCAGGGCCCTGAATGCAGTGAGGAGTTGCAGAACCAGACCCTTGCTGTGTTTGCCTTGAGGGAGTCGGGTGAGGCCTGGGAAGTATGGCAAGATCATATGCGCAGCCCCTGGAAGCAAGCCCAAGAGGAGTACATAAGACCAGCATTTCCCTCTGGTTCTTTGCCACAACAACGTGGTTTATATTCTGCTGTTCCCAGTTCCTGTTTTCACTCCTGATCCTGCTTCAGTTCCTTCTCCTGTTCTAGGTTCTGTTCCTGTGTTCCAGCCTCATCAGGTTTCCGTCCTCCATTGAACTGCTACCATTGTTACCATCCATACCCTGGTTCTGGTGTGTCAGGGCTGAACTGCTGCCACCTATGACCTGGACCGTGACATATGGGAACACTGAAAAATGTTATATCCCAGAAGAGGCAGCTGGTTGGACACTGTTAGACTGTTCCAGCAAGCTCTTAGGTACCCCCTGAGGTGGTACAGTGTATTGTATCACCTCATTGTGCTGCACATGTAGTCCAGGTATAAGCCAGTAAGGATCACAACATCTCATGACAGCAAATTCAATAATTGAATTGTGAATTGTGTGAAGTCTTTGCTCTTTTTTTTTTTACTCTGAATCTACTGCCTCTCAATGTCATTGGTTGACTCAAAATTCTAGAAAATAAGGAGAGCCCTGCTGTCTTTGCCCAGCATCCTGTTCTCATGGTGTTCCATCCATCCAAAGCCTTTGAGAAGCCCACAAGTAGGACATGAGCACAACACCACTCTTCCCACTAGTGATTCCCAGAAACTAGCATTCAAAAGTATTCTGACATTGGAGGGGAGGACACAGTCATCAAGGCTAGTAGCCATTGATAGTCTTATC